AGAAAATTATTATACCGTGCATGTGTGTAGGGGTCAGTGGAATCAAAGGAGGGTCAGAAAATAATACACATATTTCGGGATGGTCATGTTAACTTGGACACTTTATAACAAAATTTAAAGCGCTTTCGTATTTTTTCTTTTCGGTGAGGGTCATAAAAATTATATACCGGGACATAGGGGAAGGTCATCCAAAAATATGACAAGCATTAGGGGAGGGTGATTATTTTCAGTACATGAGTGCATCAAAAAACCCTGTAATAAATAAATGATCTGTCCCTTAAATAATCATATTTACAACCATTGCAAGAAAGATAGAAATCTCAAATATCATTCAACAAGTTCTCTTTGTTAGTGTGTGAGGGGGCACGGGTGGCCCAGTCGTCTAAAGCGCCGCGATTCGCTGTGCAGAGTTGCGTCCCTTGGGCATGCCAGAAACCTATGATGGTGGGTTCGAATCCCGGTTCGCCCTGATTATGTTTCCAGGTTTGTCAGCACCATACCCATGCTCGTGGCGGTAAACGTCTGAGACCTACATCACTTCGGGCTTTCCTCCCACATTAAGCTGACACGCCGTGATGTAACTGTAATACTGTTAAAAGCGGCGTTTTACTCAACTCTCTCACTCACCATACAAGTTACATTAGTTCATACATGTACTATACATGTGATGTCTTGAACACATCTCGGGTTTTGAAGGGAATGTCAGTGAAGTTGTCAAGCTACTCAAGATTTACCTGGCAATACCAGCCACTACTTCAAGATCTGAACGGCCATACTCATGTCTTAGGAGACTGAAAACACAGCTCAGAAGTACCATGACCCAGCAAGGTCTCGACAACATCATGCTGTTGTATATTCCAATCTCATTAAAATCAGATCTTAGTTCTCGCTATCGCTAAACAAAGATCTGAGGAAATTCCATTACGGGTCACGTCAGAACGACCTTTCATCCAACCAATCAGAGCGTCGCTTACCAGATCATGAAAGTGACAGACGGAATGTGTTTTCTAATCATGAAACCTCGAAAACTTTAACAGAAGGTATTCCGAACGACAGTTACGGGTTTTATGATTATACCCATACAATCTCGGCCATCTGTAAGCAATTCCAGAATGTTCTTTTTATCAGTTTTAAATTTTTTAATCGAGAATACGTCATAATATGTTTCGAAGCGTAGTCGCCAGTTTGAAACTTGTGGCGTAAAGCTCGAGAAAGCTGCCCTCTGATTGGCTAATGTCGATTTCTTGTCAGTCATTTCATTGGTCGGTCAAAGTTCGCGAAAGGTCGTTCTGACGTGACCCGTAATGGGATGTGCTCAGATCTTTGTTTAGCGGTATCGAAAACTAAGGTCTGATTTTAATGAGATGTTGTACATTCACAAAGAGGACACTGATAAAATCCTTACGGACATCCCCAAGGCATTTGCTCATGAAGACCGGAACCGTCGCACCATTTTTGATACTTTGTATAACTGTCGGAACTCACCCACACTGCATGGGGTGAGATGAAATTGGGTTTAACGTCGCGTCCAAGATTATTGCACTTATATAGCGACGTGCATGCACGTGTGTGTGTTTGTGTGGCTGCTTGTACTAGTCCGGACTGATGCCGATTTATAGTGCTAGCCCACTGAGATACCATGCCACAGTTTAACATGAATACCCCACACAGACACAGTATACCGACTCCGAGCCGACTTGTTTTAGCCCCTTAATGCTGAGCGCCAGACAGGGTAACAACAAGTACCACCTTTTAACGTCTTTTGGTATAACATGTCCGGGGATCGAACCCCGGACCTTCCGCTCTCCGGGCGGACGCTCTACCACTAGACCACGGAGGCGGTCCACACTGCATGAAGAAAATACGTGCATATTGAAGAAAATGTTGGATTTCAGCTATAAAACCACTTAACAGATGTCACTAATTGTTTTACTTTGAAACGAAAGACGTATTTATCAGAATTGGCGAAGTCAAAACAGGATAGCTTCGCCAAGAGGTTTAACTGAAGCTTCTTGTATATGAATGCTCTGATATCGTTCAATAACAATCAAATAGCCAATTCCCTTCCACCTATTTACTAGACATAAAGGAGACCAGTGAGACCGCTTCATCTGTTTCATATTTGGATCGTTGCATAGAGATTCAAAATCACAAAACACTCTCAACAAGACTGTATGACAATTTAAGAGGAATGACTTCAACTTTCCAATGGTCAATCCTGTCAGCAAGTACCTTCTTTTAACGTCTTTTGGAATGACGCGGCCGGGGATCAAACCCCAGACTTTCTGCTCTCAGGGGGGACGTTCTATCACCAGACCACGGTGATGGTCCTTTTATACATAAAACAAAACAAAAAATAAATATTGTTTCGACAGTCTTGTGAGAGAAGACACTTATGCTCAGTTTGGGTTGGAAATGTACACCCTCGGTGTTTGGCGCTCGTGCTGTTCTCTCCCCTTCATGTTCAACTCAAACATCGGAGGCGGGTTTTCTTCTCTACATATACTCATCAAAAAGAAACGTAAAGCCAGATTTGTGTGAGGTAGGAAATTATATTATACGAGGAACCGTACAAGGTATTGAGCCGAGTTATCGGTACATAGGAAATGTCCAAGGTGAAGGTCAGCTACCATCAATAACGCGCATGTCCCTCGCTGGAATAGATAGCGGCCTGACATATCCTGCCCATGCATTGCAGAGACGAGTATGCGAATCACATCCTTGAGAATAGAAGCCCACTCGGCCTGCAACGCAAAAGCCAACTGCTGTTACTTCTGGGATGTGGTTGACGTCGGCGTAGCCGTCTATCCAATTCACCCCACAGGCGCTCTATCGGCTTCAAATCCGGGGATCTGGAGGGTCAGGGGAGAAGATCAACATTGTTGTTGTTGTTGTGTTGACAGGCTCTTGTGATCCGTGCTGTATGCAGCCGAGCGTTGTCCTGCTGGAATACACCGTTGCCGTTGGCTGCAATTGGGAAGACGTGTGGTTTGAGCATTTCGTTGAGTCGTATGATTGCTCTGGATATGGACCAAACCTGTGCTGCCATGATGAGAGATAGTCGCCACATCATAACGCTCCCCCCACCAAACCTGTCCACTTCCTGTACGCAGTTTCCGGCGTAACGTTCTCTCCGACGTCTGTAGACCCGTGCTCTTCCATCCCCTCGACGGAGAAAAACTTGATTCGTCGCTGAATCAGACATCTCTCAGTCGCAGTTGAGGCCATACGCTGCGTTGACGACACCAATGCAGTCGTTGTTGACGATGTTGTCGACTCAATATGACGCGTCGAACAGGACGTCCTGCTCGTAGACTTGCTACTCTTAAACAGTTTCGTACGGTCTGGTCGGAGATTCTGCGCAGTCCGGATATGAGGCTGAGTAGACTGTGGTCCTCCTTTCACGTAGATGGCGCAGTCGGATGTAGCGATCTTGGGCGGGGGTGGTTACTCTTGGTCGTCCCGACCTTGGCCGATCACGTTTTGACCCATGCGGTTGAAACCGATCCCATAGCCGTGTGATGGTGCTGGGCGCTACATTGAAAACCCTGGCTACAGCTGATCGGGATTCCCCTGCGGACAAGCGTCCTATGACGTTGTTTCTTTGCACTTCTGTTAATCTTGGCATGTTTTTGAACTGTTCGATTGACGCAGATGCCAGGCAATCAAAAACCCTGCACTATAATACCGTTCATTGTGCTGCTGCACATGCAGTACGTGCAGCTCCATGATCCTTTTGTTAATGCACTGGGTGCGTTTTTCTGAATCGTACGTGTTTCCCTACTAATGGTTTGCATGTCCTTGTTGTGATCATGTTGATCTGGGAAATGTGTCACTGACACTATAACACATTAAACCCTCTTCGTTTTGCACCTCTTAGTCCTCTAATTTTGTTTTTATGGCCAAAAATTTCCGCATTGCGTTTTTGTAAGAGTATATGTTCATTTGGTACTGTTACGTGTCCGTTCTCAAATTGAAATATGTTAACCCAGAAGTCTGTACGTAAAAGAACTTAGCGTGAAATATACAACCAACAAATGGTATGCAATCAACAACTCACAAAATTACCTAGGTTTACAAACCAAATACAAATTACTGCACAGCAATAACAATGGCAGTACACAATAGAGTGTTTTGTTGTTTTGTTTTTTTGGTTCTTGTTTAACGCCGCACTCAACAATATTCCAGCTATATGACGGCGGTCTGTAAATAAACGAGTCTGGACCAGACAATCCAGTGATTGATGCCATGAGCATCGATCCACGCAATTGGGATACGATGTCATGCATCAACCAAGTCAGCGAGTCTGACCACCCGATCCCGTTAGTCGCCAATAGAGTGGTAGTACAATCTTCAATGGCAGTATCAAATTCAAAATATGATGACAGTGGTAATAGCAAAAAGTTAAATGATAATAATATTCACCTATCCGCAACTGTGATCAAGCTTCACAGGCCTAGGCCGGGAATCCGGGGTGATCATTGATCGTCACACAGTAGCTGGTCTTGATGTAATTTCAGATGAAACGTTAGATGATTTAGTCACGCCTTAGTCCTATATATAATTGTGCCCCACACCTTCCAGAACAATCAAACTTGCATCTGAATATAGTAACCCCCTCACCACTTTTTCCATTAGATAGTACAACATTCCTGACAACTAATCATTTTACAATCAATGCACTGGACTTCTACTGAATCTCAACAGAAACAATAAAAACAGTCACAATCATTGTTTAACAAACTACACTGCCATATAGCTTTACGATTTCGCTTTTCTGGGTGCGAGTTATCCAATTGATTGGGTACGAGTGGGTATGGGTAATCCAACACTGGGTACGATTTCGCAAAAAGGGTTTGGGTACGGATCTCCGTGGGAACGGATTGTCTTGTTCCCATAACTGCCATATGGGTTTGCCGTGGTGCATTTAAAAATGCCCCCGGATAAACTTTTTAGCGGGCGGCAAGCTATGACGTCATAAACTTTCCTATCACGTGACGTCCCATTGTAGCTGCGATGTCGGTACCATTGACAGCTGGAGTTAATGTTATCTGAACAACAATTCCATCTGTGTCGCTAGAAGATATCGCGTTTCTTCTCTCACCATTGCACAGAGGTAAAAGACAGAAGTAAAACCACGCGTCATGTCAGGCGCTAAGAGGAAGGGGCTACCCCCGATTCAGAAGGGTCCGATTGTGATGGCCCCGCCACCGAAGATTGTGGAAACCATTGTCGAGAAGACAGATCTGTCGGCGTTTGAGGAACAGGCTTTGGTTATTGATACCAACTTGCTAGTGGGCCCCGTCTACGACAACTCGAAACAACGCGCCAAAGCCCTCAAGGAACAGCTGGGCGACATCAACACTCGGCTTCAGACGGTGAGAAATGCCACGCCCCAAACGTGTTATGGGATCAGTATTGGTCGTTGCGCGATATAATTTGGCAAATAGGACTAGATCTAATTGTTGTTTACATTTATGGTCTCGGAGTGGTTTGTATTATTTTCATTCAAAGTCGTATCAAAATTGCGTAGATAGATGATCACGATGTCAGTCACTGGGTTGTCTGGTCCAGGCACGATTATTTACGGACAGCCGTCACATAGCTGGAATATTACTGTGTGCGGCGTTAAACAACAAAAAAACAAACTGAAGTATAAAGTGAAATTCTTCATCAATTTCCCTTTGACAAGTTATGCATGTTCTATGGTGAACAATAATACCAGCATTAGAAATTGGCACTAGTCCTGTAGTCCTTGCCAAACTGCCCCATAGTAAGGTATCATAAGGACCGGTAGAAATTTGCCATTTATAAGGACTTTGCTATATCATTATAAGGACTAGTGGACTAAAACTGTTAGTTTCTGCCACTGAAAAACACAGATATACCTTCCGGTTTCTTGGCCAAATTGTGTGAAGAAAATATTTTTGGGTATACAGAAGGGATAGAATCCTAAGAAAATATTGTAATGTATAAATATTAACAATTTTGTTGTAAATCATATATTTGGAAGAACTTGTCAATTGACATCGAATAAACTGAAAAGGGCATTTACATAATCTCTGTATAATTGAGGGTAACTGACTAATATCCAATTCTTGCTTTAAACAACAAACACTGTGAACATGGTGAAGTAGTTCAGCTTAGATTGACTCATGTTTCTTGTTTTGGTGCATTTGGTTTGGTGACCTTTGCTATGGTCTCTTGTAATTATATATATATTGTTTATTCACAAAAAGTGTTAGGCCGTAGGCCTATTACACAGAACTATTTACAGAGAGAGGGAGAAAAAGAATTACCACTATTTTACATATATATCTGTAGTGGTTTGTTACAATAACTGAAGAAAGGTACTTCGTGTTAAGAAGCCGTTTTATTCAGACCATGTGGTCAGCATGGTGGCCATCTTGTTACAACTCAAGGGAGAGCGCTCTCGTTGGCTTAGCTGCTAGATACTGCCTGGGTACTTAATATAGATTAATGGACTTCTGTTGACATTAACACTTATCATTACAATATCCATATCCACACACATTCATACACATACACATGCATATGTATACAAATAAATATTTAGACTGTATGCAATGAACGAAGTCGAAAAGCTTTGTAAACGTAGACTGCTAGATTTCATATGATTTTAAAGTTAGTGGATGACATAAGAGCATTAAATTTATTTTTAGAAGGGGTTGTAAAATATTTAGGAGGAATGTCTTCAGCTCTTAAATCACTATAAGCATTGCATATAAGCACAAAATGACATTCGTCCTCAATAAAGTTCTGGTTACAAATCAAACACAGTCTAATTATTGTGTCCATATGTTGCAGACGCTGACCACATTCGATGCAGTGAACCCTGGCGACCATGATGTGAGTAAGGATTGGAAGAACTCACACACTAAGAGTGAGTGAGTGAGTGAGTGAGTTGGGTTTAATGCCGCTTTTAACATTATTCCAGTTATATCATGGCATGTCACTGTCAGGTTGATGTTGGAGGAAAGCCCGAAGTGATGCAGGTCTCGGACGTTTACCACTTTGGTGAAACCCACAAGCATGGGTATGGTGCTGACAAACCTAGAAACATAATCGGGGCGAACTGGGATTCGAACTCATAATCATAGGTTTCTGATGTGCCCAAGGGACGCAACTCTGCACAGCGAATCGCAGCGCTTTAGACGACTGGGCCACCCGTGCCCCCTCACACACTAACAAAGAGAACTTGTTGAATGATATTTGAGATTTCTATCTTTCTTGCAATGGTGACACTGTCTTAATTTGTTGTAAATATGATTATTTAAGGGACCGTCCATTTATTTATTCCAGGGTTTTTTGATGCACTCATGTACTGAAAATAATCACCCTCCCCTAATGCTTGTCATATTTTTGGATGACCTTCCCCTATGTCCCGGTATATAATTTTTATGACCCGCACCGAAAAGAAAAAATACGAAAGCGCTTTAAATTTTGTTATAAAGTGTCCAAGTTAACATGACCATCCCGAAATATGTGTATTATTTTCTGACCCTCCTTTGATTCCACTGACCCCTACACACATGCACGGTATAATAATTTTCTGGTCCCTTACTTTCTACATATATGAGGACATTTTCCTTGGCGCCAAGACCCCCCTGCTTAAGGAGCCACTGGAGATATTTCTCACACCCATCTTGTATGTCTCTCACACCCATCTTGTATGTCTCACACACCCATCTTGTATGTCTCACACACCCATCTTGTATGTCTCACACATCCATCTTGTATGTCTCACACGTCCATCTTGTATGTCTCACACACCCATCATGTATGTCTCACACACCCATCTTGTATGTCTCACACACCCATCTTGTATGTCTCACACACCCATCTTGTATGTCTCACACATCCATCTTGTATGTCTCACACACCCATCCTGTATGTCTCACACAGCCATCTTGTATGTCTCACACACCCATCTTGTATGTCTCACACATCCATCTTGTATGTCTCACACACCCATCTTGTATGTCTCACACACCCATCTTGTATGTCTCACACACCCATCTTGTATGTCTCACACACCCATCTTGTATGTCTCACACATCCATCTTGTATGTCTCACACACCCATCTTGTATGTCTCACACACCCATCTTGTATGTCTCACACACCCATCTTGTATGTCTCACACACCCATCTTGTATGTCTCACACACCCATCCTGTATGTCTCACACACCCATCTTGTATGTCTCACACATCCATCTTGTATGTCTCTCAGACCCATCTTGTAAGTCTCACACATCCATCTTGTATGTCTCACACACCCATCTTGTATGTCTCACACATCCATCTTGTATGTCTCACACACCCATCTTGTATGTCTCACACACCCATCTTGTATGTCTCACACACCCATCTTGTATGTCTCACACACCCATCTTGTATGTCTCACACACCCATCTTGTATGTCTCACACACCCATCTTGTATGTCTCACACATCCATCTTGTATGTCTCACACACCCATCCTGTATGTCTCACACACCCATCTTGTATGTCTCACACATCCATCTTGTATGTCTCTCAGACCCATCTTGTAAGTCTCACACATCCATCTTGTATGTCTCACACACCCATCTTGTATGTCTCACACATCCATCTTGTATGTCTCACACACCCATCCTGTATGTCTCACACACCCATCTTGTATGTCTCACACATCCATCTTGTATGTCTCTCAGACCCATCTTGTAAGTCTCACACATCCATCTTGTATGTCTCACACACCCATCTTGTATGTCTCACACATCCATCTTGTATGTCTCACACATCCATCTTGTATGTCTCACACATCCATCTTGTATGTCTCACACACCCATCTTGTATGTCTCACACATCCATCTTGTATGTCTCACACACCCATCTTGTATGTCTCACACATCCATCTTGTATGTCTCACACGTCCATCTTGTATGTCTCACACACCCATCATGTATGTCTCACACACCCATCTTGTATGTCTCACACACCCATCTTGTATGTCTCACACACCCATCTTGTATGTCTCACACATCCATCTTGTATGTCTCACACACCCATCCTGTATGTCTCACACACCCATCTTGTATGTCTCACACACCCATCTTGAATGTCTCACACATCCATCTTGTATGTCTCACACACCCATCTTGTATGTCTCACACATCCATCTTGTATGTCTCACACACCCATCTTGTATGTCTCACACACCCATCTTGTATGTCTCACACACCCATCTTGTATGTCTCACACATCCATCTTGTATGTCTCACACACCCATCTTGTATGTCTCACACACCCATCTTGTATGTCTCACACACCCATCTTGTATGTCTCACACACCCATCTTGTATGTCTCACACACCCATCCTGTATGTCTCACACACCCATCTTGTATGTCTCACACATCCATCTTGTATGTCTCTCAGACCCATCTTGTAAGTCTCACACATCCATCTTGTATGTCTCACACACCCATCTTGTATGTCTCACACATCCATCTTGTATGTCTCACACACCCATCTTGTATGTCTCACACACCCATCTTGTATGTCTCACACACCCATCTTGTATGTCTCACACACCCATCTTGTATGTCTCACACACCCATCTTGTATGTCTCACACATCCATCTTGTATGTCTCACACACCCATCCTGTATGTCTCACACACCCATCTTGTATGTCTCACACATCCATCTTGTATGTCTCTCAGACCCATCTTGTAAGTCTCACACATCCATCTTGTATGTCTCACACACCCATCTTGTATGTCTCACACATCCATCTTGTATGTCTCACACACCCATCCTGTATGTCTCACACACCCATCTTGTATGTCTCACACATCCATCTTGTATGTCTCTCAGACCCATCTTGTAAGTCTCACACATCCATCTTGTATGTCTCACACACCCATCTTGTATGTCTCACACATCCATCTTGTATGTCTCACACATCCATCTTGTATGTCTCACACATCCATCTTGTATGTCTCACACACCCATCTTGTATGTCTCACACATCCATCTTGTATGTCTCACACATCCATCTTGTATGTCTCACACACCCATCTTGTATGTCTCACACACCCATCTTGTATGTCTCACACACCCATCTTGTATGTCTCATCATGTAATGTGGCCTTCACCTTGCTTGTTTCCAGGATGACATGCTGGGGGATCTGGCCAAACATGCTGACAGCATGGCAAGTGGTCAGGTGGGTGCCTTGTTTCCGGGTGAATTTTCTTTTAATTGCTCGTACTGACCACATTGTTTATATGAGTTTGAGACCCATTGTGGATAGACATGAGATGGAAATGAAAATTTGATGCCTTTTTGATAAAGTGGACCTTGAGGAGTATTTTGTTTCCATACTGCAAATGCTATTGACTATTTTTAGTAATGAAAACGATTAAGGCCAACATGGGAGGCTTTAAGGGATTATGTCTTTGACTTGTCATTACTTAAACCTTTTTTCTTTTTTTTCTCTCTCTTTTTGCAGATATACAGGGTTAGCTCTAAGGTCCTCCTACCAAATTGGTTGCTATCATGATAATACTTAGCCAGAAATGTGTATTAGAGTAGACCATACTTAAAAAGTAGGTCATGATGACCTGACAGGGATAGGTTATGGTGACCTAAGAAATAGGTCATGATGATCTGACAGGTAGGTTATGGTGACCTAAAAAGTAGGTCATGATGACCTGACAGGTAGGTTATGGTGACCTTAAAAAGTAGGTCATGATGACCTGACAGGTAGGTTATGGTGACCTAAGAAATAGGTCATGATGATCTGACAGGTTATGGTGAACTAAAACATAGGTCATGATGACCTGACAGGTAGGTTATGGTGACCTAAAAAGTAGGTCATGATCATCTCGCAAGCAACATCATCTGACCTGACCAATAGGCCATGGTCATCTGAAAGTAGGTTATTGTGGCCTAGATATCCTGAATTATGGATTTGTCCAATTAAATTAAGGTCACAGTGACACTTGAACAATAGGGGCACCGGTTGTTCTTACTCCAACCTTCAGAGGATTATGATCCAAAGAACTCCCTGCTGCTACAAGTATGGTAAAAAAGACAATTTTAAGGTTAGTGGTTAGGTAAATACTATTTATGAGATCATATCATCCATAATTTTGTCTTTTGTTGACAGATGAAGGCAACGCTGAAACATTTCATCAACAACTACCGTGACATGTCGTCTCACATACATGATTCAAGCAAGGAGAGGGAGGATGTGAGTTGGGGAGGGGCATGGCTAATGGGTGGCGCATGGCTAACGGGGAGAGGCATGGTTAACAAGGGGGGGGTCATGGCTAATGGGTGGCACATGGCTAATGGGGAGAGGCATAGTTAAAAGGGGAGGGGCATGGCTAATGGGTGGCGCATGGCTAACGGGGAGAGGCATGGTTAACAGAGGAGGGGCATGGCTAATGGGTAGAGGCATAGTTAAAAGGGGAGGGGCATGGCTAATGGGTGGCGCATGGCTAACGGGGAGAGGCATGGTTAAAAGGGGAGGGGCATGGCTAATGGGTGGCGCATGGCTAACGGGGAGGGGCCGTGGTTAAAAGGGGAGGGGCATGGCTAATGGGTGGCGCATGTCTAACGGGAAGAGGCATGGTTAACAGGGGAGGGGCATGGCTAAAATAGGGAGGGGCATGGAGTCCTAGGAAACAATTCTTGATGCCATCATTGTGTATATTCTGTCGAGTAATATGTTTTTGTTCATTACAGTAAAGTATTTTGTTTCCAGATTCTCTTCCAGCTGTCTGACGTAAGTAAACACAACACAATGTCATACGGTCATATCACTAAAAGTAATTTCCTACAACTTATTTTACGTCATGTATTTTCCTTAAATGTTTTGTGAGTTTTATTTGAAGCACATTTTAATTAATAAAATCCTGCATGTTATATGCATATCGCAGGCAGTGTTTCTACATGTTTCTGCATGAATATGACCAGAGTTACCATGGTTACAGCTATTAATCATGAAATAAGAGGTGACAAATGTTAACTTTCTGTAAATTTTTATATTCAATTGATACACTACATATAAGACCCAACTTTTTTGACTGTTGTTTTGACTGCTGTTTTGACTGCTGTTTTGACTGTTGTTTTCTTTTTCAGTGGTTCACCATGGATCACATGGTAAGTCTTTTTATACATAGATTGTATTGTCGATTGTGTCACTCTGAACATAACAGGCAATGACCAGATGAAATTCCAGGCAGATAAGTAAATAGGTCATCCTCCTGACATGAACAAGGATGTCACTAGACCTGCACAGAGGACGATATTCGGACAAAGCACATGTCAATAAACTTTCTCAAGTGGAAATTCTAAATTTTAAAATTTATGTTTATATAGATATGCTAGGTCTGACCATTGGATATTCTTGGAGGGGTCTTGGATTTTATCAAAACAAAAATACATCGTCACCGAAAATACAAAACAATTGTAGCAAAATGCTTGTAAAACAAAATGTTTAGGCTCATAGTTTATTTAAAAATATATATACCGTATTCGACGTAATAAGCGCCCCCGCTCTTATAAGCGCCCACGGCGATATTTGCTAAGATATTGGCTAGTGAACAATCCCAATAAGCACCCCTTCCGAGTGATCAATGTACACAAGACTTATTTATTCGCGTATAATACACACTCATGTGTTATATGCACCCTTAATTATGGGCAATTAAATTCTGGAAAAATATATGTCGTACATAAACACTTCAGGCTGTCAGCATAAACCACGAAACTTATCTTTCAACTCTGTTTTTTTCACCAAAATAATATTCTAATACGAGCCCCCTATTTCTAATTTTGAGAGTGCCCTGGGCGCTTATTACGTCGAATACGGTATATATATATGTATATATGTGTTTTTGTAGATGTAGCTGAAAAAAATATGCATAGAAAAGCCATTCCTTTCTCCCCCCTATCTCCCCACCAGGACTCCAGTGTAACATAAATTCCGAAATCAAACCCTTTTTTACATGTCATTGTATCCTTGAGCATGTCTGTGTCAATATCTTACAGGAAATTGTTCTTGTTGATTTAGAATGTGTATTTACTGTGCTTGTCGTAAGAGGCAACTAACGGGATCGGGTGGTCAGGCTCGCTGACTTGGTTGATGCATGATGTCGATCCCAATTGCGTGGATCGATGCTCATGATGTCAATCACTGGATCGTCTGGTCCATACTCGATTATTTACCGACCGCCGTCATATAGCTGGAATATTGCTGAGAGCGGCGTTAAACAACAAACCAAACCTTTCAGGGTTAAGTGCGTATAAAACAACAATACAAGACTTGAGGCATAACAGCCGGTTGAGCAAGTATCACAGATACACAGACTGCAGCTTGGATATATATGCTGAGTTTCAAACTTTAAGGAGGGAATGAGGTAGTCTTGTGGTTAAGTCGTTCGCTTGTTAAGCCCAGGTTTGATTCTCCAAATGTGTCCATTTGAATGTTTCCTTGTGTCCCCATTGGTGGTATGGCATGTGGTCCTGTGCACAATGCTGCACAGCAGTAGAAATTGGCACTAGTCCTGTAGTCCTTGCCAAACTGCCCAATGTTAAAGGTATCATAAGGACTAGTAGAAATTTGTAGCACATGTGGCAAGTGACTTTGTTCGAAATATGCCTATGTTCACTCAGCAGTGAATGGGTACCCAATAGGATGAGATGTTATATGACTGTTAACCTATCTAGCACCTCACAGACAGCTTGGGTTGTCTACTCCCTAGGGAGCTGAGAAAGAAAATTGAGTGCACACTGATCCATTGACCTAGTACTCAATTTAGTTTGTGAGCATGCTTCAACGGATGGCCATTACAATTACCCATTTATTATTATTTATTATATAGCTGGAATATTGTGCAAAAGCAGTGTAAAATAGACTCACTCACTGCTCAAAAGTTACACGTCAGCTCATCAGATAAACTAATTATATAAGTGTAGTGCTTAGTGTCATTCAGTTTCATTCACTGTCTGTTCTAAGGATGACTTGTACGGCCCCACAACACACAAGGCGGTGGAGAAGGAAGCTGAGTGAGTACTTTACAGTCTTCCCCACCCCAGGGGCACACGAGGTGCCCAGTGACCATACTTGTGTCAGACAGGACAGGTGACCAGTACACCATGCTTGTGTCAGACAGGACAGGTGCCCAGTACACCATGCTTGTGTCAGACAGGACAGGTGACCAGTACACCATGCTTGTGTCAGACAGGACAGGTGACCAGAACACCATGCTTGTGTCAGATAGGACAGGTGACCAGTACACCTTGCTTGTGTCAGACAGGTGCCCAGTACACCATGCTTGTGTCAGACAGGACAGGTGACCAGTACACCATGCTTGTGTCAGACAGGACAGGTGACCAGTACACCTTGCATGTGTCAGACAGGACAGGTGACCAGTACACCTTGCTTGTGTCAGACAGGACAGGTGAGCAGTACACCATACTTGTGTCAGACAGGACAGGTGAGCAGTACACCTTGCTTGTGTCAGATAGGACAGGTGACCAGTACACCATGCTTGTGTCAGACAGGACAGGTGACCAGTACACCTTGCTTGTGTCAGACAGGACAGGTGCCCAGTACACCATACTTGTGTCAGACAGGTGCCCAGTACACCATGCTTGTGTCAGTCAGGACAGGTGACCAGTACACCATACTTGTGTTAGACAGGTGACCAGTACACCATACTTGTGTCAGACAGGTGCCCAGTACACCATGCTTGTGTCAGATAGGACAGGTGACCAGTACACCATGCTTGTGTCAGACAGGACAGGTGACCAGTATGCCTTGCTTGTGTCAGACAGGACAGGTGCCCAGTGCACCATACTTGTGTCAGACAGGTGCCCAGTACACCATGCTTGTGTCAGATAGGACAGGTGACCAGTACACCATGCTTGTGTCAGACAGGACAGGTGACCAGTACACCTTGCATGTGTCAGATAGGACAGGTGCCCAGTACACCATGCTTGTGTTAGACAGGACAGGTGACCAGTACGCCATGCTTGTGTCAGATAGGACAGGTGCCTAGTACACCATGCTTGTGTTAGACAGGACAGGTGACCAGTACACCATGCTTGTGTCAGACTGGACAGGTGCCCAGTACACCTTGCTTGTGTCAGATAGGACAGGTGACCAGTACACCATGCTTGTGTCAGACAGGACAGGTGACCAGTATGCCTTGCTTGTGTCAGACAGGACAGGTGCCCAGTGCACCATACTTGTGTCAGACAGGTGCCCAGTACACCATGCTTGTGTCAGATAGGACAGGTGACCAGTACACTATGCTTGTGTCAGGCAGGACAGGTGCCAAGTACGCCTTGCTTGTGTTAGACAGGACAGGTAACCAGTACACCATGCTTGTGTCAGACAGGACAGGTACCCAGTACACCATGCTTGTGTCAGACAGGACAGGTGACCAGTACGCCTTGCATGTGTTAGACAGGACAGGTGACCTGTACACCATGCTTGTGTCAGACAGGGCAGGTGACCAGTACGCCTTGCTTGTGTCAGATAGGACAGGTGACCAGTACGCCTTGCTTGTGTCAGATAGGACAGGTGACCAGTACGCCTTGCTTGTGTTAGACAGGACAGGTGCCCAGTACACCATGCTTGTGTCAGACAGGACAGGTGACCAGTACACCATGCTTGTGTCAGACAGGTGACCAGTACACCATGCTTGTGTCAGACAGGACAGGTGCCCAGTACACCATGCTTGTGTCAGACAGGACAGGTGACCAGTACACCATGCTTGTGTTAGACAGGACAGGTGGCCAGTACACCATGCTTGTGTCAGACAGGACAGGTGACCAGTACACCATGCTTGTGTAAGACAGGACAGGTAACCAGTACACAATGCTTGTGTTAGACAGGACAGGTGACCAGTACACCATGCTTGTGTCAGACAGGACAGGTGGCTAGTACACCATACTTGTGTCAGACAGGACAGGTGCCCAGTGACCATACTTGTGTCAGACAGGACAGGTGCCCAGTGACCATACTTGTGTCAGACAGGACAGGTGACCAGTACACCATGCTTGTGTAAGACAGGACAGGTAACCAGTACACAATGCTTGTGTCAGACAGGACAGGTGCCTAGTACACCATGCTTGTGTCAGACAGGACAGGTGACCAGTACACCATACTTGTGTTAGACAGGACAGGTGACCAGTACACCATGCTTGTGTTAGACAGGACAGGTGACCAGTACACCATGCTTGTGTCAGACAGGACAGGTGCCCAGTACGCCATGCTTGTGTCAGACAGGTGACCAGTACACCATGCTTGTGTCAGACAGGTGACCAGTACACCTTGCATGTGTCAGACAGGTGCCCAGTACACCATGCTTGTGTAAGACAGGTGACCAGTACACCATGCTTTTATCAGACAGGTGACCAGTACACCATGCTTGTGTCAGACAGGTGCCCAGTACACCTTGCTTGTGTCAGACAGGTGACCAGTACACCTTGCTTGTGTCAGACAGGTGACCAGTACACCTTGCTTGTGTCAGACAGGTGCCCAGTACACCATGCTTGTGTCAGACAGGTGCCCAGTACACCATGCTTGTGTCAGACAGGTGACCAGTACACCATGCTTGTGTCAGACAGGTGCCCAGTACACCATGCTTGTGTCAGACAGGTGCCCAGTACACCATGCTTGTGTCAGACAGGTGACCAGTACACCATGCTTGTGTCAGACAGGTGACCAGTACACCATGCTTGTGTCAGACAGGTGACCAGTACACCATGCTTGTGTCAGACAGGACAGATGACCAGTACACCATGCTTGTTTCAGACAGGTGCCCAGTACACCATGCTTGTGTCAGACAGGTGCCCAGTACACCATGCTTGTGTCAGACAGGTGACCAGTACACCATGCTTGTGTCAGACAGGTGACCAGTACACCATGCTTGTGTCAGACAGGTGACCAGTACACCATGCTTGTGTCAGACAGATGACCAGTACACCATGCTTGTGTCAGACAGGTGACCAGTACACCATGCTTGTGTCAGACAGGTGACCAGTACACCATGCTTGTGTCAGAAAGGACTGTCACTCATGCACCTTGCTAAATATGGAATAATATTCACACACGTCTTCATTTACACGCAAATGTTTGAGAGAAATAATGATTTTACAGAATTTACTATGGTTTCATAAAAACACTGTATGTTAAGTTGCTAAGTTGTCAATGCGCAGAAATCTCTTTGAAATAATATGAAATGTTTGACAGTTCATGATTTCTTGATTCGTCAACATTAATAACTCCACATATTTTAGTATCTTTGGCAACATCCCCCCCTCCTGATGTTTCTCTGGCCTGTTTTTAACAAAAGGGAGGAGGGAGGTATAACTCTTGTAATTACTTCTATTTTTATCCCAACAAGAACACCAACAAACACAACAGGGCACACACTGACGTCTGCTCATTGATACAACGTCAGTTGTCAAGCATTGATAACGGAGTCTGCTTCATCTGACGTCAGGAATTAGACAATATTATTTAGATTGGCAATAAAAAAGACTGATTACTGGAAATAATGAAGCACAATGTCCTTGGAAATGTTTCCATTTTTTCAGCCTTACTTTCATTTATGCCAGGTTTCTGTTCTTATTTTATAGGCAGGGCTACACGTCAGCCCTTGTCAACTTTGAGAAGTTCAAACGGTTGCAAAACAACATCAAGCTAGCCAATGCCAAAGGTCTGAATGTGGATCACCTGCTTCAGTGAGTACCAGTACAAACAGACAACACCCATGACAGGAGTGTGTCACACTCACAAGAACACACTGGAATATCATTCTGTGAAATTAAGCTCCCCTGAACATGGACAAATTGTGAGGAATGGTGAAGGCAGGGTTATCCTCACTCACACAGGAATTATTTCATAACCTTTCTAGCTTAGTGCTTGATGGAATCCTGCTATTCTAGCTTAGTGCTTGGTGTTGATGGTATCCTGCTATTCTAGCTTAGTGCTTGATGTTGACGGTGTCCTGCTATTCTAGCTTAGTGCTTGGTGTGGATGGTATCCTGCTATTCTAGCTTCCTGCTTGATGTTGATGGTATCCTGCTATTCTAGCTTCCTGCTTGATGTTGACGGTGTCCTGCTATTCTAGCTTAGTGCTTGATGTTGATGGTATCCTGCTATTCTAGCTTCCTGCTTGATGTTGATGGTATCCTGCTATTCTAGCTTAGTGCTTGGTGTTGATGGTATCCTGCTATTCTAGCTTCCTGCTTGATGTTGATGGTATCCTGCTATTCTAGCTTCCTGCTTGATGTTGATGGTATCCTGCTATGAAAGCTTAGTGCTTTATGTTGATGGTATCCTGCTATTCTAGCTTCCTGCTTGATGTTGATGGTATCCTGCTATGAAAGCTTAGTGCTTGATGTTGATGGTATCCTGCTATTCTAGCTTAGCGCTTAGTGTTGATGGTATCCTGCTATTCTAGCTTAGTGCTTGGTGTTGACGGTGTCCTGCTATTCTAGCTTAGTGCTTGATGTTGATGGTATCCTGCTATTCTAGCGTAGTGCTTGATGTTGATGGTATCCTGCTATTCTAGCTTAGTGCTTGATGTTGATGGTATCCTGCTATTCTAGCTTAGTGCTTGATGTTGATGGTATCCTGCTATTCTAGCGTTGTGCTTGGTGTTGATGGTATCCTGCTATTCTAGCTTAGTGCTTGGTGTTGATGGTATCCTGCTATTCTAGCTTAGTGCTTGGTGTTGATGGTATCCTGCTATCCTAGCTAAGTGCTTTATGTTGATGGTATCCTGCTATTCTAGCTTAGTGCTTGATGTTGACGGTGTCCTGCTATTCTAGCGTAGTGCTTGATGTTGATGGTATCCTGCTATTCTAGCTTAGTGCTTGATGTTGATGGTGTCCTGCCACTCTAGCTTAGTGCTTGGTGTTGATGGTATCCTGCTATTCTAGCTTAGTGCTTGGTGTGGGGCGGTCGGGTAGCCTAGTGGTTAAAGCGTTCGCTCGTCATGCCGAAGACCCGGGTTCGAATCCCGACATGGGTACAACGTGTGAAGCCCATTTCTGGTGTCCCCCGCCGTGATATTGCTGGAATATTGCTAAAAGCGGCGTAAAATCATACTCACTCACTAGTGCTTGGTGTTGATGGTATCCTGCTATTCTAGCTTAGTGCTTGATGTTGATGGTATCCTGCTATTCTAGCTTAGGGCTTGGTGTTGACGGTATTCTACAATTCTAGCTTAGTGCTTGGTGTTGATGGTATCCTGCTATTCTAGCTTAGTGCTTAGTGTTGACGGTGTCCTGCTATGAAAGCTTAGTGCTTAGTGTTGACGGTGTCCTGTTATTCTAGCTTAGTGCTTGGTGTTGATGGTATCCTGTTATTCTAGCTTAATGCTTGATGTTGATGGTATCCTGCTATTCTAGCTTAGTGCTTAGTGTTGATGGTATCCTGCTATTCTAGCTTAGTGCTTAGTGTTGATGGTATCCTGCTATCCTAGCTTAGTGCTTGATGTTGATGGTATCCTGCTATTCTAGCTTAGTGCTTAGTGTTGATGGTATCCTGCTCTTCTAGCTTAGTGCTTAGTGTTGATGGTACCACACAAACACTTTTGGTAGTTTATGAGGCGCATAATTTACCCTGAATTCAGGGCCCTAACCAGTACTTGCGGCCAGGTCTGTTTCAGCAAAACTTGAGTTATTGACAACTCAAGCTGCATCAGCCTACACACTGAACTCTTACCATATTTTCGTGAGTATAGTGCACACCCAAGGTTAATGCGCACCACCCTGTAGCGGATTCAGTATTTTATAAAAAAAAAAATTCAAATATTATGTGCAGAAATATTTTTACACCTTTCGGATGATACAATACTTGGTCAGTAGAAATTTGAGATAAAATTACCAGACATGTTGATTTACTGTTTAAATTGTAGATAAAGATAATTACCGCATCACAGTGTTATAGTTTTTTCACCCCAAGGTACACAAGTAAAATTTTGGACCTGTTGAAGCCCTAGGTGAAATGCATGAAAGTATGTTTTTGAGATGGTCCCTGTTGCAGAGAGAAGAGGAGGATGGAGAAAGATGTCATGGGAGGCCTCGCCATCATGAAGAAAGGTGAACCAACAGAGGTCATGTCCCCTGTTGTCTGACATAGTTCTACATTAACAGCAACAGAAATTAATATTTGTTTTAATTAGGCCACAAAAATGATCTGCTACTGAGTTACCATCGGAGTAAAACACCCAATGTTCCTGTTTCCCTGTGTGCCTGTGTTGTCTGTCTCCCCCGTGTTCATGTGTTGTCTGTGTCCCCCATGTTCCTGTGTCCCCCATGTTCCTGTGTCCCCATGTTCCTGTGTCCCAAATAGTCCTGTGTAGGCTGTGTCCCCTATGTTCCTGTGTAGGCTGTGTCCCCCATGTTCCTGTGTAGGCTGTGTCCACTATGTATCTGTGTAGGCTGTGTCCGCCTTGTTTCTGTGTAGGCTGTGTCCCCTATGTTCCTGTGTAGGCTGTGTCCCAAATTTTCCTGTGTAGGCTGTGTCCCCCATGTTCCTGTGTAGGCTGTGTCCACTATGTACCTGTGTAGGCAGTGTCTCCCATGTTCCTGTGTCCTCCATGTTCCTGTGTTGGCTGTGTTCCTGTGTAGGCTGTGTCCCCCCTGTTCCTGCGTATGCTGTGTCCCCATGTTCCTGTTCCTCCATGTTCCTGTGTTTTCTGTGTTCCTCAATGTACCTGAAGGCTGTGTCCCTGTGTAGACTGTGTCCCCATGTTCCTGTGATGGCTGTGTCCCCTATGTTCCTGTGTAGGCTGTGTCCTCCTTGTTCCTGTGTAGGCTGTGTCCCCTATGTTTCTGTGTAGGCTGTGTCCCCTATGTTCCTGTGTTGGCTGTGTCCCCTATGTTTCTGTGTAGGCTGTGTCCCCTATGTTCCTGTGTAGGCTGTGTCCTCCTTGTTTCTGTGTAGGCTGTGTCCTCCAAGTTCCTGTGTAGGCTGTGTCCCCTATGTTCCTGTGTAGGCTGTGTCCCCTATGTTTCTGTGTAGGCTGTGTCCCCTATGTTCCTGTGTAGGCTGTGTCCCCTATGTTTCTGTGTAGGCTGTGTCCCCTATGTTCCTGTGTAGGCTGTGTCCTCCTTGTTTCTGTGTAGGCTGTGTCCTCCAAGTTCCTGTGTAGGCTGTGTCCCCTATGTTCCTGTGTAGGCTGTGTCCTCCTTGTTTCTGTGTAGGCTGTGTCCCCGATGTTCCTGTGTAGGCTGTGTCCCCAATGTTCCTGTGTTGGCTGTGTCCCCCATGTTCCTGTGTTGGCTGTGTCCCCCATGTTCCTGTGTTGTCTGTGTCCCCCATGTTCCTGTGTTGGCTGTGTCCCCATGTTCATGTGTAGGCTGTGTCCCCAATGTTCCTGTGTCCCCTATGTTCCTGTGTAGGCTGTGTCCCCCATGTTCCTGTGTTGGCTGTGTCCCCAATGTTTCTGTGTAGGCTGTGTCCCCATGTTCCTGTTCCTCCATGTTCCTGTGTTTTCTGTGTTCCTCAATGTTCCTGAAGGCTGTGTCCCTGTGTAGACTGTGTTCCCATGTTTCTGTGTAGGCTGTGTCCCCTATGTTCCTGTGTAGGCTGTGTCCTCCTTGTTTCTGTGTAGGCTGTGTCCCCTATGTTCCTGTGTAGGCTGTGTCCCCCATGTTCCTGTGTTGGCTGTGTCCCCTATGTTTCTGTGTAGGCTGTGTCCCCCATGTTCCTGTGTTGGCTGTGTCCCCTATGTTCCTGTGTAGGCTGTGTCCCCCATGTTCCTGTGTTGGCTGTGTTCCTGTGTAGGCAGTGTATCCCATGTTCCTGTGTCCCCCATGTTCCTGTGTAAGCAATGTCCCCCATGTTCCTGTGTAGGCAGTGTCCCACATGTTCCTGCGTATGCTGTGTCCCCCATGTTCCTGTGTCCCCCATGTTCCTGTTCCCCCATGTTCTTGTGTTGGCTGTGTTCCTCTATGTTCCTGTGTTTACTGTGTCCCCCATGTTCCTGTGTCCCCATGTTCCTGTGTTGGCTGTGTTCCTGTGTAGGCTGTGTCCCCCATGTTCCTGTGTAGGCTGTGTCCCCCGTGTTCCTGTGTAGAATGTCTGCTGTCTGTTGGCAGGAAAAGAGAAGGCCAAGGCTGCAACAAGTGATGGCGCTTCAACATGGCGGCATGCCGCAGATGAGGTGGTGTCGATGCTGAGGAAAGTCCGCACTGAAGGCTCCGATGGTAAGTCATAGGACATCGGGGTAAGGTCATTGGTCATGGGGTTATGGTCTTTGGTCATGGGGTAAGGTCCTTGGTCATAGGGTAATGCCATTGGTCATGGGGTAAGGTCATTGGTCATGGGGGTAAGGTCATTGTTCATGGAGGTTGGGTCACTGGCTATGGTGGTAAGGACATTGGTTATTGTGAGAGTCTGTTTGCAATATGGGAAAGTCATTGTTCATTAGTCAGATGAACTGGGGTCATTATAACAGAGAAAAGTCATTCATCTTAGGGTAAGGTCATTTGTATTGGGGGTAATATGTCATTGGGTAAGGTCTTTGGTAATAGGGGTAATGTCATTGGTGGGGTTAAAGTCATTGGGGTAAGGTCATTGGTCATGGGGGTAAGTCATTGGTAGTGGGGGTAAGGTCATTGGTCATGGGGGTAAGGCCATTGGTCATTGGGGTAAGGTTATTGGTGATGGGGTTAAAATCATTGGTAGTTGGGGTAAGGTCCTTGGTCATGGGGGAAAGGTTATTGGTCATGGGGGTAAGGTTATTGGTAGTGGGGGTAAGGTCATTTGTCATGGGGGTAAGGCCATTGGTCATGGGTGTAAGATCATTGGTAATGGGGGTAAGATCATTGGTAGTGGGGGTAAGTCATTGGTCATGGGGGTAAGGCCATTGGTCATGGGGGTAAGGTTATTGGTCATTGGGGTAAGGTCATTGGTCATGGGGTAAGGTCATTGGTCATGGGGGTAAAGTCATTGGTCATGGGGGTACTGGTGATGGGGGTAAGGCCATTGGTCATGGGGGTAAGGTTATTGGTTATGGGGGTAAGGTCATTGGTGATGGGGGTAAGATCATTGGTCACCGGGTAGGGTCATTGGTCATGGGGGTAAAGTCATTGGTCATGGGGGTAAGGTTATTGGTCATGGGCGTAAGATCATTTGTAGTGGGGGTAAGTCATTGGTCATGGGGGTAAGGTTATTGGTCATGGGCGTAAGATCATTTGTGGTGGGGGTAAGTCATTGGTCATGGGGTAAGGTCATTGGTCCTAGTTGTAAGGTCATTGGTCAAGGAGTGAGGTCATGGGGTAAGGTCATTGTCAATTAGTAAGGTCATTGGTCATGGGGTAAGGTCATTGGTCATAGTTGTAAGGTCTTTGGTCAAGGAGTAAGGTCATTGCAATTGGTCATAGTTGTAAGGTCATTTGTCATGGAGGTAAGGTCATTGGTCATGGGGATAAGGCCATTGGTCATGGGGGTAAGGTGAATGAGTGAGTGAGTATGGTTTTACGCCGCTTTTAGCAATATTCCAGCAATATCACGCCGCGGGGACACCAGAAATGGGCTTCACACATTGTACCCATGTCGGGAATCGAACCAGGGTCTTCGGCGTGATGAGCGAAAGCTTTTAACCACTAGGCTACCCGACCGCCCCTAGGGGTAAGGTGATTGGTCATAGTTCTAAGGTGATTGGTCATAGTTGTAAGGTCATTGGTCATAGTTGTAAGGTCATTGGTAATGGGGGTAAGGTCATTAGTCATGGGGTAAAGGTCATTGGTCTTAAGGGTAAGTCATTGGTCATGGGGGTATGGTCTTTGGTCATTGGGGTAAGGTCATTGGTCATAGGGATAAGGTAATTGGTCATGGGGTAAGGTCATTGGTCATGGGGTAAGGTCATTGGTCATAGTTGTAAGGTCATTGGTCATAGTTATAAGGTCATTGGTCATGGAGGTAAGGTCATTGGTCATGGGGGTAAGGCCATTGTTCATGGGGGTAAGGTGATTGGTCATAGTTGTAAGGTAATTGGTAATGGGGGTAAGGCCATTTATCATGAGGGTAAGGTCATTGGTCATAAGGGTAAGGTCATTGGTCATAAGGGTAAGGCCATTGGTCATGGGGTAAGGTGATTGGTCATAGTTGTAAGGTGATTGCTAATGGGGGTAAGGTCATTAGTCATGGGGAAAGATCACTGGTCATAAGGGTAAGTCATTGGTCATGGGGGTAAGGTCATTGGTAATAGAGGTAAGTCATTTTTCATGGGGTAAGGTCATTGGTCATGTGGTAAGTCATTGGTCATTGGGGAATGGTCTTTGGCCATGGCTTTAGGTCATTGATGTAGACAGATCCTCACAATTATGGCTCTAAGTTAGGGTCATGACACTGACAGATGAAGCAGAACCCTTTGTCAAGGTTACTGGAATGATTCTCATAGCTACCTGTGTTCCTGGCAGAAATGGACACTGTGAAGCAGAAGGTAGACGGACTTGTCCTGGAACTGAAACAGAAGACACAGTGTACTGATCAGTAAGTCTTGAGTTATCCCTCACCTTTTGTATGTCAAGGCTTTGTAAGTGCAAATCACCTACCAATAACATATACTGACTGTATAAGCGGTCCCTTGTGCATGCCAGAAACCATAATTCTTGCAAATCCTCTGCCTCTATTACATCCTGGCCATAAATCCTGTATTTTGGCTGCAACCACACCAAAACTAATCTTCTGAATTTTCACTGTCAACCACACACAATTAGTTGTCAAGACAATAGCACACCAATCAGCATCCAGCTCTTCACCTTGCTAAGGTGGGAAAACCTCAATTCCTGGAAGCTCAATGGCGTATCAAAGGTGTACAAGCTTTACTCCTCTACTCCAGAAGGGCAAAGATTTGATCTGAAAGGCGCCTAACTATTAGCAGCAGATCTAGCCATTGGAACTCGACTAAAAAGATGGTCTGATGATAACATTCAATACACAGATGTCTGGATACAAGGGTCATAATAGACCTCAACAACATCAACAAGTCTTATCTCGTACTGCCTCCCAAGTTCCAGATGGAATCAATATGCGATATGGACGTTGCATTGAAGCCTCAGAAAGGGAGACTGTCTCATCAGTTTAGATCTGCAAGACACATGTGTTCATCCATTCATCCATCATCCTGAAAATATCTCTGTTTTGCCATCGATCCAATTATTGTCTGATCTGGGTTTCCTGGTACATCCAACGAAGTCAGAGACCATCCCAACACAAGACATAGGCGCCATTTGGGCCCTGATTGCAGCTACATCTCGGACGTCTCTTCCCTCCGGAGGATTGAGATACCAAGGCCTTGACGATGGTAGACACAGTAACCATCTCTCTGTTGGTAGATGTCTCTATTTGGGGTGACCGCCTCCATGGTCTAGTGGTAGAGCGTCCGCCCGGAGAGCGGAAGGTCCTGGGTTCTATCACCTCACCTCACCTCACCTCACCTCACCTCACCTCACCTCACCTCACCTCACCTCACCTCACTTCTATTTGGGAACCAAACATCCTTTCAAAACATGACATACAGAGGGAGATTGAGGTTACACCCTCTCCAGGGCCCACTTGCACAGAGCTATCTTAGCTCTAAGATCATCGTAAGCCTATGTTAAGGTATGGGAGCCTTGACATTGTTAGACACAGTATCATCCCATCCCACACAATTTCCCTGTCTCTAGTTTAACTGGATAACATCACTTTGGGACACCCCTCATCTGGTTCTCTTTGTGACTTACCTAAACACTGGACACAATGGCTCTTCAAGTGGATAGTATTGGACCGGTCTTTGTGTTCCCACCAAGGATGCTACTAGACAAGGTGATCTGGAAGATACAGATGACAGATTGCATCGTCATCTTGACAGCTCCCTTGTGGCCAGGCTGAGTATGGTTTCCCAGACTGTTCCCGCCACTATTCATTGAAGAACCGATTCATCCTTGTCGAGGACGAGAACTCCTATGTCAAACCCAAGTCAGACATATTTCACAGCAATCTACCTATGTTTCATGTGCCAAAGTCAGACATCTTTCACAGCAATCTACCTATATTTCATGTGCCAAAGTCGGACATATTTCACAGCAATCTACCTATGTTTCATGTGCCAAAGTCGGACATATTTCACAGCAATCTACCTATGTTTCATGTGCCAAAGTCGGACATCTTTCACAGCAATCTACCTATGTTTCATGTGCCAAAGTCGGACATATTTCACAGCAATCTACCTATGTTTCATGTGCCAAAGTCGGACATATTTCACAGCAATCAACCTATGTTTCATGTGCCAAAGTCAGACATATTTCACAGCAATCTACCTAGATCCAGGGTAGAATAGGTCTTCAGCAATCCATGCTTGCCGTATAGGCGACTATGCTTGTCGTAAGAGGCGACTTACAGGATTGGGTGGTCAGGCTCGCTGACTTGGTTGAAGCATGTCATTGATCCCAATTGCGGGGATCGATGCTCATGATATCAATCACTGGATTGTCTGGTCCAGACTCAATTATTTACAGACCACCGTCAAATAGCTGGAATATTGCCGAGTGCGGCGTTAAACAACATATTAACAATACAAATCATGTGGCTGCTTGGAAATATCTCACAGGAAATGCAAGACATAGGTTTCTCTAAATCCGTCTCCGCAGCCAAGGCTAAGTCATGGAGATCATGTACTGTCTCCTTAATGACAATCGATGGAATAAGTTCATCCTGTGGAGAAAACGACCTAACCTGGGAGACAGAAATATCCCCATGGTAGCAGACTCTTTACTCCATCTACGACAAGATAAAAAGCTCTGCAAAGATATAGATCTGCCTCACACTCTCTACTACATCTTGACGGATTGTCTATAAGTGATTATCCTTCTATAAGTAGACTATTGATGCCATTTCTTATGGAAGACGTCAAAGAATCTTCTCGAATCAAAATCATCAGGGGTTCTTTCAGTTCTGTTAACAGAACCATTTGAAACCCTCACCAAAGCCACGTTAATCCAGTTGCCTGTTTACTTGCCACGGCCAGAGTGCCCTAGATTTTTCAGCTCTGAGGCATACCGAAGACTGACGTACTATTACAGTCGGATTGCAACCAAGCTTTGTGGGTGGGATTGTGGCTGAGTGAGTGAGTGAGTGAGTGAGTGGGTTGGTGGTGGGTGGGTGTTTGGTATTGTGAATGAGTGAGTGAGTTGGTGGTGGGTGGGTGGATGGGATTGTGAATGAGTGAGTGAGTTGGTGGTGGTTGGGTGGATGGGATTGTGAGTGAGTGAGTGGGTTGGTGGTGGGTGGGTGGATGGGATTGTGAGTGAGTGAGTGGGTTGGTGGTGGGTGGGTGGATGGGATTGTGAGTGAGTGGGTGGGTTGGTGGTGGGTGGGTGTTTGGGATTGTGAGTGAGTGAGTGGGTTGGTGGTGGGTGGGTGGATGGGATTGTGAGTGAGTGAGTGGGTTGGTGGTGGGTGGGTGTTTGGTATTGTGAATGAGTGAGTGAGTTGGTGAATGGGTGGGTGGATGTCATTGTGAGTGAGTGAGTGGGTTGGTGGTTGAGTGAGCGGGCATTTAGCAAAATTCCACCAATATCACAGCAGGGAACACCTGGGCCCACTTGCACAAAGCAATTTTAGCACTACGACTATTATAAGCCTATGTTAAAGTATGGGAGTTATGATCACCTTAGCACTAAGATCGCTTTGTGCAAGTGGGCCCAGAAATGGGCTTCACACTTTCTACCCATGTGTGGAATCGAACTCGGGTCTTTGACGTGACAGTCGAACACTGTAACTACAAGGCAACCCAAACGCCCCCCTATGCCACGGAGGAGATGTAACTATATGGTATTTGAGTCAGCAATACAGTGAGAGCTGTTCTTTCTTTGTCTCCAGGTTGAGAAAGGAAGTGAAAGAACGGAAGAATGTAAGTATGTCCGTACGAACAGAGTTGTACAAGTCAAAATTCCTTACTTGACATGACCAGTCCAGATTATCAGATATCACTTTTGGTTGATGTTAGAATTCTGTTTTGTTGTACAGTCAAAACTGTTTACTTGTATCTCAGATTACCAGTTACAAAATTATTATATTATAATATTATTATGTAATTATGTTATGATGTTATGCATATCTTTCCAGGCTATAAGTTGCTATAATTGTTTTTCGCATTTCGCACATTTACAGTCACAACTTGAAATAATGCATAAATAAAATGGAGCGGAGAGACATGTTTTTGAGTAAAAACACTTTCTACTTGGGTGATGTTAATATTCTGTTTTGTTGTACTGTCAAAACTGTTGTCTTATATTCCAGATTTTCAGACAGCAGTGACAGAATTAATGGTAAAATTCTGTTTAGTTGCAATGCCAAACTGTTTTTCTTGTATGTCAGATTGTCAGACAACAGTTACGGAATTATTAATATTCTGTTTTGTGTTTTCAGATGATGTCTCGGTATGCTGATGACAACTCCGACCTCACCGATGAGGTTGCCAGACTCCGTTTCAAGATCAAGAAACTGGAAGTCAACTTGGACAATGCTACTAAGGCAAGAGAAGGATGTAGTTAGCTCCCTTTGTTATCCCAGATCAGATTTGCCCTGATCATATTTTCTGTTTTAGTTTCAAGGTGGGAAATGTCTGAGACATGCATCACTTCAGGCTTTCCTCCCACATGGTAAAACCTAGCTCACTCACTCATGCAGGAAAAGTGTGAATACAGCTTATAGTAAAAGAGGATGCACTGTTTTTAAAAGAGGGAACTCTTAAGATATAAAAGTGCTTGACGAATACAAATATTTCATGTGGGAAACAATGTGCATTTGTAACCCCAAAATTATTTCTTTTGCTAAAGTCACCAAAATGATTCAGCTATATTTTTTTCAAAAAGTGTGTTGGATTAATACCTGATATGTATATTGCAATTCTTCACATACTCTCTCTCTCTCTCTCTCTCTCTCTCTCTCTCTCTTGATAAGAGACTGATATGTAGTTGCCATATGATTTGATGTTGCAGTTGCTACACAACCAGATTGACCTGAAGAATATCCAGCTGCCCAAACAAGAGGAGGAGGAAACAGGGAAGGAGATCACTGTCACCGTGTCCTTCATCCTGAGACAGGTGAGTTGACTGTCACCGTGTCCTTCATCCTGAGACAGGTGAGTTGACTGTCACCGTGTCCTTCATCCTGAGACAGGTGAGTTGACTGTCACCGTGTCCTTCATCCTGAGACAGGTGAGTTGACTGTCACTGTGTCCTTCATCTTGAGACAGGTGAGTTGACTGTCACTGTGTCCTTTATCCTGAGACAGGTGAGTTGACTGTCACCGTGTCCTTCATCTTGAGACAGGTGAGTTGACTGTCACTGTGTCCTTTATCTTGAGACAGGTGAGATGACTGTCACTGTGTCCTTTATCTTGAGACAGGTGAGTTGACTGTCACCGTGTCCTTCATCTTGAGACAGGTGAGTTGACTGTCACGGTGCCCTTCATCTTGAGACAGGTGAGTTGACTGTCACCGTGCCCTTCATCTTGAGACAGGTGAGTTGACTGTCACGGCGTCCTTTATCTTGAATGTGAATGATGTTTCTAAGATTTGCCTTTCAAACTTCTTCATACATTTTCTAATAATTTCATGTATAGTTATCGAGAGGAAAAGGATATACATTAATTTCTGTTGTATAAAAATACAATGTGACTTCAAACAATCGTTAATAAGTTAAATAAAAGTGAAAGTCATACAACATGTTTTTCGGCACTGCATGTGTGAGAGGGCCTGCTCTGATCTGTGTGTTGTCAGCTGGGAGAAGCCACAGATGCCAACAACCTGAAGCGTATGGACAGTGACCCCGCCTTCTTGAGGAAACAGATCCGTGACAACAGGGAGACCATCGAGGCGTTCTCTAGGGTGAGGTGTTACAATACAGGGAGACCATCCAGGCATTCTCTAGGGAGAGGTGTTATAATACAGGGAGACCATCGAGGCATTCTCTAGGGTTAGGTGTTATAATACAGGGAGACCATCCAGGCATTCTCTAGGGTGAGGTGTTATAATACAGGGAGACCATCGAGGCATTCTCTAGGATGAGGTGTTATATATAATACAGGGAGACCATTGAGGCATTCTCTAGGGTGAGGTGTTATAATACATGGAGAACATCCAGGCATTCTCTAGGAGAGGTGTTATATATAACAGAGAGACCATCCAGGCATTCTTTTGGGAGAGGTGTTATATATAATACAGGGAGACCATCCAGGCATTCTCTTGGGAGAGGTGTTATATATAATACAGGGAGACCATCCAGGCATTCTCTTGGGAGAGGTGTTATATATAATACAGGGAGACCATCAAGGCATTCTCTTGGGAGAGGGGTTATATATAATACAGGGAGACCATCCAGGCATTCTCTTGGGAGAGGTGTTATATATAATACAGGGAGACCATCCAGGCATTCTCTAGGGATAGGTGTTATATATAACAGAGAGACCATCCAGGCATTCTCTTGGGAGAGGTGTTATATATAATACAGGGAGACCATCCAGGCATTCTCTTTGGAGAGGTGTTATATATAATACAGGGAGAACATCAAGGCATTCTCTTTGGAGAGGTATTATATATAATACAGGGAGACCATCCAGGCATTCTCTTGGGAGAGGTGTTATATATAATACAGGGAGACCATCAAGGCATTCTCTAGGATGAGGTGTTATAATACATGGAGAACATCCAGGCATTCTCTAGGGATAGGTGTTATATATAACAGAGTGACCATCCAGGCATTCTCTTGGGAGAGGTGTTATATATAATACAGGGAGACCATCCAGGCATTCTCTTGGGAGAGGTGTTATATATAATACAGGGAGACCATCCAGGCATTCTCTTGGGAAAAGTGTTATATATAATACTGGGAGACCATCAAGGCATTCTCTAGGATGAGGTGTTATAATACATGGAGAACATCCAGGCATTCTCTAGGGATAGGTGTTATATATAACAGAGTGACCATCCAGGCATTCTCTTGGGAGAGGTGTTATATATAATACAGGGAGACCATCCAGGCATTCTCTTTGGAGAGGTGTTATATATAATACAGGGAGAACATCAAGGCATTCTCTTGGGAGAGGTGTTATATATAATACAGGGAGACCATCCAGGCATTCTCTTAGGAGAGGTGTTATATATAATACAGGGAGACCATCAAGGCATTCTCTAGGATGAGGTGTTATAATACATGGAGAACATCCAGGCATTCTCTAGGGACAGGTGTTATATATAACAGAGAGACCATCCAGGCATTCTCTTGGGAGAGGTGTTATATATAATACAGGGAGACCATCCAGGCATTCTCTTTGGAGAGGTGTTATATATAATACAGGGAGAACATCAAGGCATTCTCTTGGGAGAGGTGTTATATATAATACAGGGAGACCATCCAGGCATTCTCTTGGGAGAGGTGTTATATATTATACAGGGAGACCATCAAGGCATTCTCTAGGATGAGGTGTTATAATACATGGAGAACATCCAGGCATTCTCTAGGGACAGGTGTTATATATAACAGAGAGACCATCCAGGCATTCTCTTGGGAGAGGTGTTATATATAATACAGGGAGACCATCCAGGCATTCTCTTTGGAGAGGTGTTATATATAATACAGGGAGAACATCAAGGCATTCTCTTGGGAGAGGTGTTATATATAATACAGGGAGACCATCCAGGCATTCTCTTGGGAGAGGTGTTATATATTATACAGGGAGACCATCAAGGCATTCTCTAGGATGAGGTGTTATGATACATGGAGAACATCCAGGCATTCTCTAGGGATAGGTGTTATATATAACAGAGAGACCATCCAGGCATTCTCTTGGGAGAGGTGTTATATATAATACAGGGAGATCATCCAGGCATTCTCTTTGGAGAGGTGTTATATATAATACAGGGAGAACATCAAGGCATTCTCTTGGGAGAGGTGTTATATATAATACAGGGAGACCATCCAGGCATTCTCTTGGGAGAGGTGTTATATATTATACAGGGAGACCATCAAGGCATTCTCTAGGATGAGGTGTTATAATACATGGAGAACATCCAGGCATTCTCTAGGGATAGGTGTTATATATAACAGAGAGACCATCCAGGCATTCTCTTGGGAGAGGTGTTATATATAATACAGGGAGATCATCCAGGCATTCTCTAGAATGAGGTGTTATAATACAGGGAGCCCATCCAGGCTTCTCTAGGGTGAGGTTTTATTATACAGGCAGATCATCAATGTTATACAGGGAGGCCATCAATGTTAGACAATGTTTCAAGTGTTTTGTGTCGTGAGTGATTCTGATATGACTGTTTTGTTCCCAGGAGCTGATCAAGCTGAATGAGACAGTTGAGAAGCTGGAGGCGGACATGAAGAGGAAGGTATGTCAGGAATCCATGCAGACATTTTGGTGTCTGAATAAAACTTACGTGTTCGGGACATTACAGATAATTATGGCAATACGTGTACGACCATTTGATATTCTGGTTGAAGGGGTTGGGGGCCATGGGATTTTATTGAAAAAAATAAATTGTTCTCGAAAATTCTTGGATAAAATAATTATGCTTCAGACTGCTGAAAATAAAATAAATTGTCTGCCACAAACACTACATTGTTGCAAGGTGTTTTTCTGAAAAAAAATATTCGTAGTTTTAATTAAAAAAGTATCTGGTTTTGCAGCTTTTTCTGAAAACATATCTAATTTCCATAGAAAACCCAGACTCCCCCCTCCCCACAAATATCAAATGGTCGGTCCATAAATCTTTCCGATCAAATTCTGACAGTTGTTGATGATGTTGCTTGTTGCCAGCTGGTTGTTGATGATGTTGCTTGTTGCCAGACAGTTGTTGATGATGTTGCTTGTTGCCAGACAGTTGTTGATGATGTTGCTTGTTGCCAGACAGTTGTTGATGATGTTGCTTGTTGCCAGACAGTTGTTGATGATGTTGCTTGTTGCCAGACAGTTGTTGATGATGTTGCTTGTTGCCAGACAGTTGTTGATGATGTTGCTTGTTGCCAGACAGTTGTTGATGATGTTGCTTGTTGCCAGACAGTTGTTGATGATGTTGCTTGTTGCCAGACAGATGTTGATGATAGGGCTGCAACGGTTTGGTTTGGTGCACCAAGAACCGGTACTTGTCGTCTCGATGTGATCTTCGATCTACAATGTCTAGATTTCGATTCGGTTCATTCCAATTTTTTGTAATAAATTTAAAATTAACAAAAATAACCTACCTCGTTGACGAAAAAAATTAAAAGACTTGCGTTCATATCGACGAAGTGAAAATGTCCAAAAATGCATTTGTTTGAAACTTTTGACAACTGTCACTTGAAAACGAAAATAGAATAGAGTGACCTCCCTTTGAAAGCATGGCAGACGACGTGCTGTCACCAGCCCCAAGTCATCTATAATCTAAGGTTTGGGCTCATTTCGGGTTTAGGCAGCAGTCAAAAGATGCTGCATCTTGTAAAGTTTGTTACATGGACATTACGTACAAGGCCGGAAACACGACTAATCTTTCAAACCATTTGAAAAGAAAGCATGGACTCGATGTCAACGCAAGACTATTGTTTATTATTAGGCTTATGAATCGAATCGAAAATAATCGAATCAAATGGAAATAATCGAGCATTGAACCGAATCGAAGTATTGGTGAACTGTTGCAGCCCTAGTTGACGATGTTGCTTTTTGCCAGCTGGTTGTTGATGATGTTGCCAGACGGGTGTTGATGATGTTGCTTGTTGCCAGATGGTTGTTGATGATGTTGCTTGTTGCCAGATGGTTGTTGATGATGTTGCTTGTTGCCAGATGGTTGTTGATGATGTTGCTTGTTGCCAGATGGTTGTTGATGATGTTGCTTGTTGCCAGACGGTTGTTGATGTTGCCAGATGGTTGTTGATGATTCTGCTTGTTGCCAGATGGTTGTTGATGTTGCTTGTTGCCAGACAGTTGTTGATGATGTTGCCAGCCGGTTGTTGTTGATGTTGCTTGTTGGCAGACAGTTGTTGATGTTGTTTCTGTTGTTGTCAGGAATCAATTCTATCAGACCTTGAATTGGTGAACAATGATCTCCGGGAGAGGGTGACAGAGAGCCGCAGTGATGAGGGTATCGCCATCTCCCAGCAGCCGTCAAGCTTCAGGTTAGGGATCAGGACAACTGTCGGGGCAAGGTGTTGGTTTAGAAAGGGTTAAAAATGACCGTTGTCCAATGCCTTGTTCTGTATTTTAGATATACGTTTGTTTTCTTAGAAACAATGACCCACACATATAGTCCAAGACAACCATCATTTTAGTTGTATCCCTATTTTTGTAAAACCCATGTTTAAAATATAAATATCAAGTGTTTTCTGGAACAAAATATATTTTTTCCAAAAGATCACAGGGCCTATCCCCTCCCTCTCCTGCTTGACAGTTAGCCAGTGATCAGTGATGAAAATACAAGATAATTAATGTTGATTTAGTCAAATTTATCATCCAAAACTGGCTCTCACAGGAGATATCGCTGGCGGAGATCAAGCGATATCTACACTGTAGATATTGCTGCAATGAAATTGCATCACAATGCTTTGCAGACCATTGTGACGTCATTGGTTACCATGACATCACAATCAAATGACATCACTAATGGCTCTTCTACTGAAGCTGTTAGCAGTACTTTTTACACTTAAGACACCGCTTATTACTGCCTACAAACTGAAAAAGTTGGAAGAATGATGTTGAATGATAAATAAAATCTCACCCGAGTGTCTTTTGATATCAAATATATCAACACTCGTTGATAAAAGTGGCAAAAATCCTCGGCAAGCCTCAGAGTTTTCCCACTTTTATCAACTCGTGTTGATATATCTGATATCAAAAGACACTCGGGTGAGATTCTCTATATGTGTTCAGTTCAGACATAAGCTAATTGTTTTGTGTTACTCCTTCGATATGGGGCAGTGTAGTAGCTGTGTGCCGGAAGCATATACATTTGTTCCTGTGTCGTCTTGCCATCTCTTCAGCACAGTTCTCTGCAAATAAGGCTATAAAAATTAATTGAATTGGTTGTCAGGCAATGGCTTTTGAAAATATTGTGTGGGCGGCTTTCTTGTTGTTGTTGTTGTTGTTGTACAAACTAGTAAGAATCATAATCTGTATATCGCTGTATATAAGGCGAGTTTTTCGACCTACAATTAGGGGGCTTTCAAGGGGGGTCATCTTATACACAGGGTTGAAGAGATTTGATGTTTGTTTCCCCAACACAAAGACATTACTGTGAGCACGTAACACCAGAAATACCATGTCAACAAATCTGTACTGAAGTATGCAAACTAATCATGTAATTACACTGAGTTTGTTCTATATCTGGACTTATGTTTGTAATCTATTTTATTCATTTTATTCAACATTTCATTCAATATTGTTTCCATTCATTTTGGCCAAAGCGTATGGTAAGTGATCGTAAGATCGCACAACTCATCGTTATTTACAGCAACCACGGTCATATTACCACTTTTGATGCCTTGAAACAAACTTTAGTGGATAGAGAATGGATATATGTATCATAAATGCCATACATTTACTCACTGAAAGTCATATTTGTTGTAGTTTGACTATTATATGTCAACATAAAGTTTTCGCCATTGTGAGCGCTAAGCATCTACGGTGTTTGGTCAAATTGTTCCAAACGAAAAAATATCCAGCAATGGCGATCAGCTAACCAGAGTGATGCGCTTATTGTTATTAATTTATTTTATAAATATATAGTAAAGCTGCAACTAAAATAACATGATATTGAAATAAATTATTCCTGATAAAATAATAGTTTTATATACTATTCTTCTGCTCATGGAATCAAATTCTTTAAAGTTATATTATTGGGTAATTTGTAACCAAATCAGCGGTACATTCTGAGAAACGTGTGTACAGCCGATTGCTACTCCTAGCTTAGTTTTCGAGAAAATACACACGGTAATCTTAATTTTGGCATTGAAAACAATGCCAATCAGAACAAGAAATACAATTTAATCAGTAAATCATCATGTCTAGCGTTGTTTTATCTCAAATTTCAAATTTCAAATTGACCAAGTTTATTTATTGTCTTTTCGTTTCCCTGAAGGGATACGATGGAAGACAAACATGTGTTTATTGATAATGTAGGGATTATGTATGCGCTGGTGATGTGCAGGTGATGTGCTTCATTCCGATTCGCTTTATAGACAGGGTATATAAATTAGCATTGATTTTGAAGGGGTGCTTGTACAGGGGGTTGTCTTATAGGTGGGATCGCTTTATATACGGCGATATACGGTACATTACATTAAAATCGTGTATGATCTGATCCGCAAATCACATCAACTCACCATAACCTTGCCTTAAAATGAACATTAGTTATGAGGGGGAAGTATGAAATTTCTTGTCAATTATGGTATTGGTCATGACATGAAGTATTTTTGAACTAAATCACCCATAGATCGGGGAGAAAATGTGTAAACAGCTGATTGCTATTTCCGGCTTATTTTGTGAGACAAATACACATGTAAATCTTAACCTCTGCATATGAAACATTGTCCCGCATACAGTACACAAATACCATTGAATTTGTAAATCATTATGTCTAGTGATGATTTATGGTAAATTTCAAGTTTTCATTGACCAAATTTGCAAACAGCAAAACAAGCCCACAAACTCCTATTGCCGCCATAAACCATTACACACAAGATGCACAGTAAAGCAGTGTGCATGTAAAGGGAAGTAACTGTGAGCTATATTGGATCACATTGTTTTTAAGTGTTGTAGCATTTCACTGTTAGGGTCGTGTCTTCGAAATGTGGAATATTTAAAGATTTTTTTCCCCACGGCATATAATGCAGGGATATATAGCGATCAGCCAGTCTGTCCGTCCGTCTGTCCGTCCGTAATCATTTCCTTTTCCGGGGGAGAATTCGAAAACTAATCAGTGTATTTGATCGAAACTTGGCAAATCTATCAGGCACATACTGAAGTGGCGCCTTTTGATATTATTTTTTTTACGAATTTTTATTTTTTACAATTTTTATGGAAAGAAGTTGGACCTAGACTCCATTGGGGAACGGGTTTGTTTCCGGGCCACAATTCGAAAACCATTCAGTGGGTAAACAATGTATGCTTCTTAAAGAACATTCAACTGTTGACTCATTACATACAGAATTGCACATTTACTAGTGGTTACTTTACAGACGGCTGCCGGGGGGATATGTCATCTTTCTGATGACTCTTATTTTTTTTTAAAATGGAAATGAAAACAAAACGTGAGTCAGACTTTGTGATGATGCGGCGGTCCCTGAGACCCAAGAATTTTTGTTTGTTAGCCTAGCATGAATGTGAACATTCCAGTGGATTTAGTGAGCGAGTTGGGTTTTTTCCTGTAGAAACATCACTCAAGCAAGCCAATCCCTTATCAGTAGAAACTGCATTCAGCCAATCAGGCTTCTTTTCAGAAGAAACTTCCTTCAACTGAGCCAAACGCCTTTCATTATACTGAAACACTTTTCCTGGGGATTCAAGGTCAGTGTGTGAGGTTTTTACGCTGCTGTTGGCAATATTCCAGCAATATTATGATGGGAGACACCAGGAATGGGCTTGAATGGGCTTCACATATTGTACCCATGTGGGATTCGAACCTACAGCTTTTACGAGAAAATTCTTTCACCACTTGGCTACCAAATACACTTGGGAATCAGGGGAGACTACTCTGAACACACCGTATACTAGCTGAATAGATGAGCATCCAGACATTGAATTAGAAAATCCAACCAAACGAAAGAATTGTTTTCATGTGTTTATAAAATGGTCAGAGACAAAGTATAAGTGATTGTAGTTGTAACGATTGCTATCCATACTTTCTGATAGAATATGAAAAGTTATTATGATCTGTCATATTATTAATATTATTATTGGTAATTATGTTCCAGTGTTAACGGAGTGAAGATGGCCCTTAGTTCTCAAGCCTGCAACTGCAAGTGCCATCAGGCATCAATGGTGTCACTGCACAGGGTGAGTTGTTTCCTTGTGTTTGAAGTCTGTAGAGGACAGTGTCCCAGAAGAATATATAACCTCCGAGGAATGATACGAGGCAGGGTTTGAAATTACCAGAAGACCACTTATCCGGGACCAGTAACATTCAGGAAGGACTAGTGATGTTTCCTTGTGGACTGCCACTTTTACGATTAGGTAGATTGTAACTCTGTAACTGATCATTTTTGCCGACTTCTTTTATTTTTATTTTTATTTTTATTATTTTTATTATTTTTATTTTATTTTAGTTTTTTATTATTATTATTATTATTATTATTATTATTATTATTATTATTTTGTTAAAGCCATCATCCCAGGAGATCAGTGGCCAGGGCGATGATAAGGATAAGAACAAGCTGTTGAAGAAGCTGGACTACTTCCGGAAGGCGCTGTCAGATGCCGAGCTGAGGCTGAGTCAGGCCTACAAGGAGATTGCTGAGATGAGACGTAAGAGTCTTGGAGCGGTGAGTTGTTGTCGATGTACCAACTGAATTATTGATGCATTGTAACTGGCCAAGTTAAGATAGCAATTGTTAACTTCAGTATCAGCTGTAAGAAATGCAAAAGTGCAGTCTGACAATGGTGCGTTGTCATGGTGAAATCTGACAATGGGGAGTTGTCATTGTGCATTCTGACAGTGGTGGGTTGTCATGGTGAAATCTGACAATGGGGAGTTGTCATTGTGCATTCTGACAGTGGTGGGTTGTCATGGTGAAATCTGACAGTGATGAGTTGTCATGGTGAAATCAGACAGTTGTGAGTTGTCATGGTGCAGTCTGACAGTGGTGAGTTGTCATGGTGAAATCTGACAGTGATGAGTTGTCATGGTGAAATCAGACAGTTGTGAGTTGTCATGGTGCAGTCTGACAGTGGTGAGTTGTCATGGTGAAATCAGACAGTGGTGAGTTGTCATGGTGCAGTCTGACATTGTTTGAATGTCATGGTGAAATCTGCCAATGGTGAGTTGTCATGGTGAAATCTGCCAATGAGGGGCTGTGATGGTGCTGAGTCTGGTAAAATATGTCTGATGTACCAATCAGAATGTATGAAATGCTCAAAATTTGCAAATAGGCAACATTTAGCAACTCATGTTTTGATTATTCTCCAGGATGATTCGTCGACTGAGTTGCTAAAAATAGAATCTGGTGGTGAGTCGTCAGGTGACGAAGAAGAAAAAACATCAAAGGTATGTTGCACACAGTGGTGATGTCATGTGATGGATGACAGCCTGTTGTTGGGAAAATGTAAAATTTGTAGGACTGTTTGAAGTTTTGTGTTAATACACAACTGGAAGGGAAAAATGCTTCATAACTTTGTGTTTAATATTATTGTGGGAAAGAGGCGACTAAAGGGATCGGGTGGTCAGGCTCGCTGACGCGGTTGATGCATGTCATCGTATCCCAATTGCATGGATTGTTGATCATGATGGAAATCACTGGATTGTCTGGTCCAGGCTCGATTATTTACATGCCGCTGTCATACAGCTGGACTATTGCTGAGTGCGGCGTTAAACAACAAATAAACAAACAAAACAAAACTTCACTGAAACATTTTGGGTTGTCCAACTAATATTTGCTGCAACAATTTTCTCTCTCACTTCCAGGAGCCAGGGAAAGACAAGAAGAAGGTTGCCAAGGAACCGAAGAGGAAGAAGAATGTTCGCCGGAAATCCATCAAACCAAAGGTATGAGCAGGAAGAACTTTGTGGCCTATTTCACATCAGTAGCAGTTTAACATCAAGCAGAGAGTGATCTGCAGAGCTATCAATATTTCCGATGTACAGGCTGTTCTGCAGAGCTATCAATATTTCTGACGTACCAGCTGTTCTGCAGAGCTATCAATATTTATGTTGTACTGGCTTTTCTGCAGAGCTATCAATATTTCCGATGTACCAGCTGTTCTGCAGAGCTATCAATATTTCCGATGTACCAGTTGTTCTACAGAGCTATAAATATTTATGTTGTACCAGCTGTTCTGCAGAGCTATCAATATTTTGGATGAACCAGTTGTTCTGCAGACCTATCAATATTTCCGATGTACAGGCTGTTCTGCAGAGCTATCAATATTTCCGATGTACCAGCTGTTCTGCAGAGCTATCTGATAACATGTCAGTCCTAACCAGTCCTTCAGAAACCAGTGAACTTAGAACTGACATCAACTGGACATTATTGCATTGATCTAGTTGGACAAAGAGATTTTCCTGCTGAACAAACTTCAGATCGTGGCCTGGAGCAGTGTACAGTTGAACAGTTAGATTCAGAAGCACTCTTCATAAAAGAAAATATTGGTGAAAAGGATCAAAAGAAAGCGCTGGAGAAGCTTCACAAGCAGTTTGGACACGCCACAGCGGAAAGATTACAGAGGCTTATTCAAAATGCAGGGAATAAAGATCCCGACATCTTGAAGACACTAACAGAAATAGTTGAGAAATGTGAAACATGTGAAAGGTATAGGAAACAACCAACTAAGCCAGCAGTTGGATTTCCTAAGGCTACAGATTTTAATGAGACAGTGGCTGTTGACTTACACGAACTTGGAAAGGGCATGTGGTATTTGCACATTATTGATGAATTTACAAGATTTAGTGCTGGAGCTATTATTAGAAGTAAGCAATCATCAGTGTTTGTTCAGAACTTTATTCAGCATTGGATAAGTATTCATGGAGCACCACAAAAACTCTTAAGTGACAATGGAGGAGAATTCAACAATGCTGAAGTGAGAGACATGTGTGAGAATTTTAACATTGAAGTAAAGACCACAGCAGCAGAGAGTCCATGGAGCAATGGATTGCTTGAACGCCACAATCAGACTTTGACAAATATCATGAGAAAGGTGAAATCTGAGAAGAACTGTGACTGGGAAACGGCACTTAGTTGGGCATTAATTGCCAAGAACAGCCTCAGTAACATTTCTGGATACAGCGCATACCAGTTGGTTTTTGGACGAAACCCAAATTTACCATCAGTTCTGACTGACAAGGCACCATCGCTCGAGGGCACCACAACAAGTGCAACTGTGGGAAAACATATTAATACAATGTTTGCATCAAGACAGGCTTTCATAGAAGCTGAAAGTTCTGAAAGATTGAGAAGAGCCCTCAGAAAGCAGATTCGTCCAGTTGCTGGAAATTTTGAGACCGGTGACAAGGTCTACTTCAAGAGGTCAGATGATCCTAAATGGAAGGGTCCAGGAACTGTGATAGGACAAGACGGTACTGTGGTTTTCGTGAGAAATGGAGGAATTGTGGTGAGGGTTCATAGAAGTAGAATGAGGCGTTGTGTAGAAAAGGAAATTCCTGAAAATAACAATGAACATAATGAGAGGCAAGTAGAACAAGAGGAAACTGTGCAAAGACATGATAGTGTCGAGGAAGACAGTGACCTAGAGATACAAACACAAGAACCACAGATAGGAGAAGTTTCTGAATTGAACAATCTACAGGAACGATTATCACAAATAAAGTCTGGGCAGACAATTTCATATGCACATCATGACACTGGAGATCAAGTCTGTGCAAAAGTTCTTAGCAGAGCAGGAAAAGCAACAGGCAAAAACAGGAGCTGGTACAACTTAGAATTCATGAATTCTGAAATGCAAGGTATAAGTCAGTCAGTTGATTTGTCCAAGGTAGAAGAATTGCGGATAATCCCCTGTGAAATCATGGAGGAAAACGTCATGATTACAGAAGATGTTGCATGGACTAAACCCAAGCTAACTGAACTTGATAGTTGGAAGGAAAATGGAGTTTACAAAGAAGTTGTCGATGATGGGCAAAGATGTGTGTCAACCAGGTGGGTCTGTACACTTAAAGAAACACCAGAGAAGATAATACCTAAGGCAAGGTTAGTTGCCCGAGGATTCGAAGAAGGTGAGAATACGGACTTTCAAAAAGATTCCCCAACATGTGCTAAAGAATCGCTGAAACTTATCTTGGCAGTATTTTGTCAGAAAAAATGGAAACCTCATTCAATGGATATTAAAACTGCGTTTCTTCAAGGTGAAGAGATGAAGAGAGACGTTTACATTAGACCTCCGAAAGAAGCAAACGTACCTGGAAAACTCTGGCATCTTCAGAAGTGTGTCTATGGACTAAGTGATGCATCACTACACTGGTATCAGAAAGTCAAGTCAGTCATGTTGGAACTAGGAGCTAAGGTATCGAGAGTTGACCCAGCAGTATTTTTATGGGAAGGACAAGATCAAGAAACTGTTGGAATATTGGCATGTCATGTTGATGACTTTATTTGGGGTGGATCTGCAGAATTCAGATCAAATGTAATGGAATCTGTGAGATCACACTTAAAGGTTGGAAAAGAAGAAAATCAAGCTTTTCAATACTTGGGAATGAACTTATCTTGCCAGGACGGACACATTTTCTTACATCAACAGAAATATGCAGAAAGCCTCAACTTTGTACAGATTGATAAATCTAGATCCGCTCAGAAATCTTTACTCCTGAACGATATTGAGAAGCATGAACTCAGATCCAAGATAGGACAAATACTGTGGATAGCTAAACAGAGTCGGCCTGATGTTATATTTGATGCTTGTCGACTAGCAGCATGTACGAAGGATGCCAAAGTTGAACATCTTTTGACAGCAAACAAGATCATTAGGAAGATTAAGTCAGAACATGTCAACCTGAAATTTCAAAATGTAGGAAAGGAACTTTCACTTGTAGTTTTCAGTGATGCTTCGTTAGGAAACCTGCCAGATGGAGGCACACAGGGTGGACACATGATTTTCCTCACAGGCAGTACAGGAAAGGTGACACCTTTATGTTGGAACTCGAAGAAGATTCGTAGGGTGGTGCGAAGCACACTGGCTGGTGAAACTTTGGCGATGGCCGATGGTATTGATACAGGAGTGTACCTATCAATGTTGTTTGGAGAACTGACTGGTGAGAAACACAACAGAATGACATTGACCTGTATCACAGACTCTAAATCACTGTATGATGCTCTAAAATCCACTAAACCTGTTAAAGAAAAAAGACTGAGAATGGAAATAAGTGGGATCAAGGAGTTAGTGGAATCTGGACAGATAGGAGATGTGACATGGGTGGACACAAATAACCAGTTGGCAGACTGTCTGACCAAAGAGGGCGCTTCACCTATGAAGTTACTACGGGTCCTTGAAGAAGGAACTCTGTGAAGATATTATTATAAACTGCATCATCTTTTAACCTGTTTTTATGAAGATCTTAAAGAAGAAAACAAAACAAAATATGTTTGTTGGAACAGTCTGCATCCTTCTTTTACATAAAACTATTTTATACAAATCAAAAATATTTGAGGTTATATGTGAAGAAACTGTTCTTGACATATACTGTACAGAGACTGTTCAGAGACTGGAAACTGTTCTTGGGATATACTGTACAGAGACTGGTTTTAAGAAATTTATTTTTACTTTTACCGAGAGCCTGAGGGAAGGCTTTACATATTAACAAATGAAATTTTGACACAGCCAGCAAAGTTTGTCACTCCAGCCTTATCACATTTGAAGACAAACTTTAAAGAAGTAGGAGATTGATAACATGTCAGTCCTAACCACATTGTGTGGTATGTTTACATTCGAGTGTACTGGAAGTGACCTCTGAACTTGACTACGTGTGCGCATGCGTGAGAGGAAGCAGCGTGTTTACGCATGGCGGGAATTTGATATGAACTGTCAGTGGTGTGTAGAATGAGAGAAGGGCTAACCAGGGCCAACAGTGGAAAGGGCCATAAAGGTAATTAACACTATCAATATTTCCGATGTACCAGTTGTTCTGCAGAGCTATCAATATTTCCGATGTACCAGCTGTTCTGCAGAGCTATCAATATTTCCGATGTACCAGCTGTTCTGCAGAGCTATCAATATTTCTGATGTACCAGCTGTTCTGCAGAGCTATCAATATTTCCGATGTACAGGCTGTTCTGCAGAGCTATCAATATTTCCGATGAACCAGTTGTTCTGCAGAGCTATCAATATTTCCGATGTACCAGCTGTTCTGCAGAGCTATCAATATTTCTGATGTACAGGCTGTTCTGCAGAGCTATCAATATTTCCGATGTACAGGCTGTTCTGCAGAGCTATCAATATTTCCAATGAACCAGTTGTTCTGCAGAGCTATCAATATTTCCGATGTACAGGCTGTTCTGCAGAGCTATCAATATTTCCGATGTACCAGCTGTTCTGCAGAGCTATCAATATTTCCGATGAACCAGTTGTTCTGCAGAGCTATCAATATTTCCGATGTACAGGCTGTTCTGCAGAGCTATCAATATTTCCGATGTACCAGCTGTTCTGCAGAGCTATCAATATTTCCGATGTACCAGTTGTTCTGCAGAGCTATCAATATTTCCGATGTACCAGCTGTTCTCCAGAGCTATCAATATTTCCGATGTACCAGCTGTTCTGCAGAGCTATCAATATTTCCGATGTACAGGCTGTTCTGCAGAGCTATCAATATTTCCAATGTACAGGCTGTTCTGCAGAGCTATCAATATTTCCGATGAACCAGTTGTTCTGCAGAGCTATCAATATTTCCGATGTACAGGCTGTTCTGCAGAGCTATCAATATTTCCGATGTACCAGTTGTTCTGCAGAGCTATCAATATTTCCGATGTACCAGCTGTTCTGCAGAGCTATCAATATTTCCGATGTACCAGCTGTTCTGCAGAGCTATCAATATTTCCGATGTACAGGCTGTTCTGCAGAGCTATCAATATTTCCGATGTACCAGCTGTTCTGCAGAGCTATCAATATTTCCGATGTACCAGTTGTTCTGCAGAGCTATCAATATTTCCGATGTACCAGCTGTTCTGCAGAGCTATCAATATTTCCGATGTACCAGCTGTTCTGCAGAGCTATCAATATTTCCGATGTACAGGCTGTTCTGCAGAGCAATCAATATTTCTGATGTACAGGCTGTTCTGCAGAGCTATCAATATTTCCAATGTACCAGCTATTATGCACAGCTATCAATATTTCTGATGTACCAGCTGTTCTGCAGAGCTATCTGTAGCTACGATTTACCAGCGGTTCTTAAGAACTCTCCATTGGGTCTGTCTTGCTTGAGATATGCTTGACCACGAAACTTTAGTCATGATTGGATTTCTGAAAAACAGAAACTGATAACAGTTTAATAAAGACTAAAACTGTTTGAATTAAGTACAGTATCATAGTGTAGACTAATGACTTGGACAACAATATGAAGTTTTTAGATTTAAATTTTTTTAGATTATGTAATTTTACTTATTTTGTAGGGAAAGAAGGACAAGTCCCTACCTCCAATCAACCAGCCCATTATACCTGAACCTGAGGTTCCCCCACCCCCAGAATTTGATGATAACAGAGATAATGAACTATGGCAAGTGGGAGATATCCAGGGACGGGTGAGTTGGTGATAACAGATAATGAATTATGGAAAGAGGGAGGTATCTAGGGATTGGTGAGATGGTGAATAATGAACTATGGCAAGTGGGAGATATCCAGGGATGGGTGCGTTGGTGAATAATGAACTATGGCAAGTGGGAGATATCCAGGGATGGGTGTGTTGGTGAATAATGAACTATGGTAAGTGGGAGATATCCAGGGACAGGTGAGTTGGTGATAACAGATAATTTACTATGGCAAGTGGGAGATATCCTGGGACAGGTGAGTTGGTGAATAATGAACTATGGCAAGTGGGAGATATCCTGGGACAGGTGAGTTGGTGAATAATGAACTATGGCAAGTGGGAGATATCCAGGGACAGGTGAGTTGGTTATAACAGATAATGTACTATGGGAAGTGGGAGATATCCTGGGACAGGTGAGTTAGTGAATAATGAACTATGGTAAGTGGGAGATATCCAGGGACAGTTGAGTTGGTGAATAATGAACTATGGAAAGTGGGAGATATCCTGGGACAGGTGAGTTGGTGAATAATGAACTATGGCAAGTGGAAGATATCCAGGGTCGGGTGAGTTGGTTATAACAGATAATGTACTATGGGAAGTGGGAGATATCCTGGGACAGGTGAGTTAGTGAATAATGAACTATGGTAAGTGGGAGATATCCAGGGACAGTTGAGTTGGTGAATAATGAACTATGGAAAGTGGGAGATATCCTGGGACAGGTGAGTTGGTGAATAATGAACTATGGCAAGTGGGAGATATCCTGGGACAGGTGAGTTAGTGAATAATGAACTATGGCAAGTGGGAGATATCCTGGGACAGGTGAGTTAGTGAATAATAAACTATGGTAAGTGGAAGATATCCAGGGTTTGGTGAGTTGGTTATAACAGATAATGTACTATGGGAAGTGGGAGATATCCTGGGACAGGTGAGTTGGTGAATAATGAACTATGGCAAGTGGGAGATATCCTGGATCAGGTGAGTTGGTGAATAATGAACTATGGCAAGTGGGAGATATCTAGGGATACGTGAGTTGATGATAACAGATAATGAACTATGGAAAGTGGGAGATATCCTGGGACAGGTGAGTTGGTGAATAATGAACTATGGAAAGTGGGAGATATCCTGGGACAGGTGAGTTGGTGAATAATGAACTATGGAAAGTGGGAGATATCCTGGGACAGGTGAGTTGGTGAATAATTAACTACGGTAAGTGGGGGATATCCAGGGACAGGTGAGTTGGTGAATAATTAACTATGGTAAGTGGGAGATATCCAGGGACAGGTGAGTTGGTGATAACAGATAATGTACTATGGCAAGTGGGAGATATCCTGGGACAGGTGAGTTGGTGAATAATGAACTATGGCAAGTGGGAGATATCCTGGGACAGGTGAGTTGGTGATGATGAACTATGGCAAGTGGGAGATATCCAGGGACAGGTGAGTTGATGAATAATGAACTATGGCAAGTGGGAGATATCCAGGGACAGGTGAGTTAGTGAATAATGAACTATGGCAAGTGGGAGATATCCTGGGACAGGTGAGTTGGTGAATAATGAACTATGGTAAGTGGGAGATATCCTTGGACAGGTGAGTTGGTGAATAATGAACTATGGAAAGTGGGAGATATCCTGGGACAGGTGAGTTGGTGAATAATGAACTATGGCAAGTGGGAGATATCCTGGGACAGGTGAGTTGGTGAATAATGAACTATGGCAAGTCGGAGATATCCTGGGACAGTTGAGTTGGTGAATAATGAACTCTGGAAAGTGGGAGATATCCTGGGACAGGTGAGTTGGTGAATAATGAAATATGGCAAGTGGAAGATATCCAGGGATACGTGAGTTGGTGAATAATGAACTATGGCAAGATTTTCATAGATTGGTGAGTGTGGGATACCGTAACAGGTGTGATGAACTATGACAAGTGTTAGATATCCAGGGACAGGTGAGTTGGTGAATAATGAACTATGGCAAGATGTAAGAACAACTACTGAAACGACTTACAAGAAGTCGACATCAGCCAATTAGAAAGCGGCTTTCTCAAGCTTTACAGCACTCATATCAACCTGGCGACTTCCATTTCAGACGATGCTTGAAAAATATGTTGACACAGTTCTCAATTAAAATTTTGAAAACTGAACAAACGAGCATTCAGGAATGTCTGATATATGGTTGCGATTGTATGGCAGTGCTTCCCACATACTGTGCAACGCCTCCTCCATTCAAATGTTTATCCCACAAAAAGAGACAGACGATAATTTTGACGTAATCAGTCATACGGGCCGTAACAGTCGTTCGGAATACCCAGTGTTGACGTTTTCGAGGTTGCATGATTAGAAAACACATTCCGACTGTCACTTTCATGGTCTGGTAAGCAACGCTTTGATTGGTGGGATGAAAGGTCGTTCTGACGTGACCCGTAATGGGATGTCCTCAGATCTTTGTTTAGCGATAGCGAGAACTAAGATCTGGTTTTAATGAGATCGCATTTATCGGCGAGGGTAGTTGACAGCTTGGCTCCTGAGAGTTTCTAGGGCTTTGGTCCTGCTCCAATTCTTGGGCAAGTGACCTTGTTTTCAAGTGTCCCTGTTCACCAAACAGAGACTGGAAACCAGGTAGGATGTGATGGTCATGTGACTGTAAATCTTCTATCGGCTCTCAAGCAGCTTGGCTTGCATACTCCCTTGAAAGCTTAGAATAAAAAATTGATGCACACTGATCCATTGACTAGGGTAATAATGAAGCGATTTGAGCATGCTTTAGGGTGTGGATGTGAGGCATTATTAATATCCACATGATAGTTATTATTCTCTCCTGCAGCTGAACATGCTGGTGATGGCCATTATGTCGTATGTGACAGACATCGGGAAGCTGGTCGGGGGCGAGGAGGAGGTGAGTGGGCAGATAACCCCTGTCACTGCACTCCGCATTAAGCAAGCTGCATTTTACACTTAGAGGAATACACAAAGTATGTGATCTAGACTACCAGTTGTCAGGTTTCCTTGTATAAGCCTCGGATGGAGAGGAGGTGTCTCCTTGTGTGAATATCTTAGGACAGCTCACTAGTGACAGCATGACATACAGAACCATAGGACGTCTCCCTAGGGACAGCAGGATGTATTGAACCATAGGACGGCTCCCTAGTGACAGCATGATGTATAGAACCATAGGACGTCTCCCTAGTGACAGCATGATGTATAGAACCATAGGATGGCTCCCTAGTGACAGCATGATGTATAGAACCCTAGGAAGGCTCCCTAGTGACAGCATGATGTATAGAACCATAGGTCAGCTCTCAAGTGACAGCATGATGTATAGAACCATAGGACGGCTCCCTAGTGACAACATGATGTATAGAACCCTAGGACGTCTCCCTAGTGACAGCATAATGTATAGAACCATAGGTCGGCTCTCTAGTGACAGCATGATGTATAGAACCATAGGACGGCTCCCTAGTGACAGCATGATGTATAGAACCATAGGACATCTCCCTAGTGACAGCATGATGTATAGAACCATAGGACGGCTCCCTAGGGACAGCATGATGTATAGAACCATAGGACGTCTCCCTAGGGACAGCATGATGTAAAGAACCATAGGACGTCTCCCTAGTGACAGCATGATGTATAGAACCATAGGACGTCTCCCTAGTGACAGCATGATGTATAGAACCATAGGACGTCTCCCTAGTGACAGCATGATGTATAGAACCCTAGGACGGCTCCCTAGTGACAGCATGATGTATAGAACCATAGGACGTCTCCCTAGTGACAGTATGATGTATAGAACCATAGGACGGCTCCCTAGTGACAGCATGATGTATAGAACCATAGGACGTCTCCCTAGTGACAGTATGATGTATAGAACCCTAGGACGGCTCCCTAGTGACAGCATGATGTATAGAACCATAGGACGTCTCCCTAGTGACAGTATGATGTATAGAACCATAGGACATCTCCCTAGTGACAGCATGAGTATAGAACCATAGGACGGCTCCCTAGTAACAGCATGATGTATAGAACCCTAGGAAGGCTCCCTAGTGACAGCATGATGTATAGAACCATAGGACGGCTCCCTAGTGACAGCATGATGTATAGAACCATAGGACATCTCCCTAGTGACAGCATGATGTATAGAACCTTAGGACGTCTCTCTAGTGACAGCATGATGTATAGAACCATAGGACATCTCCCTAGTGACAGCATGATGTATAGAACCATAGGACGTCTCCCTAGTGACAGCATGATGTATAGAACCATAGGACGTCTCCCTAGTGACAGCATGATGTATAGAACCCTAGGACGGCTCCCTAGTGACAGCATGATGTATAGAACCCTAGGACGTCTCCCTAGTGACAGCATGATGTATAGAACCCTAGGACGGCTCCCTAGTGACAGCATGATGTATAGAACCATAGGACGGCTCCCTAGTAACAGTATGATGTATAGAACCATAGGACGGCTCCCTAGTGACAGCATGATGTATAGAACCATAGGACATCTCCCTAGTAACAGCATGATGTATAGAACCATAGGACGGCTCCCTAGTGACAGCATGGCATATTGAAAAATAAGACGTCTCCCAAATGACAACATGACTTCTAGAACCATAGGATGGCTCACAATTTCTTTAAAATACCTCTGAATTTAATTTCACTTTGCTAACAAATTTGCTACCTAAATGCCTCTGAATATTAGGAAAAAATAATTTCATGATAAGTCACAATTGCGGATGATGTTGGGAGTTCTAGATGCACCCTGCTCACTGTTTCAGACCGTCAAGAAGGCCGTCGTGCAACAGTTCCAGTTCGGGCAGAAGCCAGAGGACAAGGCCGTGAAGAACGCCAGCAATAAACGTGCGGCTGAGCGCCGGCAGCGACGAGACCAGGTCATGTTGAGTGGCCAGAGAGCAGTCGCCATTATCCGGGAGGCGTATGACATGTTAACATCTGCGCTTGATCTCCAAGTGAGTTGTCGCTAATCACAGAACTCATCGGACCCCTTTGTGTAAAGATTTGTGAGATCCTAATCCTATAATAATATACATGTATGTTAAGCAAGACCTCCCTACCTTGAGTATATAGGGTTTTTGGTTTGCTTGTTTGTTTTATTAACACTGCACTCTGCAGTATTCCAGAAATATTGTGCAGGTCTGTAAATAATCTGTCTGGACTCAATCTAGACCACCTCCGTGGTCTTGTGGTAGAGCGTCCGCCCGGAGAGCGGAAGGTCCAGGGTTCGATCCCGGGCCGCGTCATACAAAAAGATGTTAAAAGATTGTACTTGTTGTTACCCTGTCTGGCGCTCGGCATTAAGGGGCTAAAACAAGGACTGGTCGGCTCGGAGTCAGTATACTGTGTCTGAGTGGGGTATTCATGTTAAACTGCGGCATGGTATCTCAGTGAGCTAGCACTATAAATCGGCATCAGTCCGGACTAGTACAAGCAGCCACACACACACATACACGTGCATGCACGTCGCTATATAAGTGCAATAATCTTGGACGCGACGTTAAACCCAATTTCACCTCACCTCACCTGGACTCAATCTAGTGATTGATAGTGTGAGCAACAGACATGCAGTCAACAAAGTTACCAAACTTGACCACCTGATCTACTCATCTTATTATCTCTTACGACCAGTGAAGGTTACTGAAGACATGTCCTCACCTGGAATCCCCACAGTGTACTTAGGAATAAATGAGGTCATGGCTAAAAAATGACAGAGTTGCCTGTAAAAATTTCTCTCTGTATGGTGGATGTGCTTTCAAGTATCCAATAAGCAGGGGTCCGGAAACCGTCATATGCGCCGGACATGTCCGATTGGGAATCTCAAATGTCCGGTTTAAAATATTGCTTACCGGACATTTAAATTTTTCTGTCCGGACATTTTAAAAAGTATTGTCCGGACATTCTTACATTTTGACGGACATGATCAACAGTTAGGACTGAGCAGTTTCTGTCTGCAGTTGTAACACAATGAAGATTATCTACACTGACAAGCTTTGTTTGTTTTGATTGCTGTAAATACATCGTACCTACATGATAGTCCAATCGGTCAATCACTGTAATAGGCAATAAACTGAGTTGACACGGATTAATCGAGGATTAATTACTGAGAACATCTTGTTAATTTGAGTAAAATGTGTTTACAACTGTACATAAATACCTTGCATCATCGATGTACCTCATTATCCTCACAATGCTACGATACGTAACCTCAGACAATAAGCGAAAGCGTGACGACAGCCATTGAAGGGGGCGTGGCCTAAATGCAAATGTCCGATTGGGATTTTAAATTTTCCGGACCCCTGCCAATAAGGAAACGTTTGGTTTTGATGTTGTTTTTGAAAATGAATTTTGGAGGAAATTGTTTGCAGGAACTATTTTCTCAATTTACTGAACCAATTTACTGAACAATAGCCACAATTGGAGACAAAAATTGAATGTCAAATTTTAGTCACAGAAAATTTTGTAATAAGGTATGGAATAAATCCAACATGTTCAAAAGATTTTTATTTCATAGATGCTTGAAAGACCCTGAAACATATGTACATGCAAAATTGGCATTTTTCCTTATCAGTATCCAAGAAACTATCAAGTTATTCCCTCTTTAAAAACAGTTTCTGTGGAGAGCAATATTTATTAGATGTGACCCTAAAAACATTTCGAATTGCACTTGCAAGATTCAGATGTGGTTCACAGGAACTCTTTATCGAGACGGGAAGATATATGGGGATCGTGAGAGAACACAGAATTTGTCCGTTTTGTGATTTAAACACTGTAGAAAGTGGATACCATTTCTTACTACTTTGTCCTTTGTATGCTGAACTCAGAACACAGTTCATTGATAAATAATATATCTGTTATCTAAGTTTACAGAATTTTGTTACATTAATGTCAAGTAAGAATGGAGTAATAACGAAAAAACTGTCAATGTACATATTGCATGCTATGAAGCTAAGAAGTTCCAAATTTGTTACCCACAGAAGGTCCGTGGTTCGAATCCCATCACGGGAATCGGAAATTTTATGGCCGCTACATTATAAATGTATATACACCCATTACTATATGACATGTACCCTATATCGCTGTGTATAAGGCGACCCCACGTATAAGACGACCCCCCCCTGTACACGCCATCAAAATCAACCCAATATCCTATACTCCGTATATAAGGCGACTTGGAATCACAAGTGCGCACACAAACCTTATACATGCAATAAAATATGTTTATCTTGCGTTGTTTTTTCTACGATGATTGGTCGCGTGTGTAACTCCAGCACATGTTGCCATTTTGTGTTTACACGGTACGACACCAAATTGGTGCCTGTAAATTAAAATTCATTTATGAATTAAAAACATATAAGAGACAATGGTGAGTAATTTAATCGCCAATTAACTATGTTGTAACTAACTAGGCTTATGTTTGCTTCACATTCAGCGTGTTTATTCCACAATCACTTATACACACCAACATAAGTCTCAACAGTTAATACAACTGTAAAAACAGCGGGAATTGATTTCAGCTTCACCGGTTAATTCATGTTAGGTCACATGTACAATATGCAAATGCTTACTGGTACTGCCGGCTCTCTATTCACGGATGTTGATTGTTTTACCGTGTCAGCTGGTTTGACAATCTGCATTGAGGCGAGGGTCATTTCAACTTTATTTGCAGAAATTATTAAACTTTATTCAAGGAAAAGAGATACAATTCATGTTTATGTATGGAAATAGTTATTGGAACAGTTATGCGAAGTTAAATGGTCAAATGCTGGGCTGGCTATCGGACGCCGGTTGACATCACCAGTGGAAAAAAATGTGAGATCTTCGACTCCGTCTTAACCCCCTCTTTTTAGGTACGAAAAACTCGCCTTATACACAGCGATATACGGTACTATAGGCCTATGGCCTCTCAGTATTATGAATAAACACACATATAAATGATTTTTAAGTGTTAACAAACCTTTTTCTTTCTTCGACTAAAAAGCTCTAAATTTCTGGCAAATTTCATTACCTAAAAATGGCGAAAATGAGTAAAAAGCCCAATTTTGCCATCTTCAAGAAAAAGTCTATCGATGAGCAAATCTGTGACTCCGTTTGATGTTATTACCCTTGGTTTGTCCTGGCTGTCTAAACAGCCTAAGGGGCGGCCGGGTAGCCAAGTGGTTAAAGTGATCGCTCATCACGCCAAAGACCCGGGTTCGATTCCTGACATGGGTACAATGTGTGAAGCCCATTTCTTGTGTCCCCCGCCGTGATATTGCTGGAATATTGCTAAAAGCGGTGTCAAACCATATTCATTCACTCACTCACACACTATATATCCGAAGAAAATCAGTTGGGTCAAAGACTAATAATATGCGTCCTGAAAACTCTGAAATCAACACAATTTTTGCTTAATGTTTACATTTTAGAGTTGTTGAAGGAACAAAGTCTATTTTTCATTCATATAAACATATCTGATAACTTTCATAACAATTTCTAAAAGAGTTTCTTATTTCGTAAATTATGCAGATTGTGTCGGTCAAACAGGGACTTTATCACTCCTTGTCTTTTCCATCTCCAAACTTTCACATTTCAGCACAGTGACTTTGAAGCAATCTATCGTTCCTTCAAGCAGCATCAGCAGATCCGTGCCGTGCACCACGCCGCCATGATGGGCCGGCTCCCACAAGGAAGTAACGTTGTCCGGATGGGGAGCAACGAGAACGCCGTGGAGTACTACCTCAAGTCCTATGGAGGGGGAGGAGGGGGTGGGGTTGCAGGAGGTGGGCGGGGTCATCCCTCTGGCCAACCCTTTGAACTCAAAGATCGACCTGCCTCTGGTGCCAGCTCCAAGGCATCAGTAAGTCTTGCTTTTCTCATACTGTTTCTTATATATGTTGTGATGGTGTAACGGAAGTTTACAGAACGGATTACCTTAACAACGACCGGAACAGGAAGGTACCTCGTTTCTTACGGGTGTTTTTGCATCCGCGCCTTCTGGGAAGGTATACTTAAGGCCCTGCGTGCCGCACAAGCTTCAGTTAGCGGCTGGCTCTGAGGACAAGCTTGCCGGGATCTCTGTACACACACATGCTTTCGGTATGGTGAGATAATTGTATTAGTAGTTTTTTTATTTTTGCCCAGTCACACCATTTTTTTGTCTAGGTTATCATGTTTATCATAATGATATAGATCTAGCGTGTGTTTTAAGGATATTTTCTGCTAGAATTTGTGTGCCAGTGTTGGTTTGAGAGTTTCCAAGCCTTTGAAACCTGGTGTGTCGACCGAGTGTGTCAGATAGGTTCGAGGACTGATTTGTGAAAGCGTTTAACGCCTACATGTCTATCGGTCGAGATTAACACTGGTAGTTTCCCTAGTTCTGGCTAAGATTAATACATGAAGAGTGAGTGAGTGAGTGAGTGACTTGGGTTTACACCGCTTTGAACAATATTTCAGTGCTAGAAATTGGCACTAGTCCTGGGCCCACTTGCACAAAACGATCTTAGCACTAAGACCATTGTAAGCCTATGTTAAAGTATGGGAGTTAAGATCACCTTAGCACTAAGATCGCTTTGTGCAAGTGGACCCTGTAGTCCTTGCAAACTGCCCAATAGTTAAGGTATCATAAGGACTAGTAGAAATTTGCCCTCATTGAGGGCTCTGCTATATGGTATCATTATAAGGACTAGTCGACAAAAACTGTCAGTTTCTAGCGCTGTATTTTAGTTAACACAGCGTGTCAGCCGAATGTGGGAAGAAATCCAGAAGTGAAGCAGGCGTCAGACATCTACCACTTTCATGAGCACGGGTACGGTGCTGACAAACCTAGAAACATGATCAGGGTGAAACTCGATTCTGAACCCACGATCATAGGTTTCTGGTGTGCCCAAGAGACGCAACTCTGCACAGTGAAATGTGGTGCCTTGGTCGACCGGGCCACCTGTCTCTCTTACATAATTCTGTTGTAACAAACCTGCTGTCTGTCTGTCTGTCCCCTCACAACACAAACACCATGACAGAGGCAGATGCAGGAGTTTGTAATGGGAAGTTACAGTTTGAATTTGGGCTGTGGGCTGCACCATCATTTAACTCGCAACCAGTGCCAGAGTGGCATCGTGAAGATATTTCCTCTACTTTTTAGTATTTGTGTCTTGGGTCAAGGTTATAAAGCATGTGCGCCTATTTATTAAGTTTTTATCAACCCAGTATGTGGGGGGATATATAGTAATGAAGTTGTCTTCCTATGTCTTTCCGTCCATCCATCTGTTATAAAAAAAATTCCAGATCATATCTCTAAAACTAAAAGATATTCTCTCATGAAACTTTGCACACACAAAGACCAGGTGATTTTTAGAATTTTTATTTTTTCAGTTTCCATGACAATATGTTTGACTTTGGTGTGTATTGGTGTGTTTCCCTGGACACCATATCTCTAAAACTGCTTGGTATTCATTCATGAAACTTTGCACCCAATGAGTTGTCAACTGGGGCATTTTGCTATTTTTATTTTTTCTGTTTTCATGGCAACAAGTTTTACTTTAACTCAATTCACAGGGATGTGTTTTTCAGAGCATATATCCGAAACTACTGGTTTTTTTCAGTATGCACATACAATGAACAAGTTGCAAACTGGTGCTTTTAATTCTTGACAGAATTTCAGTTTATACGGACTGACAGGTTAGATAGGAATACCCCATCAAGTTGGACAGATCACTCTTGTAGGAATCGCTGTAACAATCAGATCATTTGTCCTTTAGAATTTGTGCTGGCCAGGGGAATTTGTCATCTTCAGATGACTCTTGTTTCAGACATATTTGGAATCAGTTTGGAAGTTGTGTATGATTGATTCAAGAGATGTCGTGTGAAAAGAAAACCTTCATGGTGAGAACTGGTCCCCGTCCAGGGTAGTGTATTTCCACACACGGACAAATTCCCACTCGGGCAATACCCCACATGGACATTTCCACACACGGACATTTCTCCACATGGACATTTCAGTGTAGTGTATTTCCACACAGAGACAAATTCCCACTCGGGCAATACCCCACATGGACATTTCCACACACGGACATTTCTCCACATGGACATTTCAGTGTAGTGTATTTCCACACACGGACAAATTCCCACTTGGGCAATACCCCACATGGACATTTCCACACAGGACTATTTCCAATTCGGTCATTTCCCCATAGGCAGAATTACTCATGTGGACAGTTTCCCACTCTAACATTTACCACTTGGACAATACCGTATTTTCTTGAGTATAGTGCGCACCCATGTATAATGCGCACCCCCCACTAGCAGATTCAGTATAAAAAAAATAAATTCGTATGTCAAGCCAGAAAAAAATTACACCATAGATCTACCCCTTCAGCGAATTCCGGTAAAGGAACATATGATTTGAAACTTGGTCAGTAGAAATTCAAAATTTGAGATAAAAAATCACCAGACATGTTTATTTACTGTTTAAATTGTATTTTTTGTTCTCTTAGGCATTGTTTTACATCTAGGGATTAAGATTACCTTGTGTATTTTCTCGTAAACTAAGCCGGAAACAGCAATCAGCTGTACACACGTTTTTTTTGGAATCTACCGGTGATTCGGTCAAGACACACCCAATGATATAACTTTACAGGATTTTAATGCAAGGATCGGCAAAAATTGTATCTGAAACTTTTTTCTTTATCAGGAATAATATATCCCAATATCTTGTTAATTTAGTTGCAGCTTTTACTAAACATATTTTTAATAATAATAATCCTAAGCGAAGCAGCTGATCGCTATTGCCGGTTATTATTTTTCACATGGAACCAGTCTGACCAGTCACTGTCAAGGCTCCCGTGCACGTGATCTCGTGTTCGTTTCAATAGCGGTAATCTGACCGTGGTTGCTGTTAATAACGGTGAGTTGTGCGATCTTCCGATCGCTTCACACACGATTTCGCCGAAATTAATTAACAGTAGCCCACACGGACATTTCTCCACATGGACATTTCTCCACATGGACATTTCCCCACATGGACAGTAGCCCACATGGACAGTAGCCCACATGGACATTTCCCCACATGGACAGTAGCCCACATGGACATTTCCCCACATGGACATTTCTCCACATGGACATTTCCCCACATGGACATTTCCCCACATGGACAGTAGCCCACATGGACATTTCTCCACATGGACATTTCTCCACATGGACATTTCTCCACATGGACATTTCCCCACACAGACATTTCTCCACATGGACATTTCCCCACATGGACAGTAGCCCACACAGACATTTCTCCACATGGACAGTAGCCCACATGGACATTTCTCCACACGGACATTTCTCCACATGGACAGTAGCCCACATGGACAGTAGCCCCCACGGACATTTCTCCACATGGACAGAAGCCCACATGGACATTTCTCCACATGGACCTTTCTCCACACGGACATTTCCCCACATGGACATTTCCCCAAATGGACAGTAGCCCACACGGACATTTCTCCACATGGACATTTCCCAAAATGGACAGTAGCCCACACGGACATTTCCCCACATGGACATTTCTCCACATGGACCTTTCTCCACACGGACATTTCCCCACATGGACATTTCCCAAAATGGACAGTAGCCCACACGGACATTTCCCCACATGGACATTTCCCAAAATGGACAGTAGCCCACACGGACATTTCTCCACATGGACATTTCCCCACACGGACAGTAGCCCACATGGACATTTCTCCACACGGACATTTCCCCACACAGACATTTCTCCACATGGACATTTCCCCACATGGACAGTAGCCCTCACGGACATTTCTCCACATGGACAGTAGCCCACATTGACAGTAGCCCACATGGACATTTCTCCACACGGTCATTTCTCCACATGGACAGTAGCCCACATGGACAGTAGCCCACACGGACATTTCTCCACATGGACAGTAGCCCACATGGACATTTCTCCACACGGACATTTCCCCTCACAGACATTTCTCCACATGGACATTTCTCCACATGGACAGTAGCCCACATGGACAGTAGCCCATACGGACATTTCTCCATATGGACAGTAGCCCACACGGACATTTCTCCACACGGACATTTCTCCACATGGACCTTTCCCCACATGGACATTTCTCCACATGGACAGTAGCCCACATGGACAGTAGCCATTTCTCCACATGGACAACAGCCCACATGGACATTTCTCCACACGGACATTTCTCCACATGGACATTTCCCCACATGGACAGTAGCCCACATGGACATTTCTCCACATGGACAGTAGCCCACATGGACATTTCTCCACACGGACATTTCTCCACATGGACATTTCTCCACATGGACATTTCCTGACATGGACAGTAGCCCACACGGACATTTCTCCACATGGACAGTAGCCCACACGGACATTTCTCCACATGGACAGTAGCCCACATGGACATTTCCCCACATGGACAGTAGCCCACATGGACAGTAGCCCACACGGACATTTCTCCACATGGACAGTAGCCCACATGGACATTTCTCCACATGGACCTTTCTCCACACGGACATTTCCCCACATGGACATTTCCCCAAATGGACAGTAGCCCACACGGACATTTCTCCACATGGACATTTCTCCACACGGACATTTCCCCACACGGACATTTCCCCACATGGACATTTCTCCACACGGACATTTCCCCACACGGACATTTCCCCAAATGGACAGTAGCCCACATGGACAGTAGCCATTTCTCCACATGGACAACAGCCCACATGGACATTTCTCCACACGGACATTTCTCCACATGGACATTTCCCCACATGGACAGTAGCCCACATGGACATTTCTCCACACGGACATTTCTCCACATGGACATTTCTCCACATGGACATTTCCTGACATGGACAGTAGCCCACATGGACAGTAGCCCACACGGACATTTCTCCACATGGACAGTAGCCCACACGGACATTTCTCCACATGGACAGTAGCCCACATGGACATTTCCCCACATGGACAGTAGCCCACATGGACAGTAGCCCACACGGACATTTCTCCACATGGACAGTAGCCCACATGGACATTTCTCCACATGGACCTTTCTCCACACGGACATTTCCCCACATGGACATTTCCCCAAATGGACAGTAGCCCACACGGACATTTCTCCACATGGACATTTCTCCACACGGACATTTCCCCACACGGACATTTCCCCACATGGACATTTCTCCACACGGACATTTCCCCACACGGACATTTCCCCAAATGGACAGTAGCCCACACGGACATTTCTCCACATGGACATTTCCCCACACGGACAGTAGCCCACACGGACATTTCTCCACATGGACATCCCCCCACATGGACAATTCCCCTCACGGACATTTCCCCACAAATACATTTCCCCACACGGACATTTCTCCACACAGACATTTCTCCACATGGACAGTAGCCCTCATGGACATTTCCCCATATTGGTAATAAAAGTAACAACTGACACAGACAACTTATCATTTATATCACAGTTTTATTTACAATTTGACAAACTATACTTATATTAAAATTCATCATCACTTGTCAAGTTCACTAAAATGTCATAAGCTGGAAGCTTTCACAGATACATACAGATTCTAATCTTGTCTGATCTTGAGAGATTTCATGTCTAGGGTAAAATACAAATTTGAGGGGATGGTTGAAAATGTAAAACCGTAGATGGAGGTTTTACATTTTCAACCAAAACTGAGGAGGCGTGTTTTATCCGACTTATGAACCGACTAAATGCAAGAAATACCAGAAAAAATAACACATTGGGATACCTTATAGTGAAGCAATATAGTGTGTTGTGGTATATAAGGAATATGATGAAAGCGTGCCAGAGAAAAACCATGTGCAGCATGCACACAATTGAAGTTATGACATGCAAGATTGAACAACCTTTCATCACCTGCCCCGGTGGCTTGGTGCGAAAACAGTTGGTTACAAAACTAAACAAGATATGTGAGGTTGCAGGTTCGATTCACATCCTGTTTTAACCAATCAAACATTTATATTAGATTCACTTCAAAATGCTAGTTCATAAAATTCAGCTGTAAAACGTAAGTCTTACAATTCAAATGTAAAACCTCAAAGCAGGTTTCACTTGAAGTAGAGTCTCTTACAAGGTTATTTGAGATGGGACGATCCCAGACCATTGTGACTACACTAATGGCTCTGCTACTGAAGCTGTTAGTAGTACTTTTTAAACTTAAGACACTGCATATTACTGTCTACAAGCTGAAAAAGTTAAAAGGATGATGTTGGATGATAAATAAAATCTCACGATCGTGTCTTTTGATATCAAATATGTCAACACTCGTTGATAAAAGTGGAAAAACTCCTCGGCAAGCCTCAGAGTTTTACCATTTTCATCAACGGTGTTGATATATTCGATATCAAGACACGAGGGTGAGATTCTCTATGTAGACGCTCATTGTCTGGATTGCGGAAGATAGATAGCAGTTATCTGGATAGATAGCAAATACCAAGAATGGATAACATTGACACAGAAACACTATCAGACAGACAGTACATCTCTGTTCTATATTAACAAGCCATAGGATGTTATGAGAGTGAAGTAGAATTTAGGGAGTGTTTTACTGATGTGACTAGATGACCATTATTCCAGATTAGTAGTAGTAATAGGTTTGGTGGTGGTAGAATTTAGGGCAAGCTTGGAATACTAAATGCCAACTCATATTTTTTTATAATTCAATCTTTGGTTTTGCGTATAATTTACTCATTATGAGAAACGACAAAAAACTGTAATGAAATATTTTAAATGATCCTCTGCATGGAAAGATATGAGGAAGGCAACTAAGAGAAGCATCTATCTAAATGTTACATTGACATCTGCAGAAATTACCCAGTTTTAAAACGATGGATACCTCTCCACTTCCAACCAAGCAAACATTGTCTTGTGTATAGGATTGTGAACAGGAGTTATGTCCCTTGATGTATAGTCATGTGATGATAAGACATTTTCTGGTTTTTTTTTGTCAATTGATGTAGGAGAGAAGAGGATGCTAATGGGGAAAAAAGTTTTTGGGAGGCGCTTGAATAAAACTGGTATACGCATTAGGGGTGGGACGAGTCCAAATTTACTACCCGGGTACCCGACCCCCTATAACACAACCCTACCCACTGTCGGTCTCAAGAGTTGGGATCAAAATGTCTAAATGGGAATTGTTTTACTGCAGCCCAGGCAAAAGCTATTTAGCTACATGTATCAAACAATCAGAACATGGGTACACTGAAGTTGATTGAAGCTTTATCTTTACTCAAACATATACATGTCAAAAGGAATGTGTGCATCGTCAGAAAGAAATGTGAACATTAGCAACTTGTAGTGTAACCACTGAGCTATAGTGAGTTTTTGTCATTAAATAATACATCACTAACTAACTTAAAGGGTCCAGGTAGTGCTGTGGGTACCCGGGTCCTACTCAGGACCCACCAGACCCAAGTACCCGAGTTACCTGCCCAGCCCTAGTTTGCATATCAATCTTTTTCAATATGGACAAGATCAAGGACAATCGTCTTTATGAATTGGATTGATATACTGATTATCTTTGAATAAATGAACAATGACTTACTTACAGCTAACAAAATTTCAGACTTTAACACATGGTTATCAGAATTGCCAAAATGGCAACACCAACAGCTGGTCCTGCTTGAAACATCTCTACCCAACGATGACAGCTGTTGTCACCAAATACCCATACCCAGGTGGGGTGTATGGTCACATCAACAATAGTCCATTTGTGTGGCACTTTTTCCATCCTAGGTATCCTGCTCTAAACACCAGTGTTAGAATTTAGAATAGTCCTATAGTCCTTACCAAACAACCAAATAGGTCCAGTTAAAGTATCGAAAGGACTGGTAGAAATTTGCCCTTTTTAAGGGTTTTGCTATGTGCTATCATTATAAGGACTAGTGGACTAAACATGTTAGTTTCCATCACTGAACACACCTTCATTACCCCATCAATGGATCAGTGTGTGCTCAGTTTACATTCTGTATTAGGGGTGTATACAGCTCAAGCTGCCTGTTATAGGCACTAGAAGGTTAACCTCCACATTACCATCTTCTCCTACCGGGTACCCATTCACTGCTGCGTGAATACAGCCATGTTTCGAACAAAGACATTTGCCTAAGGAGACACCACATGCTTCATGTGCTTTAGAGTGGGGCATTATCGGAGCCCTAGTAACGTTCAGGGCCCCGTTCCACAAAGCGATCGTAGCGCTAAGATGATCGTAACTCCCATACTTTAACATAGACTTACGACAGACTTAGCGCTAAGATTGCTTTGTGGAATGGGGCCCTGGAGTCAAGCTGCCAACCATTGTCACCCATCAACCTACTCTCCGTGACAAATGCTGCTTAACTTGAACTTCTCTCTGTGCACAGAAGCACATGCTACCACATTATTATCTGACATTATTAACATGACATGGTTATCAAGTCTTTGATAGACATTTAGAAGTTGGCATAAAGACTTAAAGACATGAAACCTTTACATGACATCTGCTTTATTGTTTGTGACAATGCTTCAGAGCCACGTCCTGCCCCTTCACCAGTTAAAGGGGCAAGACGTAGCCTTGAAGTGTCATTTCAAACAATTAAGTGAGTGAGTGAGTATTGTTTTACGCCGCTTTTAGCAATATTTCAGCAATATCACGGCGGGGGACACCAGAAATGGGCTTCACGCATTGTACCCATGTCAGGAATCGAACCATGACGAGCGAACCCTTTAACCACTAGGCTGCCTGACCACCCCCAAACAATAAGGAAGTTGTTATCCATGAAAGTATTTTATGTTACCGTCAGCACTACAATTTTAGCAACAAGGCAGAACATTAGGAACAAGATGCCAAGATTATCCATCATGCGAAGGCCGTACGATGCCTCGGTCCTGTAGCAGCAGCTGCAGAAGCAGGAGAGAGCCTCGTACAGCGACTCCATCCAGGTGTGCGGCATCCAGTTGCAGTCGTCGCACTGCAGCGTGCAGCAGCAGAGCGGACAGGGGATGCTGCAGCGACAGAAACAGTCCTGCCCTGTCAGCCGACACAGGGACTCCCGGCTCTTGCAGCAGCAGCATCTCCACCACGTGTTGCAGCAGCCGTGCTCGCTGCTGATGCTGGGGAAGCAGGCGGCATAGCGCAGGACGGTGCTGGCAAGACCGCTGACCATCATGATGAGGGAGAACATAGCTGCTTCTCTGGTGCATTTGCAGTTGTAGTTGAAGACGAGGAGAGTGACGGCTTGGGGGATCTCCTCGAAGAAAACAGCAATGTAGACTTCGGTCAGCGGCTTGAACAGCTGCAACCTCACCACCCCTCTGTCCCTCAGGATGCTCAGGATGATGTTGATGATCTGGATCAGACTGAAGATGCTTCCTAAGATTGTAAAGACAGCTAAAACTTGCCGGATATTTTCGCGATGGACGCCGCAGATGTCCAACTTGTAGAACTTGTAATGAAACTGTGGGTTTGCCCAACAAGCATAGTTATCGAATACACCAACCATCCACCAGTCTGCTACAACATCCCATAATATGAACACTATCGCAATGATTCGGAGGATGTTGACAGAATTAGATGCAGGGACGTCTTCTATCTTGGAATGGTCCCAGTTTCCTTCTGTTAATGAAGCATTGCCAACTGACGATCTGACGTCTCCCATAGGGGCAAAACACAGTTCTGGAAGTTCAGAATAGGTGTCCATGAAACTGTCCCTTAGTGATATGCTGGTGAGGTTGGAGAGTCTCTTACCATTTTCTGAGTGTTGGTCGGAGTGGAATGTTCCTCTTCTCAAGTTGACTTCACTAAAATCGTCATTTACTTTGCGGCCTACTCGAAGGTCAACATTACTGTCGTTACGGTATACTTGATGCGATGGAATCTGCTCATGTGGTTGATATACTTGTGGACGATCAATCATAAATTTTGAATTTCTATCAATACCACTGCGGGTTATTGATGGTTGGTAGTCTCTTTCAGAAATAGAATCTGGAATGTCCATGCTTTGCCTCGGGTTGTCAAAGTCCAGGCATTTATATCTTTGCTGTTGCATGTTTAAGAAGCAGGAACCAGCACAATTATGTTACTTACGTATGTCAAAGAGCAATACTTGGTAGCACACAAGCTGAAAGTCTTACTCAGAGATGTAACATCCAGCTAGTAGAGTGAAGCTAACATGGCTGTGTTGACAGAGAAATCTCACACAGAAAGAAGAGCAGCTGTTTTCAAGGCAGTGATTTTCATATGGTGTGAAGATGATAAATCGGACTGATTTTTAACACTGAAGCTTGCATCAAAGTTATCTTAACCCAAATTTTGACATGTGACACTGTGGTATGATAGAGTTAGTCACTGATTAGAGTGAAGTATTCAAGCTGCACCTGGCCCTGATATCGCTCCACCAAATCCAAATGTTTTAAAGTGATATCACTCTGAAGCCAATATTGAAGATATCACTCCACCAGAGACAAATGCTTTCAGTTGATATCTGTCAGCTTTTACCAAATATGCTGATTTGTTACCACTTAGCTCATTCGAAAATTGTCAAATTGGTGTCACTCCGCCTTTTCCAAATGTGTCGACTTCACATCCAGTCCAAGTGTGTCAAATTGATTCAAGACGTATTGAAGACAGCGTTTCACTGCCGGGTCTTGTACACGGTTCAGATAACACTGGTCAGCAATGGGCAGGGCTGGAGTTACACTTCATTGTCTGACATACCCAGCCTGCACTACCGGTCATGTGTACTGTCTGCCCAACAACTGGCTTCACTCTCACAGTATGTTGGGAAGGTAGGCAGGCCTTATCTTGTGACCCACTAGGAAAAAAATTGTCACAGTCAGCGAGATTACCTTTGATACTACTCGTGTAGCATGGAAAGATAGGGACATTTGTCACATGCCATATTTCGTATTTCATTTTCTCTGCATTTAAACATTGAAGTTTCCTTTTGATGGGATATCCTAGCTACAATATCTGCAGTAACCCATGAAATGTTGTCAGTACCTGTCAAATACTGTTCAAAACTTTCTTCACTACCTGTCAACCATTATCCAGTACCTGTCAACCATTATCCAGTTCCTGTCAACCATTATCCAGTACCTGTCAACCATTATCCAGTACCTGTCAACCATTGTCCAGGACCTGTCAACCATTATCCAGTTCCTGTCAACCATTATCCAGTTCCTGTCAACCATTATTCAGTACATGTAAACCTTTGTCCAGTACCTGTCAACCATTGTCCAGTACATGTCAACCATTATCCAGTACCTGTTGGCCATTGTCCAGTACCTGTCAACCATTGTCCAGTACCTGTCAACCATTGTCCAGTACATGTCAACCATTATCCAGTACCTGTTGGCCATTGTCCAGTACCTGTCAACCATTGTCCAGTACCTGTCAACCATTGTCCAGTACCTGTTGGCCATTATCCAGTACCTTTAAACCATTGTCCAGTACCTGTCAACCATTAACAAGTACCTGCCAACCATGATCCAGTACCTTTCAACCATTTTCAAGTACCTGTCAAATATTGTCCAGTACCTGTCAATAAGCGTCCAGTACCTGTCAACCATTGTTAAGTACCTGTCGGCCATTGTCCTGGACTTGTCAACCATGATCCAGTATCTGTCAACCATTATGAAGTACCTGTCAACCATTGTCCAGTACCTGTTGGCCATTGTCCAGTACCTGTCAACCATTATCAAGTACCTGTCAACCATTATCCAGTATCTGTCAACCATTATCAAGTACCTGTCAACCATTGTCCAGTACCTGTTGGCCATTGTCCAGTACCTGTCAACCATTATCAAGTACCTGTCAACCATTATCCAGTAACTGTCAACCATTGTCCAGTACCTGTCAACCATTGTCCAGTACCTGTTGGCCATTGTCCAGTACCTGTCAACCATTATCAAGTACCTGTCAACCATTGTCCAGTAACTGTCAGCCATTATCCAGTACCTTTCAACCATTGTCCAGTACCTGTCGGCCATTGTCCAGTACCTGTCAACCATTATCAAGTACCTGTCAACCATTGTCCCTACCTGTCGGCCATTATGCAGTACCTGTCAACCATTATCCAGTACCTGTCAACCCTCGTTCTAGCAGTTGTTGAGTACGTAGATACTTATGTCAGAGCTCCGAATAAGCTTCACGTTCATTTTCTATAATATTTGCAAAATGTAGGACCTCAGGCACAAACTAAATTTTCCTTTCGATGTTGACCATGTTTATTCATGAGATTATGACATGAGCACCTGAACTTTGTGAGAGCTTGTCTGTAGATGATTATATCTATTTGAGAGAGGTATGATTCCACGTTGAAAGCTGACTTGAAAGTAGAAAAGGCAAACAATTTAGAGTTTGAGCAAATAGAGGAATGCCATATCTGTATTTCTGAGTGGATCACCTGCTGCTTTAATTCAGATAAGAATACACTGACATGACCTGCATCCTTTGAAAAACCAAGCATAGCAGATGTGATGTTGGAGGACTTACTGTACCAGCCAGGCTGCATGTAATCTTATCACACAGCCCACAAACATGTCCCACCCCCCTCTCAAGTCCTACTGGACAATGTATCGACTGTTATCTGTCCGATTGGCTTCCCGACTTTGTCCTCATCTTTCACTAGCTCAGTATTTTTTCTTACCGTACACATGAGTGTCAGATTCGGAGACCCCCGCTGTCATGTAAAATACATCTCTCATGTTCTCTGTCGAATTGCCGATCTGTAGGAATTACATTTGTAACATACCAACCACAAATTTATATGTCGAATTAATGATGGAAGACATAATTCTTTGACTAGTTACGATATTTGCTTGAAATAGATCTTGGTGGGAAAACTTCTAATTTTGTTTTTTTTCCCGATGAATGTGAAAATAAACGAAGTAGATAAAGCATGCAATGGGTTTTGTCACTGAATTTGTTATGATAACTCATGGATCATGTGGATACCCAAATATTATGTTGTTATTTTCAATAACATATCTTTTAAACCATTTTTTATGAAGCATTGTCACTGCTTTTGTCAGTATATATTGTGCCCAAAGCTACCCAGCTAGTTGATATTGATGTTCAGAGGGCTACAGACATGACCAGTGTTCAAGATTAAGTGTTGTCCAGGGTGCCGTTATACAAAACAACCTCAGGGCTATGACTGTTGGAAGTCTATGTTAAGGTATGGAAGTTTCGATCACCTTTTCGCTAAGATTGCTTTGTACAACAGGACCTGGGGTCCTTTAAGGTCACCTTCTGTGGTGTTTGAATCTAACGACACCTAAGTAGAGGGACTAAGTTTTCAGTTATTAATATTTGGGTTATGATATTTTCGTTAAAACACCGCTTGAGGGCTATTCCTGAGCTCGACGTTTTGCATTTTTTAATCAAAATCGAAAGTTTTTTACCTAACTTATAAACAATCTAAATGCTAGAAATACCAGAAAGAATAAGAGAACATGGGGATACCTTATCGTGAAACAATATAGTAGTTGCAGTATAAAACAGATTCAAAGACCATGTGCAGCTTGCCGACAAGTGAAGTCATGACATGTAAGATTGAACACCATTTCATCACCTGCCTCAGTGGCTCAGTGGGAAAGCTCTGGGTTACAATATTAGACATGATATGTCAGGTTGCAAGTTCAATTCTTGTCAGGGAATTTTAATGTGAAAACCATTGTGACTTTTGAGTCAACAATTAACGACAACCCATGCTTGCTGAAAACGGTGACTGTGCTTTTCGTAAGAGGCGACTAACGGGATCAGGTGGTCAGACTTGTTGACTTGGTTGATGCATGTCATCGTATCCCAATTGCGTGGATCGATGCTCATAAAGTCTCATAAAGTCAGTCACTGAACATCAATATCAACTAGCTTGGTAGCTTGGAGCACAATATATACCGACAAAAGCAGTGACAATGCTTCATAAAAAATGGCTTAAAAGTTATGTTATTGAAAATAACAACATAATATTTGTCTGGTCCAGACTCGATTATTTACAGACCATCATCATATAAGTGGAATATTGCTGAGTCCGGGGTAAAAACAATAAACAAACAAAAAACAATCGACAATTGATGCATATTAAAAGGCTGTTATACAATTCAACTGTAAAACCTAAGTCTTACAATTCCATGGTAAAACCTCACAGCAGGTCTCATTTGAACGTAGTATGTTTCATAAAGATACCTACAAAACTATTAGCCCCCACACAAGCTCATCTATAGTGATACCCTAATCTCTTTCAAAGCATCCAGTAAATATGTCAACAAGATTAGTGCCAGTCCAACAGGATTAACAGGATTTAGTATTCCCCTCTGTCTAGCCATCCATTAAGCATAGGGCACAACCAATCGTGTATCAACCAATCCTATTCCTTTTTATTGTTCTAATTTTTGTTAAATACATACTGTAGCCAGGTTTTAGGCAGAGAAGGGGTTTGACTCTCTTACCAAGCAGACCTCTCTCCCACAGCCCAGAGTGTTGTACCGACTCTCTGTGGCACCCTCAGTTATTTTCTAAGTATATTGTAAATTGTTAATTGTTCTTGTAAATAAAATTGTGATTAGTCTCCTGTGACTCCGGCTCTTTGCTGACTAATTCCCCAAGAAAACCAGCACGTCATTTGGAAGGTATTGTTCACCCAGAACAGTTCCATGATACTTATTTGGAATGGAACACTGGCAAACTGTGATATAAAGTGAACTTCATTTTAAAAATGTAATTTAATGAAACCTCATAGGCTAGGAATCAACTTCGAAAAATAATTATTTGATTGATATGTCCTAATTGAGCCTGGAGGTGTGTTTTGGATCAGATCGGCAGGTAGTTAAGCGCTCTATAGAACTTATGTCAGCAGCCCTCTTGAGTAGGCTAAAATATATTGATCTTTCTGAAGGCAGAGAATCCGACCATGCGCCACTTACACCGACTTAGTGGACTGTTTCTTCTGAATGATGCATACCAGTACGGTGAACATATCGAGGCGGCTCCTGGTGGCGTCTTTGTAAGAAATCACTCAAGGAAAACAATGCTTGATGATGGAAGGCTTGCTATTGTTATTTTTGAATGGGCGGTTGTTACGAGGCATATTGCACCCTGTGTTTTCGACATTTGATACGCGTCGGAGGAATTTACAGGTACGTGAAGGATATCAGTAGACATTGTGTTAATGTACGCCCATGTGGATTGAAATGGGTGATTGGGCAGAAATTGTATCAGGTGTTGGGTGGCGGAGTGCTGATTGATTCAATGTCGAAGTTGGTCACGCAGACAGATAGGGCAACATTGCACTCAGGTGGGTAAAAAATTGTACATATTTGGAACTATCTTCTGTTTACTTGGAGAAATGAGTTTAATTAATATGTGTGTATTTTTAAGAGAGACATTTAATAATATTTGGTAGTTAAAGAAATTTGAACAGTGTCCAACTTCTTGTTTTATACTTTCCGTATGTGATAAAGTACTGTGAGTTTACATAATTCAATGTGTATTATTAACCAACAAATGTTGTAAAGCTTGCTTTTGAACTGTATTTGTACAACACTATTAATTATCTATTTTATATCATGGACCAAAATGTGTATATTTTTTAATGTTTTCTTATCAGTGATACACTCATAACGTTGTAGGATCATATCCTTCTATTAATATTGTAGTGACTGAACATAACATGTTTCTGAATAGCGTATGGGCATTAATCATTAGCTTCTACAGTTGTATGACAGCTGTCATAAAATTAAAAATTGTCAGCTATTTCCAGAGCTTGGATGCTTGGGTCTGTCGGATGGTGGGAATGAGGAACTGTGGGGGCATGGGGGGGCACGGGTGGCCCAGTCGTGTAAGGCGCCACGATTCGCTGTGCAGAGTTGCGTCCCTTGGGCATGCCAGAAACCTATGATTGTGGGTTCGGATCCCGTTTCGCCCCGATTATGTTTCTAGGTTTGTCAGCACCATACCCGTGCTAGTGGATTTCACTGCAGTGGTAAACGTCTGAGACCTGCATCACTTCGGGCTTTCCTCCCACATTAAGCTGACACACCGTGATATAACTGGAATACTGTTAAACCCAACTCACTCACTCACTCACTCAGCCTGGTTAGAGTGTAGTACAGCACTATATGTAAGTATGTCTGCCTGAGGGGCTTTGGGCTCTATATATGGGGGGTGGTTGGGTAGCCTAGTGGTTAAAGCGTTGGCTCGTCATGACAAAGACCCAGGTTCGATTCCCCACATGGGTACAATTTGTGAAGCCTATTTTCTGGTGTCCCTGTGATATTGCTTGAATATTGCTGAAAGCAGCGTATAAACATACTCACTCTATATATGCAATGCATTTTATCAATATCTATTCACAAAATAACAGATACTTCTTTTTTTGTAGTAATGTATTGTATTATTTTTCGATTCCATCAGAAATAGAGTGGTCAGGAAAATCGATTAAATATAAACTGTTTTTCTGACTTTATTTTGGCATGGTCAGTCAAATCCTCAAATAAAATAATTTTCTAACAGTCGTGATGTTATCAGAAGCAAGTAACAGTGTTGCTCAAGAGTGTCTTGTAGAGACGTAGTTATTGCACCATGATCGCGTGGTGGGTGATGGTTTTAGGGGAGGGTGTGAGAGGACATATGGTAACAGGATTACCTCACCTGTGCAGATCAAAGGGTATACATACTTACCTGTGTACTTACCTTGTATGCTTACATACATGATCAGGCCGGCTGCATAACACCCAGGGAGATTTATATCGGCAGGTCAGCATTTTCTCGTTAACCTGAATTTCTGTTTGGAATCCCTTGATGTCATATTAGTGTTACTGAGTTGAGCTTACACTAGAACTGTCCATCAGACTTAGTTGATCAGTGACTTGGAAAGTGTTGTATCATTCATTCATTCATTCATTCATTCATTCATTCATTCATTCATTCATTCATTCACTCTCACTCACTCACGCATTCATTCATTCATACCTCTGTGTGTGTATGTGTGTACGTGTGTGTGTGTGTGTGTACGTGTGTGTGTATGCGTGTGTATGCGCGTGTGTGTGTGTGCGAGTGCGTGTATGTGTGTGTACGCGTGTGTGTGTGTGAGTGTGTATGTGTGTGTGCGAGTGTATGTGTATGTGTGTGTGTGTGTGTGTATGTGTGTGTGCGAGTGCGTGTGTGTTTATGTATTTATATTTGTTTGTTTGTTTGTTTGTGTATTCCTCTATCTATATATTGAATTATTTATAGTTATTTAGGTCATTTGACAGCTGGAACCATCTGTAAGCCTTGATCACTTTCAACAGTAACATGTTTAAGTCAGTCAGGGGAACTGATAACCTTTTCAGCTCTGCGTTTTCAGTTATCTAGAGTATTTTAAATCTTTCCTATCTGTTTGTAGAGATAAATTCACTTGTCCTGATATGTTCGTTGTGTGGGGCCGCCTTGACTGTCATGCCTAGGTTTCCAGTGTCTGGGTAAACACACTACACTGTATCTGAGTGACTTAGTTCACATGCGCCTCTGTTCTCCCAGCAGGGAATGGGTACCCGATATGTGAGGTGGATGTGAAAACCTTCTAGCACCCTAGGCAGCTTCGGTTGTATACTCCCAAGGGAGTTGAGAATGATATTTAGAATGCGAACAGATCCACTGGTTGGGGAACAAATAAAACTACATTTGAGCAGATACTAGTACCTGGATACCTGCAGTATAATAATTAGGCGATAAACATTATATGTTTTCAGATTTGTGGGTTTTATTGAGAATTCAATGCCCAGAAATTTTGATTTCAGTGTTAAACTATCTGGACATTGAAGACTCCGTAAAACCCACACATCTGAAACATATCATGGACATTGTAAAATCAGTCATTTTGTGAAGCAGTCACTCTCTGTACATGAACTCTCCTAGTTGTGACACAGACATGATGATACATGACGTCATGACACGATGGATGACGTCACATGTTTCCGTGGTAACGGAACCAGCCTGGTTAGCTGAATATGTGAAAAACAACAAGTCAAACTTCTTCTTATAAATATCGACCTAGCATAATATTTGGTTAACGTGGAATCCATTTTGCCAAGCAGAATGGCACCTTTTTCAGATTTGGGAATTAGGGATTGACAAGAAAAGATACTTAAGACGATTATTCAAGTACAGTAACTAACCCACGAGATTGCCAGGCTCTGAATCCCATGTCTCAACCAGTTAGATTGCAGCACACGCTCCCATTTGTTTTATCACACTCCAATTTGTTTTATCACACTCCCATTTGTTTTATCACACTCCCATTTGTTTTATCATACTCCCATTTGTTTTATCATGTCCTTTAAATCTTAATTTTTCACATAGTCCAGATGAAATGAAGGACGGTCGGGTAGTCTTGTGGTTGAAGCATTTGCTTGTCACGCCGAAGATCCGGGTTTGATTCCCTGCATAAGTACAGTGTGATGCCCATTTCTGGTGTACCCTGCTGTGAGTAGCTGGAATATTGCTAAAAGCGGCGTAAAACCAAACTCACTCACTCACTAGATGAAATGATAAATAAACAAAGAAGGAATATATTCAAAGATGTAATCAGCAAAATTTAGGCCATCCTGTGTAGACCTCTTCATCTATAGCAATTCAAGTTGTGTTGTTTTGAGTCGTGTTTATTACAGCATTAATTGATAGAGGAATGAATGAACTGAGTTTGACTTAACAGAGACCATATAATAGAATGAAATAACAAACGACACATAAACAGACAAAAACATGCACTATTAGATCAGGTAATTTAACAAATTGATTTTTGGCTCATTCCGCCTTATAAATAAACAACTAAAATGCCTAATGGAATCATTATTGAAGAAATGAATTTATTACCGATAAATAAATAACCCTGCACCATAAAGTTTTATGAGCATGCAGGCATTGTACAATCGTTACCAGATGCCATGGAGACTAATGACGATAACAGGCATACATCGATGCTGCTGCTGCTGCGGCGGCACTGTAGACCTGGGGTGAACATGCACAACGAGGGGACTCCAGGGAAATCTCACTCACTCACTCATGCTAGGCATGCTATCTGTAACTGAAACTGTGGAACATTGCGTGTTGCTGCATTTTCCAGCAAGATGAAGGGAAAAGAGAGGCAAAATTAGAATATATATTTTTTCAGTATGTTCTCGTCCATGTTTTCCAAACTTTTCTTTCAATTGTGTTTTTGCCTCATTTATATTTACCACAAGCACTGTGTTGCAATCTTGAGGGACGAAAGAGAGTGGTCGTTAGGTTGAGTTAGTTTTACTCAACGTGCAGCATGAGCTTTGTAACCATTTAGTAATCAAATCCAGGTCCTCGGCATGGTGAGACAATGTTTTATTGAACGCCATGGGAAATGTTAATTATTAAAACTAGTAAGTGAGTTTGATTTTACGCCGCTTTTAGCAATATTCCAGCAATATCACGGCGGGGGACACCAGAAATGGGCTTCACACATTGTATCGAACCCAGGTCTTCAAGCATGACGAGCGAACGGTTTAACCACTAGGCAACCCGACCGCCCCTTATTAAAACAAGAAACCTCAAATGTGTAGGTACTGCCACAGGTTTTCATCACTGATTCATCTCTATGTTAATCAAATCAGCTGAACAATAACGGGGGATATGATCACTCATGATGTGCTGTGATGTTTGAGAACCACTCCAAAACTTTTCAAAATAGGAAAAGATTAGATGTAGATGAGCCAGTAACAGGGTTCAAAGGTTGATTTCTTACTCAGCATTATAGCAAAAATATATTAAACAGTTATCTGCACTCCGGTGGGAATACGGATGTATTCTACCTTGGGAATGGAACCTTACTTTAGGTGAGATAAATTACCACACTATCAATGGGGCCACCAGCTTGGGAATTGAACCAGACTTTAGGTGAGATAAATTACCACACTATCAATGGGGCCACCAGCTTGGGAATTGAAACTTACTTCAGGTGAGATAAATTACCACACTATCAATGGGGCCACCAGCTTGGGAATTGAACCAGACTTTAGGTGAGATAAATTACAACACTATCAATGGGGCCACGGGCTTGGGAATTGAACCAGACTTTAGGTGAGATAAATTACCACACTATCAATGGGGCCACGGGCTTGGGAATTGAACCAGACTTTAGGTGAGATAAATTACCACACTATCAATGGGGCCACGGGCTTAGGAATTGAACCAGACTTTAGGTGAGATAAATTACCACACTATCAATGGGGCCACCAGCTTGGGAATTGAAACTTACTTTAGGTGAGATAAATTACCACACTATCAATGGGGCCACGGGCTTGGGAATTGAAACTTACTTTAGGTGAGATAAATTACCACACTATCAATGGGGCCACAGGCTTGGGAATTGAAACTTACTTTAGGTGAGATAAATTACCACACTATCAATGGGGCCACCAGCTTGGGAATTGAAACTTACTTTAGGTGAGATAAATTACCACACTATCAATGAGGCCACCAGCTTGGGAATTGAAACTTACTTTAGGTGAGATAAATTACCACACTATCAATGGGGCCACAGGTTGGGAATTGAACCAGACTTTAGGTGAGATAAATTACCACACTATCAATGGGGCCACGGGCTTGGGAATTGAACCAGACTTTAGGTGAGATAAATTACCACACTATCAATGGGGCCACGGGCTTGGGAATTGAACCAGACTTTAGGTGAGATAAATTACCACACTATCAATGGGGCCACGGGCTTGGGAATTGAACCAGACTTTAGGTGAGATAAATTACCACACTATCAATGGGGCCACGGGCTTGGGAATTGAACCAGACTTTAGGTGAGATAAATTACCACACTATCAATGGGGCCACCAGCTTGGGAATTGAAACTTACTTTAGGTGAGATAAATTACCACACTATCAATGGGGCCACGGGCTTGGGAATTGAAACTTACTTTAGGTGAGATAAATTACCACACTATCAATGGGGCCACCAGCTTGGGAATTGAAACTTACTTTAGGTGAGATAAATTACCACACTATCAATGGGGCCACGGGCTTGGGAATTGAAACTTACTTTAGGTGAGATAAATTACCACACTATCAATGGGGCCACGGGCTTGGGAATTGAAACTTACTTTAGGTGAGATAAATTACCACACTATCAATGGGGCCACAGGCTTGGGAATTGAAACTTACTTTAGGTGAGATAAATTACCACACTATCAATGGGGCCACCAGCTTGGGAATTGAAACTTACTTTAGGTGAGATAAATTACCACACTATCAATGGGGCCACGGGCTTGGGAATTGAAACTTACTTTAGGTGAGATAAATTACCACACTATTAATGGGGCCACGGGCTTGGGAATTGAAACTTACTTTAGGTGAGATAAATTACCACACTATCAATGGGGCCACCAGCTTGGGAATTGAAACTTACTTTAGGTGAGATAAATTACCACACTATCAATGGGGCCACGGGCTTGGGAATTGAAACTTACTTTAGGTGAGATAAATTACCACACTATCAATGGGGCCACCAGCTTGGGAATTGAAACTTACTTTAGGTGAGATAAATTACCACACTATCAATGGGGCCACGGGCTTGGGAATTGAAACTTACTTTAGGTGAGATAAATTACCACACTATCAATGGGGCCACCAGCTTGGGAATTGAAACTTACTTTAGGTGAGATAAATTACCACACTATCAATGGGGCCACCAGCTTGGGAATTGAAACTTACTTTAGGTGAGATAAATTACCACACTATCAATAGGGCCACCAGCTTGGGAATTGAAACTTACTTTAGGTGAGATAAATTACCACACTATCAATAGGGCCACCAGCTTGGGAATTGAAACTTACTTTAGGTGAGATAATTTACCACACTTCAATGGGGCCACCAGCTTGGGAATTGAAACTTACTTTAGGTGAGATAAATTACCACACTATCAATGGGGCCACGGGCTTGGGAATTGAAACTTACTTTAGGTGAGATAAATTACCACACTATCAATGGGGCCACGGGCTTTGGAATTGAAACTTACTTTAGGTGAGATAAATTACCACACTATCAATGGGGCCACGGGCTTGGGAATTGAAACTTACTTTAGGTGAGATAAATTACCACACTATCAATGGGGCCACGGGCTTGGGAATTGAAACTTACTTTAGGTGAGATAAATTACCACACTATCAATGGGGCCACGGGCTTGGGAATTGAAACTTACTTTAGGTGAGATAAATTACCACACTATCAATGGGGCCACGGGCTTGGGAATTGAAACTTACTTTAGGTGAGATAAATTACCACACTATCAATGGGGCCACCGGCTTGGGAATTGAAACTTACTTTAGGTGAGATAAATTACCACACTATCAATGGGGCCACCAGCTTGGGAATTGAAACTTACTTTAGGTGAGATAAATTACCACACTATCAATGGGGCCACGGGCTTGGGAATTGAAACTTACTTTAGGTGAGATAAATTACCACACTATCAATGGGGCCACGGGCTTGGGAATTGAAACTTACTTTAGGTGAGATAAATTACCACACTATCAATGGGGCCACGGGCTTGGGAATTGAAACTTACTTTAGGTGAGATAAATTACCACACTATCAATGGAGCCACGGGCTTGGGAATTGAAACTTACTTTAGGTGAGATAAATTACCACACTATCAATGGGGCCACCAGCTTGGGAATTGAAACTTACTTTAGGTGAGATAAATTACCACACTATCAATGGGGCCACGGGCTTGGGAATTGAAACTTACTTTAGGTGAGATAAATTACCACACTATCAATGAGGCCACCCAACTTGGGAATTGAACCAGACTTTAGGTGAGACACTTCACCACACTATCAATGGGGCCACCCAACATGGGGATTGAACCAGACTTTCCATGGGGCCATGAGTTCAGGAACTGAACTAGGTACTGGGCAACACATGCAACAACATTAACCCTGGGACTACCTATATAGGAACTGAACCGGGCCTGAGGTCAGACAGGTGACCACACATACCAATGGGCTACAACCTGACATATCTAGAATATATTTCAGTAGATCAAGTGGTCAATCAGAGCCCATCTACAACCATTCCCATCAGTGATTATGCGGCCCTGAATGTGTACAGCCACTGCTGGCACCGTCACCACGGAAGTAGCTTCCTGCCACTGTCAGCGGCACGCTCTTATTAATGTTTAATATCCAATCTGCCCCACATTGCATGTTCGTGGACACTCATGGCAGGTGAGAGACTTCTCTAAACCTGGCAGTAATTACCATAGTTGGCATATTTATGCCCTCCATTGCCACTAACCAGGATCTCAGATCTGTGGCGCCAGGATTGTCGACATGAGTGGGCAATGTTATGTTTTATTGACTAGACAGGATGTATTGTCTACAAGTCGGAATGGCACTCCTTGTGTCACACGTTTTTTTCATTTAAACTTCTTCTTAATGGCATGTTTTGTTGTTTGTGAGAGTTATTAAGAGTGTCACAGGTTACAAGTTTTACCCATCGTCAGTAGAAACAAAAGAACCCCTATAACTATCCACATTGTTTTTATTTGTAATGTAGTGTGTGATTGGCCTGCTAGACTGGCTAGTCTATATGTACTGTATTATGTGTAGGTTAAAGTATGTCCAAGGGTTTTGATGATATTCAAGTCAGGTTTTATCCCAAGGATAAGGGTTTTAAATGTCATAAAAACACTTGGTGCTATATCCTACACATCACATAGTACATATAGGGAGTTTTTTATCTAACTTGTAGGCCTAAAAATGAAACTTAAAACAAAAGTTTTCAACATTTCTGATTCAAACATAATTTCCATGAACCTTAGGAAACCGGTGTAAAATATCTGTTGCTGGCGTACGATACTGGAAAAGACATTCTTAAAAGCATTGTGATTTTATCAGCGCCTCTCTAGCCTAGTGGTACATCCTCGGGAATATAAAGACAACATTTGTCATTGATTTTACATATCAAAATATTATATAGCAAATATCTCTGGGATATTATAACATCCCTGTTTATGAGATATAATCCCACTGCAGAACAATAGGATGACGTCACTGGAGGTTTATAAATGATGGGTATCACATGATGGGCAGGAAGATGGTGGTTGATGACCAGACAGGAGTGTACACTTCCAGTGTGGACGGTGGGAGATTCCATGTGATTGTACTTGATTAAGTAGGGTAATTGATAGAATGTGTAACATTTGCATGATTGATATCGGTTAATCAGTATTTGTGTGATGTTAATTACTGGGTACAAGAAGGTGACACAGCCTTAACATATAAGACACTGATATCCTTTTGCTCAGAGTATCAGAGGAATCTTGTCATGGAATCCTGCAAATGCTTTGTTTATTTGTTGTATAACGCCGCACTCAGTAATATTCCAGCTGTATGATGGCGGTCTGTAAATAATTGAGTCTTAAACAGAAAATCCAGTGATTGACATTATGAGCATCAATCTACGCAATTAGGATATGATCATATGCATCAAACCAAGTCAGCGAGCCTGACAACCCGATCCCGTCAGTCGCCTCTTACGACAAGCATAGTCACCTTTTGCGGCAAGCATTGGTTGCTGAATACCTCTACCTGGATCTTCATGGGTCTCCTGTAAATGCATTCAAGATAGGCTAGTTTTGGTCTAGTGATGGGGGAGTTGGGTAGGGGTGGGGATTTTGTTGTAGACAGAGTAATGTTTCAGTGACTGCTTCAAGACAAACAATGTTTCTCCTCTGGTCACACAACACTTTTTATTCAAACCCTACCATGAAACCCAAAGCAAAATTATTTTTTGTAAGGGTGGGAGTTGAAAAATCACCTAGTTATGCTGCAGCCAGTAACAAAATGCCCTGACCCAGTAATGACCCTCCCCTCCGTATCTACAGCTAGCCCAGGATAGGATTGATAACTAGATTAAAGCCTTGTATGCTTCACTGATGGCTTATCCGACACAGACACTAAATTTCTGATTGGCAGGTAAAGATGTCAACTGATGATATCAACAACCCAGTGTATAAAGTTTCGTAACACTTGAAGATATATATCTGTTGACAGCTCAGACTTGTCATGACTTAAACGGATATTGATTGATTGACAGAACTGTGTAGGTGGGATTTCTTGAATTAATGGTGCTCAGAGCTTAAATATATATGTCAAGTGGATACCAAGTTTTATTTCCGCTGTCAGGGATATTGAGCTTATATATGACATAAGTAAGTCATTTTTGCCATTTGATTGAGAGGTTTATGTGGTCTGTGGTTCCAAATCTAGTACATGTTGTGATTTTAGTTTGAAATGTTATTTCTTCATTGTTTTCATTCACTTGATAAAATGATATCATGCTTCAGCATTGAATAATCAACCCTAGAACTTGGCTCAATTTGAAATGTGTTTGTTAAATTCTCTAAGCCTTTTTGTCATAAAAATTCCAAAATGATTTTCTTGTTTTACTCAATGAGTGAATTGTGATCAAAATGCTGTCACCCCTCTGTGTGGACGTCAAAATGACATAAACAGGACAGCCATGAACCAAACCAAATTGAGATAATTTAAAAAAATAAATTGACATTTATTTATGCCCATCAAATACACCCAATTTGAAACCATATATTTTTATGTCGTAATTGTTTAACATCATTGATAGATGGTTGATACTTTCCTTTTAACTCTGTATAGAACAAATATTCAATGATGACAATCTGTTGTTTACCCAAGTAAAAATAATACAACAATGTTGGACCCGTGAAGATCCGGGGTAGAATAGGTCTTCAACAACACATGCTTGCCGTAAAAGTCAACCCTGCTTGTCATGAGGTGACTAACAGGATCGGGTGGTCAGGCTCGCCCACCAATTACATAGATGTCAATCACTGGATTGTCCTCTCTAGACTTGATTATTTACAGACCGCCATCATGTAGCTGGAATATTGCTGTTAAGAAACAAACAAACAAACAACAAACAAGCAACAATGTTGACATATTTGAAGGAATATATTTTGCTTGCATTGTGATTGCATTTAGGATTTAGTAATGTTGACACTTGAAAGATCGAGGTTAGGATGACATTGCTAAGAGGCACGCTGTTTGTTTTGTGTGCTTTTGAGATAATCATCAACTGAGCAGGGTGTTATTTCTTTCGCTATGGAACCTTTTTCATTGAGTAGTAAATCACTGCACGATCTGTAGAGTTACAATCAATCAACAAGCTTTCACCCATCACCTAGCAATGGGGACTTCCCTCGGTATCTTCCTAGCTCTTGTCAAGACAGTGTTATTATAAATGTTTTGTCACCTCTTCCAGCACCATGCTCACCGTGTCTCCGGGCAGTGATGAAGTGACAGCATTGTTGCAGACGTGTGTATTGTAGAGCAGACGCCACTCTGGTGGAGCAGACGACAGTCAATACTTTCCCTCTCACCGATCTCAGGGCAGACGGACAGTTGGGGGATTATGTCAGTGAGACTTTCCCCAGACGTCCAGGTGGACTTGACTTGAGAAACTTAACAATGATGGATTGGCAGAAAGATGCTTGTGATCGGCTACCATGGAGTGGGAGCGGCTCAGTCTGTGTACAATGTCAGGAGTGAGCTGTGTGTGGGGTGCTGTGTGTCGAGGATTCATGGAATAATGTTTTGAAGATGTATCAGAGTTGGAAGAATGTGCTGCTCCTTCCTGGAGGACAAGTAGATCTGAAGGACAAATTTCTAATTTCTATGATTGAGGATTGAAGTGATCCTGCAAGATGTGTTTTCGTTGTTTCTTGCTTGCATGAAGCACTGTCAACACTATGTGTTTCTTGGAGGAGGAAGTCTGAAGAAGAAATTCTAGTGCTCTGTTCTGATGAAGTTTCATATTTGGAACAAAACATTTTCCATATGTGAATGCCTTGGATTCCAAGTGGAAGGGGGTTCTTGTGATTCATGACTGTTGATTGTTGGGTTTGCTCATGAACTATTGTGTTTGTGACTGACACGACTTTATCTCAAACATGAGGAAATGTGGAGCTGTGTTCGGATATTTCAATATCAAACATCTTAAAAGAATCTGAAGGGAATGTGATACATCTCTTTATCATTTGCCTTGGTCTCTAGTGTAGACCTGAACACAGTGTAAATATTCTGGCTTCCTCTTGGGGGAATGGAAGAAGAAAACTTGAAGCGGCTTCAGTGTGTATTCTTTGCTGACTGAAGGTTCTGGAATAAACTTTGAATGCACAGTATGCATGGTGCCTGAAGCTGGAGCTGTTTGAGCAAGTTCTGGGGTGTCCACTATGAGAATTATTCCAACAAATATGGGTGATAAAGATAAAGATGGACGCTGTGAGAGAAATGAAAATATTAATTTGTGCCGGTAGTGGAATGTTCTTGACATTTTTTTCTTGTGGATATCAGATGTTAGACTTTACTTCCAGACCCAGTTTCTAACATCTGAGTGTTCGATGGAGGTTCTGAAATGTCGATTTGATTAATTGTGATTCTGGCGTAAGATTGTCTACGCCTTCTGTTGAGATGGATTTTCGCTGCTTTTTCTGAAACTGTTTTCCAAGCTTTGTGAGTATAGGATTGTGAACACTTGGTCTTGAATCCATGACACTCAACTTGATAAACCTCTACATGACGATGGAGAGATACACTCGAACTTCAAGCAGCCGCTGTGCTTCGGGACGGTCCATCCTTCTCGACATTGATGACGCTCTCGAACGTTTGTCAAACCACTCAAGCCCCATCAACAGAATGCATGTGACTGTGAAACGTAGCAGCACTGCCATACCCGAGATGGCTCCAAACTCTGTGTACAGTCAGTTGGGAGTTATCTCCCCCTTCCCAGTCAGGGGGCTTCCTCTACCAGTGCTACAGGGGAAGTTCGTAAGCAGTAAGAGTAAAACGCTGAGTGCTATGAACCATGTGACCCCGGGTCGGCTCCAGCGGAGTAAGACGATTCTCTCCACCCCGTGTCGGCACTGTGTCGCCTGCACAGTCAAACATTTACGCAATTTTAACAAGGTGAGCTACAGGCATTTTCTTATGTGGTTTACAGTTGTTTTTGAAGAACAGTTGAGTCATTGTTCATAGAAATAAAATTGCAAAAAGTTTTGTGATCTCTTAAAGTACAGCCAGTATGGTGAACAGACATTTTTGTATTCATTTGGTTCAAAGATTATTTTGGTTTCAGAATATTAGTGTTAGTGGTAAAAATAAAAATAAAATCCTGAAGATAAGGGATATTTGATTGATTGATTGATTGATTGATTGATTGATTGATTGATTGATTGATTCATTCATTCTAAATTCATTTTGTTTGCAGATTACTATTTTTCCAATACAGTATTTGGTAACAATAAAATAAACTTGCAAATAGATATGAAATCTCTTAAAACAATCTTATTAAAATCAGATCTCAGTTCTTGCTACCGCTAAACAAAGATCTCAAGACATCCCATTACGGGTGATGTCAGAACGACCGTTTGTGAACTCTGATCAACCACTGACAAGATGTTGACATAAGCCAATCAGAAAGAAGCTTTTTACATCACTAGTTTCAAACTGGAGACTTCCATTCCAGATATATTGTGTAAAATATTTTGTCAAAGTTCTAAATTCAAAATTAGAAAAGTGAGCTAAAGTAAACTTCTGGTATGTCTAAAAGATGTCCGAGCTTGTATGGCATTAATTCCCTGTATCTTCCGTTTCAAATGTTTATCCCACTGAAGCAAGAGATAGGCGATTATTTTGATAGAATCAGTCGTACAACCAGTGAATGTTGATCAGAATACCTGTGTTAACCTCTTGTGGGTTGCATTATTAGAAAATACATTAATCCTGACCTGGTAAGTGACGCTTTGATTGGTCATAAGAAAGGTCGTTCTGACCTTGATCAAGTTATTTCCATTATTAAATTGGCTTAAAAAAAATAAGAGAATTTGTTCTCAGGCAATGGATTTTGAAAATATTGTGTGGGCAGGCTACCCTTTGTTTTTCTGTTCAAACTAGTCTTTAACCAAATAAACAGTGTACAATCAACCTGGGAAAGGGCCATCCTTGATGAGTGAGACACTGAAATATAGTATCTGACTGCAGCTGGACTTAATATTATTTCAGGGGGCACGGGTGGCCCAGTTGCGTCCCGTGGACACGCCAGAAACCTATGATTGTGGGTTCGAATCCCGGTTTGCCCCGATTACGTTTCAAGATTTGTCAGCACCATACCCGTGCTCGTGGGTTTCACCGAAGTGATAAACGTCTGAGACCTGCATCACTTCGGGCTTTCCTCCCACATTAAGCTGACACGCCGCGATATAACTGTAATACTGTTAAAAGCGGCGTTAAACACAACTCACTCACTCACTAATATTATTTCACAATGAGAAGACGTAATCAGGAGCATACAACACCGGAAGAAGCATGTCAACAAATCCATTCTGAAGTATGCAAGCTACTCCTATTATTACACTTTTTGGCAAAAAAAAGTTTCATTGTGTATCTGGACTTACATTTGTAATCCATTATATTTCTTTACTCCAAGATTTCATTCAATTTTGTTTAGATTTATATTGGCAAAATTGTTTATGATCTGATCAGCAAATCACATCAACTTACCATGAACTTGCCTTGATACGAACATTTGTGATTAGAGATAGAAAGTCTTTTGTGTTCCTATCAATTCCTATCAATTTCTTTTCAGTTATGATATTGGCCATGACGTTAAGCATTTCTTAAACTAAAGCACCCATAGATCGGGAAGAAATGGTGTAAACAGCTGATAGCTATCTCCGGCTTATTCTATGAGACAAATACACATGTAATCTTAACCTCTGCATATGAAAAATTGTCTGGCATACAGTACACAAATTCCATTGAATTTGCAAATCCCCTTGTCTAGTGATGTTTTATCATATCTTTTTTAACTGAACGAATTTGCAAATCACACACACAAACTCCTATTGCTGCCATGACCATAACATAAGATGCGCAGTAAAGCAGTGTGCATGTGAAGGAACTAACTGCGTGCTATATTGGATCGCATTGTTTTTAAGTGTTGTAGCATTTCACTGCTAGGGTCGTGTGTTTCAGACTCGGACTATTTAGGATTTTTGAAAATGGAAATAAAAACAGAATATGTGGCGGACTTTGTGAGGATGTGGCAGTGCCTGAAAACCAAGAATATTTTGTTTTTAGCCTAGCTGATAAAAGTTTAACTTTCATTACTGATTATATTTTAGGTATTTATTACAATGTAGGCATTAAAATTCATGTGACCTAATGATTTGTTTATTTTGTGCAACTAACTCAAAGTTCTAAAAATCGCGAATAGATCGGCAGGTTCTCCCATACACAGATTCATAGACCCAGTGATTCACTCGGTCCTCAACTGACCCAATGATTCACTCGGTCCTCCATAGATTCAATGACTCACCCAGCCCTCCACTGACTCAATGTCTCACTCAGTCCTCCACTGACTCAATGTCTCACTCAGTCCTCCATTGACTCAATGTCTCACTCAGTCCTCCACTGACTCAATGTCTCACTCAGTCCTCCATTGACTCAATGTCTCACTCAGTCCTCCACTGACTCAATGTCTCACTCCGTCCTCCATTGACTCAATGTCTCACTCAGTCCTCCACTGACTCAATGTCTCACTCAGGCCTCCACTGACTCAATGTCTCACTCAGTCCTCCACTGACTCAATGTCTCACTCAGTCCTCCATTGACTCAATGTCTCACTCAGTCCTCCACTGACTCAATGTCTCACTCCGTCCTCCATTGACTCAATGACTCTCACTCCTCCACTGACTCAATGACTCTCACTCCTCCACTGACTCAATGTCTCACTCCTCCACTGACTCAATGACTCACTCAGTCCTCCACTGACTCAATGACTCTCACTCCTCCACTGACTCAATGACTCACTCAGTCCTCCACTGACTCAATGACTCACTCAGTCCTCCACTGACTCAATGACTCTCACTCCTCCACTGACTGAATGACTCACTCAGTCCTCCACTGACTCAATGACTCACTCAGTCCTCCACTGACTCAATGACTCACTCAGTCCTCCGCTGACTCAATGTCTCACTCCTCCACTGACTCAATGACTCTCACTCCTCCACTGACTCAATGACTCTCACTCCTCCACTGACTCAATGACTCACTCAGTCCTCCACTGACTCAATGACTCACTCAGTCCTCCACTGACTCAATGACTCTCACTCCTCCACTGACTCAATGACTCACTCAGTCCTCCACTGACTCAATGACTCACTCAGTCCTCCACTGACTCAATGACTCACTCAGTCCTCCACTGACTCAATGACTCACTCAGTCCTCCACTGACTCAATGTCTCTCAGTCCTCCACTGACTCAATGTCTCACTCAGTCCTCCACTGACTCAATGATTCTCTCACTCCTCCACTGACTCAATGTCTCACTCAGTCCTCCACTGACTCAATGACTCTCTCACTCCTCCACTGACTCAATGTCTCACTCAGTCCTCCACTGACTCAATGACTCTCTCACTCCTCCACTGACTCAATGTCTCACCCAGTCCTCCACTGACCCAATGACTCACCCAGTCCTCCACTGACTCAATGACTCACTCAGTCCTCCACTGACTCAATGACTCACTCAGTCCTCCACTGACTCAATGACTCACTCAGTCCTCCACGGACTCAATGACTCACTCAGTCCTCCACTGATTCAATGACTCACTCAGTCCTCCACTGACTCAATGACTCACCCAGTCCTCCACTGACCCAATGACTCACCCAGTCCTCCACTGACTCAATGATTCACTCAGTCCTCCACTGACTCAATGATTCACTCAGTCCTCCACTGACTCAATGACTCACCCAGTCCTCCACTGACCCAATGACTCACCCAGTCCTCCACTGACTCAATGATTCACTCAGTCCTCCACTGACTCAATGACTCACTCTCTCCTCCAATGACTCTCAGTCCTCCACTGACTCAATGATTCACTCAGTCCTCCACTGACTCAATGACTCACTCACTCCTCCAATGACTCTCAGTCCTCCACTGACTCAATGATTCACTCAGTCCTCCACTGACTCAATGACTCACTCACTCCTCCAATGACTCTCAGTCCTTCACTGACTCAATGACTCACTCAATCCTCCAATGACTCTCAGTCCTCCACTGACCCAATAACTCACCCAGTCCTCCACTGACTCAATGATTCACTCAGTCCTCCACTGACTCAATGACTCTCACTCCTCCACTGACTCAATGACTCACTCAGTCCTCCACTGACTCAATGACTCACTCAGTCCTCCACTGACTCAATGACTCACTCACTCCTCCACTGTCTCAATGTCTCACTCACTCCTCCACTGACTCAATGGTTCTCACTCCTCCACTGACTCAATGTCTCACTCAGTCCTCCACTGACTCAATGACTCTCTCACTCCTCCACTGACTCAATGACTCTCTCACTCCTCCACTGACTCAATGTCTCACCCAGTCCTCCACTGACCCAATGACTCACTCAGTCCTCCACTGACTCAATGACTCACTCAGTCCTCCACTGACTCAATGACTCACTCAGTCCTCCACTGACTCAATGACTCACTCAGTCCTCCACTGACTCAATGACTCACTCAGTCCTCCACTGACTCAATGTCTCTCAGTCCTCCACTGACTCAATGTCTCACTCAGTCCTCCACTGACTCAATGATTCTCTCACTCCTCCACTGACTCAATATCTCACTCAGTCCTCCACTGACTCAATGACTCCATCACTCCTCCACTGACTCAATGTCTCACTCAGTCCTCCACTGACTCAATGACTCTCTCACTCCTCCACTGACTCAATGTCTCACCCAGTCCTCCACTGACCCAATGACTCACCCAGTCCTCCACTGACTCAATGACTCACTCAGTCCTCCACTGACTCAATGACTCACTCAGTCCTCCACTGACTCAATGACTCACTCAGTCCTCCACGGACTCAATGACTCACTCAGTCCTCCACTGACTCAATGATTTACTCAGTCCTCCACTGACTCAATGACTCACCCAGTCCTCCACTGACCCAATGACTCACCCAGTCCTCCACTGACTCAATGATTCACTCAGTCCTCCACTGACTCAATGACTCACTCTCTCCTCCAATGAATCTCAGTCCTCCACTGACTCAATGATTCACTCAGTCCTCCACTGACTCAATGACTCACTCACTCCTCCAATGACTCTCAGTCCTCCACTGACTCAATGATTCACTCAGTCCTCCACTGACTCAATGACTCACTCACTCCTCCAATGACTCTCAGTCCTTCACTGACTCAATGACTCACTCAATCCTCCAATGACTCTCAGTCCTCCACTGACCCAATAACTCACCCAGTCCTCCACTGACTCAATGATTCACTCAGTCCTCCACTGACTCAATGACTCTCACTCCTCCACTGACTCAATGACTCACTCAGTCCTCCACTGACTCAATGACTCACCCAGTCCTCCACTGACCCAATGACTCACCCAGTCCTCCACTGACCCAATAACTCACCCAGTCCTCCACTGACTCAATGACTCACCCAGTCCTCCACTGACTCAATGATTCACTCAGTCCTCCACTGACCCAATAACTCACCCAGTCCTCCACTGACTCAATGATTCACTCAGTCCTCCACTGACTCAATGACTCACTCACTCCTCCAATGACTCTCACTCCTCCACTGACTCAATGACTCTCACTCCTCCACTGACTCAATGACTCTCACTCCTCCACTGACTGAATGACTCACTCAGTCCTCCACTGACTCAATGACTCACTCAGTCCTCCACTGACTCAATGACTCACTCAGTCCTCCGCTGACTCAATGTCTCACTCCTCCACTGACTCAATGACTCTCACTCCTCCACTGACTCAATGACTCTCACTCCTCCACGGACTCAATGACTCACTCAGTCCTCCACTGACTCAATGACTCACTCAGTCCTCCACTGACTCAATGACTCTCACTCCTCCACTGACTCAATGACTCACTCAGTCCTCCACTGACTCAATGACTCACTCAGTCCTCCACTGACTCAATGACTCACGCAGTCCTCCACTGACTCAATGACTCACTCAGTCCTCCACTGACTCAATGTCTCTCAGTCCTCCACTGACTCAATGTCTCACTCAGTCCTCCACTGACTCAATGATTCTCTCACTCCTCCACTGACTCAATGTCTCACTCAGTCCTCCACTGACTCAATGACTCTCTCACTCCTCCACTGACTCAATGTCTCACTCAGTCCTCCACTGACTCAATGACTCTCTCACTCCTCCACTGACTCAATGTCTCACCCAGTCCTCCACTGACCCAATGACTCACCCAGTCCTCCACTGACTCAATGACTCACTCAGTCCTCCACTGACTCAATGACTCCCTCAGTCCTCCACTGACTCAATGACTCACTCAGTCCTCCACGGACTCAATGACTCACTCAGTCCTCCACTGATTCAATGACTCACTCAGTCCTCCACTGACTCAATGACTCACCCAGTCCTCCACTGACCCAATGACTCACCCAGTCCTCCACTGACTCAATGATTCACTCAGTCCTCCACTGACTCAATGATTCACTCAGTCCTCCACTGACTCAATGACTCACCCAGTCCTCCACTGACCCAATGACTCACCCAGTCCTCCACTGACTCAATGATTCACTCAGTCCTCCACTGACTCAATGACTCACTCTCTCCTCCAATGACTCTCAGTCCTCCACTGACTCAATGATTCACTCAGTCCTCCACTGACTCAATGACTCACTCACTCCTCCAATGACTCTCAGTCCTCCACTGACTCAATGATTCACTCAGTCCTCCACTGACTCAATGACTCACTCACTCCTCCAATGACTCTCAGTCCTTCACTGACTCAATGACTCACTCAATCCTCCAATGACTCACCCAGTCCTCCACTGACCCAATAACTCACCCAGTCCTCCACTGACTCAATGATTCACTCAGTCCTCCACTGACTCAATGACTCTCACTCCTCCACTGACTCAATGACTCACTCAGTCCTCCACTGACTCAATGACTCACTCAGTCCTCCACTGACTCAATGACTCACTCAGTCCTCCACTGTCTCAATGTCTCACTCACTCCTCCACTGACTCAATGATTCTCACTCCTCCACTGACTCAATGTCTCACTCAGTCCTCCACTGACTCAATGACTCTCTCACTCCTCCACTGACTCAATGACTCTCTCACTCCTCCACTGACTCAATGTCTCACCCAGTCCTCCACTGACCCAATGACTCACTCAGTCCTCCACTGACTCAATGACTCACTCCGTCCTCCACTGACTCAATGACTCACTCAGTCCTCCACTGACTCAATGACTCACTCAGTCCTCCACTGACTCAATGACTCACTCAGTCCTCCACTGACTCAATGTCTCTCAGTCCTCCACTGACTCAATGTCTCACTCAGTCCTCCACTGACTCAATGATTCTCTCACTCCTCCACTGACTCAATGTCTCACTCAGTCCTCCACTGACTCAATGACTCCATCACTCCTCCACTGACTCAATGTCTCACTCAGTCCTCCACTGACTCAATGACTCACTCAGTCCTCCACAGACTCAATGACTCACTCAGTCCTCCACTGACTCAATGATTTACTCAGTCCTCCACTGACTCAATGACTCACCCAGTCCTCCACTGACCCAATGACTCACCCAGTCCTCCACTGACTCAATGATTCACTCAGTCCTCCACTGACTCAATGACTCACTCTCTCCTCCAATGACTCTCAGTCCTCCACTGACTCAATGATTCACTCAGTCCTCCACTGACTCAATGACTCACTCACTCCTCCAATGACTCTCAGTCCTCCACTGACTCAATGATTCACTCAGTCCTCCACTGACTCAATGACTCACTCACTCCTCCAATGACTCTCAGTCCTTCACTGACTCAATGACTCACTCAATCCTCCAATGACTCTCAGTCCTCCACTGACTCAATGATTCACTCAGTCCTCCACTGACCCAATGACTCTCACTCCTCCACTGACTCAATGACTCACTCAGTCCTCCACTGACTCAATGACTCACCCAGTCCTCCACTGACCCAATGACTCACCCAGTCCTCCACTGACCCAATAACTCACCCAGTCCTCCACTGACTCAATGACTCACCCAGTCCTCCACTGACTCAATGATTCACTCAGTCCTCCACTGACCCAATAACTCACCCAGTCCTCCACTGACTCAATGATTCACTCAGTCCTCCACTGACTCAATGACTCACTCACTCCTCCAATGACTCTCAGTCCTCCACTGACCCAATGACTCACCCAGTCCTCCACTGACTCAATGACTCACCTACTCCTCCACTGTCTCAATGACTCACTCCTCCACTGACTCAGTGACTCACTCAGTCCTCCTCTGACTCAATGACTCACCCAGTCCTCCACCACTAACTCAGTCACTGACCATCTGCAACTGTTGCAGCTCCAGTCCGGTGTGGGGATCCGTATTGAGGATGGGATGGTATATGGGATGAAGAGGTCCAAGTCTGATCTTCACCTCTACGATGACTCCATGCGACCTGGCACTATGTCGCTGTTGACAGGGGAGGTAAGTCAAGGTGGTCGCCATGCGGCCCAGCACCATGCTACTGATGACAGGGGAGGTAAGTCAAGGTGGTCGCCATGCGGCCCAGCACCATGTTACTGATGACAGGGGAGGTAAGTCAAAGTGGACACAATGCGACCCAGCACCATGTTACTGATGACAGGGGAGGTAAGTCAAAGTGGACGCAATGCGACCCAGCACCATGTTACTGATGACAGGGGAGGTAAGTCAAAGTGGAAGCCATGCGACCCAGCACCATGTTACTGATGACAGGGGAGGTAAGTCAAAGTGGACGCCATGCGGCCCAGCACCATGTTACTGATGACAGGGGAGGTAAGTCAAGGTGGTCGCCATGCGGCCCAGCACCATGTCACTCATGATAGGGGAGGTAAGTCCAGGTGGATGCAATGCGACATGGCACCATGTCACTGATGACAGAGGAGGTAAGTCAAAGTGGATGCAATGCAACACGGCACCAGGTCACTGATGCCAGGGGAGGTAAGTGGAAAGGTTGCCACGAAACAATTCATATGTTAAAATTATTTGTAGTCTTTGACAATGTCATTTAGAATGTCTCAGAGACTTTTAAACATTTATTATCTATATTTCATAAAGCTAATGAACCTGTCTCTAACCTGCTTTGCAGAGAGCCCCAGTGTTCATGATGGGAGCTCAGGAACCCAGAGAAGATGTAGTTGGGGGCAACAAAGAGGAGGTTTTGTTACCAATGGCAACACTCACAAAGAAAGGTCTCATCAAGTTAACCTCCCTGGACCAGGAGCTGCCAGATCAAGAATTTATGTCTATGAAGAAACATGGTGTGTACATCAACACAGAGTGAGTGAGTGAGATGGGTTTTTAACACTGCTTGGAACAGTATTCCAGTTACATCACAGCCTGCCCCACCATCAACACAGAACCCCAACCATGTTGACCACAGCTTACTGCATGTTGTTAGGGAAACAAGTCTCCCAGTGTGGGAGCTTTATGTCAAGGGCTTGTCTAGTCCAGCTCCTTTGCTCGTCAGATCCGGCTACCTTCAGCAACCCATGCTTGCCGTAAAAGGCTACTATGCTTGTCATAAGAGGCGACTAAAGGGATCGGGTAGTCAGGCTCGCAGACTTGGTTGATGCATGCCATCATATCCTAGTTGCGTGGATCGATGCTCATGATGTCAATCACTGGATTGTCTGGTCCAGACTCGATTATTTACAGACCACCGTCATATGGGTAAAATATATCAGAGTGCGGCATTAAACAACAACAAACGGTGACTGCAGGCAATGATAATGTCTCTCCAGAAACTGCACCGAAGAAGACTGCACAGAAGGGACTGATCAAGCGCAAGGACATGCGAGATCAAATACGGGCAGGGGCACAGATGTTGGAGGAGGAGAGGAGGAAGACCCAGGACGAGGAGGAGGATGACGGGGAGGTGCGTTTGGAGGACTACACCATTGGGGACCTGCAGACAGCTCTTGACATGGTGCAGGTGGGTCTGAAAATTGTCACTCAAACTAACACTCATTCACTCTGGTTGTCATGCTCGCTGACTTGGTCGATGCATGTCATCGTATCCCAATTGTGTCGATTGATGCTCATGATATCATTCACTTGATTGTCTGTTATTTACAGATTGCCATCATAAAGCTGGAAAATTGCTGAGTGCGGCATTAAACAACAAACAAACACTCTTGTTGGTCCATTAAACCTTCAGATAAAGCAAAAGCTAACTGATGCGTAAACACTCACTCACTCAGCTTTACTCCAGGAGGTAGATGTATAGAAGTACATGTATGTGTGAAGCAACACTCACTCACTCACCATCTCACCCACCCACCCACTCAAACACACTGACTCACCTACTCACTCATTCACTCACTCACCATCCCACCCACTCACTCACCCACCCACTCAAACACACTGACTCACCTACTCACCCACCCACTCAAACACACTGACTCACCTACTCACTCATTCACTATCTCACCATCCCACCCACTCACTCACCCACCCACTCAAACACACTGACTCACCTACTCACCCACCCACTCAAACACACTGACTCACCTACTCACTCATTCACTATCTCACCATCCCACCCACTCACTCACCCACCCACTCAAACACACTGACTCACCTACTCACCCACCCACTCAAACACACTGACTCACCTACTCACCCACACACTCAAACATACTGACTCACCCACCCACACACTCAAACACACTGACTCACCTACTCACCCACACACTCAAACACACTGACTCACCTACTCACTCATTCACTATCTCACCATCCTACCCACTCACTCACCCATCCACTCAAACACACTGACTCACCCACACACTCAACATACTGACTCACCCACTCACCTACTCACCCACCCACTCAAACACACTGACTCACCTACTCACCCACACACTCAAACACACTGACTCACCTACTCACCCACACACTCAAACACACTTACTCACCCACACACTCAAACACACTGACTCACCTACTCATTCACTATCTCACCATCCCACCCACTCACTCACCCATCCACTCAAACACACTGACTCACCTACTCACTGACTCACCCACCCACTCAAACACCTCACCTACTCACTCACCATCCCACCCACCCACTTACTCACCCATTCACCCATTCACTCAAATACACTGACTCACCCACTCACTCACTCACCCGCCATCCCACCCACTCACTCATTCACTCACTTACCCACCTACTCAGTCACTCACCATAACTCACCCACCCGCCCACTCAGTCACTCACCATAACTCAACCACCCGCCCACCCACCCACTCACTCACCCACCAACCCACCCACCCACTCACTCACTCACCCACCCACCCACTCACTCACTCCATCATTGTTCCAGGAGAATCCTGACTCCCCTGTGCTGCTGGATGTGGAGGAGGAGAGAAGTGAGGGCGGCGGCCAGGGCCGGTCCCCCAAACCTCCCAAGCAGCCTCTCGTCACGGAGAGCATCAAGCAGCAGACATTCCAACTCCCCATCCTCGGCAAGAAATGATCCTTACCACAGGGACATCTCAAAGCTTGGCCAGCTACCTCTGTGTTTGTTTGAGGATAGCAGTTAATGCTACTGAACATTTGAACTGCTGGTGCGGTGTCTTCCACAGGACTGACTACCTTGTGAGATCTCAATTGCTTTTTGATGGATGAAGATCCTGAGTGTAGAATCATTCAAAAGGGGCATCTTGAAGTAGATACTACTTGTTGAAGACATTGAGTATGTGGAGGAGAGACTTGCCTGCATTTCTATGAATATCATATTCTATACTTACCATTTTTTTTCCAGTTTCAGGCTAAACGTTGAATTCATTTTCACAGTAATAACACGTACATCATGTACAACTTGTCATTTCATGAAGGGTTTCAAATATGTCACTAAAATTTGAAAAATTATGTTTTTGTAAGAACATTGTCTCAGTACATTGAATGAACTTTGATCTCTTTTTTAAGTTTATGTAAATGTGCTGATATTTATTTATTCATACATGTATGTCTGGTTTTTGTGTGTTTTGTAATAATTAATATCCAGTAACCATGGTGACAGGTGCTACTTGTGTGCAATTTGTAGATAGTCGTCTTGAAGAAGTACAGTCCGTTCAGTGTGTTATCAAAGTTGAATTCCAGCTGGCTTTATTGTATAATTTATCTTCAGATTTTGTTTTCCTGTTTATAGCTTTGTATTCCTTGTTGGTTAAGGTTTTGTTAATATTCTTCCATTGTAATGGATACTTTACAGACAAGAGTTATGTCCCTTAGAGTATCCAACATGTCAGCCATTGTTAATTTCTTAGGTTTGGTTTTGCTGAGTTTGTTTCTTTTCAATTTATTAAATGATGGGATCAATATTTGTAAAAATATCTTGTTAAACAGCTCAAATAGTTAAAACATGAGACTTGCAGTACAATCAACCTATATGATATAAATACTAGCATACTGTATTCTACATAATTAACGTCATGTGTCAATTATGGATTCCCACTGCATATTTGTAACTTAAAATTTCCTCTAAAATGTTAACAGGTACAGAATTCATTTCTGTTTGTATTTTCTGCTAGCGTGTATACAGTAGTACTTTATTTGTAAGCTTAACCTGTCCGTGATGAAGTGGAGGTGTTTAGCTTGAATAATTACCCAGCCTTGAGAACTTGGTCCTTGGTGGTTGATTATACCAGCCATACAGTATCTGAATAGATTGAGAGGTTCACATTTGTCAGTAGAATGTGCTGCTGAGTAATAAGTTGTAAAATTTCTTGTTGATATTTTGAACACTATTTTTAATATAACCAGAGACCATGTCGGTATATGGTTTCTGATATAACTCAAAGGATATTGTCCTAAAATGAAATTGATGTTGACAGAATACTTTGTTGTATATATGATAAACATATTCATGGATGCTTGCCATGTTATTCATCAAGATGTTCATGTCATATGTCTGGCTATTGAGGATGTATTTAATTATTGCTGTGTTGGTAATTGTGTGATCATCATGTTATTGTGATTATAGTACCAGTATTTGCTTGTCTTGTGTGAACTATTACCAATGTACATCCAGATAATGTATTTATTACCTTGTGTCATTGAATGGGAAAGGATTAAATATCAAAGCTACAACAAAATATTATCAGTCTTGATGTTTTCCAACACAAAAGAAAGTCTTTTTTTTCTAATCATCAGTTTAGCAGTTTGTTGACATATGCAGACAAGTTGGGGACTAACTGGTGTCTTGGAGATTTTACGAATACTTCAATCAATTGCTGATTTGCAAAGCCCAGCTTGTCCCCTGTCACTTGTCGTGTAGTAAGGGACTGATATTCCTTTACGCTATGACATTGTTAATGTTATTACAGTAAGTGAATGGGGTGGGTTTAAGGCTGCAGTGTTTCAGTTACACACAGTGTGTAAGCTTGGTGTGTGTGTGTGTGTGTGTGTGTGTGGGGGGGGGGGGTAAAGCTGGAAGTCACTTTGGCAGGGGAGGTTGTGGAGGTGCCAGACGTGAAACTATCAGGGAGAATCTGGGATTCGAACCGACGATCATAGGTTTCTGGCACACCCAAGGGACGCAACTCTTTGTCGCGAATTGCGACTCCTTAGATTAGTGGATCCCCCGAGCTCCGGTATATGGCCTAATGGTTGCTATTTGAGTGGCGCCATCTCCAACTCTTTGTCGCGAATTGCGACTCCTTAGATGAGTGGGTCCCCCGAGCTCCGGTATATGGCCAAATGGTTGCTATTTGAGTGGCGCCATCTCCAACTCTTTGCCAGGCCATGATCACACTCACGCCCACTGTACATGAATACCCGTAACAAAGATTGAGTAGTATATATGTATCCTGCTGGACAAGTAAACTTGATTTGCTATAAAATAACATGATCACTATATTGCACGGGAATATAGACACAAGACAAGGGAATGAAAGTGTTGCTGATCAATGAAACAAGAGGTGACTTAAGTTCTTAGCCTTACTTTGAAGTACTGTGTGGATGGTAGTCCTGCACCATGACCGTGGAATATATTTATTTTATGAAAAAATAATAATCTAGAAATGCATACAAAAGCAAGTCTAGCCAGCTCAAGCTAGCTCTATTCCACAGCCTCCCAAGAATACCATGTGCTTCCTCCGGGGCGGATCTTCTATCCTGATCTTGAATTTCTGGAAATGAAAAGTTGAACTTTCTGAAATCAGCATAGGGAATTTTTTTATTTTTAGAGTCAAGAAGGATATTGTGTAATATAAGATTTCAGAGACTAAATGTTAGTCTATGTGGATGGATTTGCTTGCCAATTGTTTTTCAACATAATCAAACTGTCACGCTATGATCCAACCTGAATGCTGTTCCAAGCGGCGTTAAACCCAACTAACTCACTCTGGTCTCGCCTCTTGCTGATAATGATGCACTCAAGGCTCATCTATAGTGTCAACATCTCAAGTTGGTTGTTGTTGTTGTTGGTTTGTTGCTTTACGCCGTACTCAGCAATATTCCAGCTATATGACGGTAGTCTGTAACTAATCGCGTCTGGACCAGACAATCCAGTGATCGATTTCATAAGCATCGATTTGGATCGATGACATGCTTCAACCAAGTCAGCGATCCTGACCACACGATCCCGACAACATCTCAAGAAAATCAGCTGGGTCTGCTTCAAAACGATGTAAATTCACTCGAGGGATGGTGAACCAGTAGAGTTTCTGATGTGCCTACTGTATTGGTTGGTTGGATGCACATTACGAGTCGCTGATCATTCATTGTTACATCATGTAATTCGTCAACATTTTCGTTAGTGGTGGCAGTTTAACATCTTTTAAGTGGAATCATCTTCCTCTCTGTAAGTCTACCGCTCACACCACACTTGGATGGCTGTTGGCGTTAGCCCTGTCAGTTGGTAATACTTGATGACAGCGCTGTGGAAAACAGGGAATGCCTGGTCACTACTGCCTGCAGAACTAGGCTGCCTGGTTGTGTGTTTAACTCAAATGCAGCCTTTAAGCATAGAAAGTATTGTACTTAATATACTAGCACAAAAACATCCTGTGCAACATGACAAATCACACTAAGATAAAATTGCCCTTAATCTTTCAGAATCATGCAGGATAATCACATGCACAAACACTTTGTCTTGATTACCCATGGTGACCTTGAAATTGCACGTGCATCCCTGGCAATGGATGCATACACCCGTGAAGATCCGGGTACAGAATTGATCTTCAGCAACCCAGCTTGCTATAAGAGGCGACTGTCTTCGTAAGAGGCGATTAACGGGATCGGGTGGTCAGGGTCGCATGTCATGGTATCCCAATTGCGTTGATCGATGCTCCTGGTGTCGATCACTGGATTGTCTGGTCCAGTCTCGATTATTTACAGGCCGCCGTCATATAGCTGGAATATTGCTGAGTGCGGCGTTAAACAACAAACAGACAAACATTGTATGTATAACATTTATTTGTGAGAAGTGCGTCATACATTCACAGTGCACGTGGGACCGAGTCTGTTCAGACAGAGTAAATAGTTGAAGTGTTTTAACTGTGAAAAGCACATTTGTTGACGGTCAAACCTCGTAAATGTTAGGCCACGCTTACCGGAAATGAGCGGTTGCGTGCAATTGCAATGCTTGAAACTGGAATTTCTCAAAGCGTTGTTGCTTGGCGATTTAGTGTCTCTCGTATCCCCAAAGAGCAACTCTGGGGTCTGTACAAACAGACTGGCACCTCCAGGCACCGGCCACGATCTGGACGTCCACGAGTAACGTCACGTTGGCAAGAAAATAATATCCGTCACGTTCGACTTCGAAATCGGTTTCAGACCGCCACAGCCCGCAGCATCCCTGGCTCACGTCCGATAAGTGCAAGGTCTGTGAGGAATCGACTACGAGTGCATAACATCCGACCACGACGTCCAACCTGTACTTCCAATTGTGCCGCTACGTCATCTAACTGCACATCTGACCCGTGAAGATCCGGCAACCTTCAGCAACCCATGCTTGCCGTAAAAGGAGACTATGCTTGTCATAAGAGGCGACTAACGGGATCGGGTAGTCAGGCTCGCTGACTTGGTTGATGCATGTCATCAATCCCAATTTGCCTGGATCGACGTTATGTCAATCACTGGATTGTCTGGTCCAGGCTCGATTATTTAAAGACCGCCGTCATAGAGCTGAAATATTGTGCGGCGGCGTTAAACAACAAACTGCACATCTGAATTTCCGTGTAAAGGACTGGAGGTTAGCCAGTCCAGTTCCCGAGGTTATAGAAAAAAACAACATTGTGGCAGAGCACTTCAATTCATATTGGTTTCTTAATGTCTAAATTTGAACAAGATAAAGAGCTAGCTGGAATAAAATGCTGTCATTTGTTGTGAGTAAAGATGCAGAGCTTATGCATGTTAGGATATTCATAATAGTCTGTATCAAGGACAAATATCTTGATCTAATGTAAGTATATGCTGGACAAATGAAAACTGCATGGTATTCATCATGTACGTCTTCTCGACAAATTGCATAAACTATAAGTAAAGTCATGATCACTAGACATTCTATATTTATGTCTTTCTATTGGCACATCATAGTTGCACAGATGCTGAATTATCATCACAATGTTAGGTGAGGTGAGGTGAAATGGGGTTTAACGTCGCGTCCAAGATTATTGCACTTATATAGCGACCCGCAATGTTAGAGTTACATGCTTTAAAATGATCTTACTTTAGATTTAGAGCACATTACAATAACTCAGGAATTTTGGAGCAAGTGCATATGTCATGAACAGTGGTAAAACAATACACTGATATTCTGATGCCATTCATTATCTTCTCAGTATACAAAAAATATAATAGAATTGTTATCACCTTTGAAAACAACATGGAAACCGTTGATATTGTGTAACAATATTTCTTTCAATTATCATTTACTGTTGCATCTCTGTCGAATTCAGCCGATCAACAACACCCAGATGTAACCCGGATAGTTAGTCAACACCCAGATGTAACCTGGATAGTGAGTCAACACCCAGATGTAACCCGGATAGTCAGTCAACACCCATATGTAACCCGGATAGTCAGTCAACACCCAGATGTAACCCGGATAGTCAGTCAACACCCAGATGAACCTGGATAGTTAGTCAACACCCGGATGTAACCTGGATAGTTAGTCAACACCCATATGTAACCCGGATAGTCAGTTAACACCCAGATGTAGCCCGGATAGTCAGTCAACACCCAGATGTAACCTGGATAGTCAGTCAACACCCAGATGTAACCCGGATAGTCAGTCAACACCCAGATGTAACCTGGATAGTTAGTCAACACCCGGATGTAACCTGGATAGTTAGTCAACACCCAGATGTAACCCGGATAGTCAGTCAACACCCAGATGTAACCCGGATAGTCAGTCAACACCCAGATGTAACCTGGATAGTTAGTCAACACCCGGATGTAACCTGGATAGTTAGTCAACACCCATATGTAACCCGGATAGTCAGTCAACACCCAGATGTAGCCCGGATAGTTAGTCAACACCCAGATGTAACCCGGATAGTCAGTCAACACCCAGATGTAACCCGGATAGTCAGTCAAAACCCAGATATAACCCGGATAGTAGTCAACACCCAGATGTAACCTGGATAGTCAGTCAACACCCAGATGTAACCCGGATAGATCATAAAACCCAGATGTAACCCGGATAGTTAGTCAACACCCAGATGTAACCCGGATAGATCATAAAACCCAGATGTAACCCGGATAGTTAGTCAACACCCAGATGTAACCCAGATAGATCATAAAACCCAGATGTAACCTGGATAGTCAGTCAACACCCAGATGTAACGCGGATAGTCAGTCAAAACCCAGATGTAACCTGGATAGTTAGTCAACACCCAGATGTAACCCGGATAGTCAGTCAACACCCAGATGTAACCTGGATAGTTAGTCAACACCCAGATGTAACCCGGATAGTCAGTCAACACCCAGATGTAACCCGGATAGTTAATCAACACCCATATGTAACCCGGATAGTCAACACCCAGATGTAACCTGGATAGTCAGTCAACACCCAGATGTAACCTGGATAGTTAGTCAACACCCAGATGTAACCCGGATAGTTAGTCAACACCCAGATGTAACCTGGATAGTAAGTGAACACCCATATGTAGCCCGGATAGTTAGTCAACACCCAGATGTAACCCGGATAGTCAGACAACAACCACATGTAACCTGGATGGTCAGTCAACACCAATATGTAACCCGGATAGTCAGTCAACACCCATATGTAAGCCGGATAGTTAGTCAACACCCAAATGTAACCTGGATAGTTAGTCAACACCCAGATGTAACCCGGATAGTTAGTCAACACCCAGATGTAACCCGGATAGTCAGTCAACACCCAGATGTAACCCGGATAGTCAGTCAACAGCCAGGTGTAACCCAGATAGTCAGTCAACACCCAGATGTAACCCAGATAGTCAGTCAACACCCAGATGTAACCCGGATAGTTAGTCAACGCCCAGATGTAACCTGGATAGTTAGTCAACACCCAGATGTAACCCAGATAGTCAGTCAACACCCATATGTAACCTGGATAGTTAGTCAACACCCAAATGTAACCCGGATAGTCAGTCAACACCCATATGTAACCCGGATAGTCAGTCAACACCCAGATGTAGCCCGGATAGTTAGTCAACACCCAGATGTAACCCGGATAGTCAGTCAACACCCAGATGTAACCCGGATAGTCAGTCAAAACCCAGATGTAACCTGGATAGTTAGTCAACACCCAGATGTAACCCGGATAGTCAGTCAACACCCAGATGTAACCTGGATAGTTAGTCAACACCCAGATGTAACCCGGATAGTCAGTCAACACCCAGATGTAACCCGGATAGTTAGTCAACACCCATATGTAACCCGGATAGTCAACACCCAGATGTAACCCAGATAGTCAGTCAACACCCAGATGTAACCTGGATAGTTAGTCAACGCCCAGATGTAACCTGGATAGTTAGTCAATACCCAGATGTAACCCAGATAGTCAGTCAACACCCATATGTAACCTGGATAGTTAGTCAACACCCAAATGTAACCCGGATAGTCAGTCAACACCCATATGTAACCCGGATAGTCAGTCAACACCCAGATGTAGCCCGGATAGTTAGTCAACACCCAGATGTAACCCGGATAGTCAGTCAACACCCAGATGTAACCCGGATAGTCAGTCAAAACCCAGATGTAACCTGGATAGCTAGTCAACACCCAGATGTAACCCGGATAGTCAGTCAACACCCAGATGTAACCCGGATAGATCATAAAACCCAGATGTAACCTGGATAGTCAGTCAACACCCAGATGTAACCTGGATAGTTAGTCAACACCCAGATGTAACCCGGATAGATCATAAAACCCAGATGTAACCTGGATAGTTAGTCAACACCCAGATGTAACCCGGATAGATCATAAAACCCAGATGTAACCTTGATAGTTAGTCAACACCCAGATGTAACCTGGATAGATCATAAAACCCAGATGTAACCCGGATAGTCAGTCAACACCCACATGTAACCCGGATAGATCATAAAACCCAGATGTAACCCGGATAGTCAGTCAACACCCATATGTAACCCGGATAGATCATAAAACCCAGATGTAACCCGGATAGTAAGTCAACACCCAGATGTAACCCGGATAGATCATAAAACCCAGATGTAACCCGGATAGTTAGTCAACACCCAGATGTAACCCGGATAGATCATAAAACCCAGATGTAACCCGGATAGTCAGTCAACACCGAGATGTAACCTGGATAGTTAGCCAACACCCAGATGCAACCCGGATAGATCATAAAACCCAGATGTAACCCGGATAGTTAGTCAACACCCAGATGTAACCCGGATAGATAAAAAAAACCAGATGTAACCCGGATAGTTAGTCAACACCCAGATGTAACCCGGATAGATCATAAAACCCAGATGTAACCTGGATAGTTAGTTAACACCCAGATGTAACCCGGATAGTCAGTCAACACCCAGATGTAACCCGGATAGTCAGTCAAAACCCAGATGTAGCCCGGATAGTCACTCAACACCCAGATGTAACCCGGATAGTCAGTCAACACCCAGATGTAGCCCGGATAGTCAGTCAACACCCAGATGTAACCCGGATAGTCAGTCAATACCCAGACGTAACCCGGATAGTTAGTCAACACCCAGATGTAACCCGGATAGTCAGTCAACACCCAGATGTAACCCGGATAGTTAGTGAACACCCATATGTAACCCGGATAGTTAGTCAACACCCAGATGTAACCCGGATAGTTAGTCAACACCCATATGTAACCCGGATAGTCAGTCAACACCCATATGTAACCCGGATAGTCAGACAACACCCAGATGTAACCTGGATAGTCAGTCAACACCCATATGTAACCCGGATAGTCAGTCAACACCCATATGTAACCCGGATAGTCAGACAACACCCAGATGTCACCCAGATAGTCAGTCAACACCCAGATGTAGCCCGGATAGTCACTCAACACCCAGATGTAACCCGGATAGTCAGTCAACACCCAGATGTAGCCCGGATAGTCAGTCAACACCCAGATGTAACCCGGATAGTCAGTCAACACCCATATGTAACCCGGATAGTTAGTCAACACCCAGATGTAACCCGGATAGTCAGTCAACACCCAGATGTAACCCGGATAGTTAGTCAACACCCATATGTAACCCAGATAGTCAGTCAACACCCAGATGTAACCCGGATAGTCAGTCAACACCCATATGTAACCCGGATAGTCAGTCAACACCCATATGTAACCCGGATAGTCAGACAACACCCAGATGTAACCCGGATAGTCAGTCAACACCCAGATAGTTAGTCAACACCCAGATGTAACCCGGATAGTCAGTCAACACCCAGATGTAACCCGGATAGTCAGTCAACACCCAGATGTAACCCGGATAGTCAGTCAACACCCAGATGTAACCTAGGTTTCTTCTTCACAGCAGTGATTGGCGTCGGATTGAACGTTGCGTTATGACGCCCGTGTTGTTCAACGTTCTGCTTTCAGGGAAGGGAACGTAACGGTGTGGGGAGGCATCCCTGCATCCATAATTCTAAATTGATACTTCGCTTACGCGTATATTGTGTTAAGTAAATTCCAATCGTACAAGACAATGTAAAAAGAAGATAGTCTAGAATAACTCGTCTCTGTTTCCCGTTACTGTGACGGCGTAGTGTTGCTTTCAGATTGTCGTTGTGACAGATGACAACATCGATTATGACAAAATGTTTTATTCACATATTGGTTATCTTTTTGTACAAGGTTATCACAGTCGCTCAAGTGTAAATAAATATATCTGGTAAATGGCATATAAAAATTAATACTAAGGCGCAATACACAAGAGATGAGCAGTCGCGTACAAGGGATACGTTGAAAACAGCTGAAGAGATGGGGGGGGGGGGGGGGGGGGGGGGAAACAGATTGAAGAAGCACTCATAAAATAACCACTTATCTGCACCTTTCTCAATACAGCTAATGGACGTTTGGACGTGGGGAAAATATACTGGGGTCGCCCAAGTCCATTTTCTTACAGAGATGATTACGTTATCGACTAGAGGGTCTCGAAAACCATGTCGTCGCTTCTGATGGCAAGATAACATTCATGAGCAAATCCATGTCCAGTCAACCAACTGCTGGGCAATTGAAAGTATACACTTGAAAATCGGATTTGACCACACAACTGCAAACGTTTTCAAACGTTAATAGGTTGAAAACAGTCGCCGAAACACTGCAAAAGTATTGTCCAAAACACAACTATGATACCCGCATCAAATACATGACCATCGAATAACCACTTCTTGTTTGTTCCATGTTTAGCCACCATCAAACATGGTGTGTACTTTCTTTTGCTCGGCAGTTCATTTAAACAATCAAGCGAATGTCACGAAATTTCATTTCAATCTTTACCAATACTGAAGAAGAGGGGTACTCTCATGCTGTGTTGATCAGACACAGTGAGAGAGTGAGTGAGTGAGTGAGTGAGTGAATGGTGTGTTAAGACGCCGTCCTATGTAAAGTGAGGGACAACCATACACCCTCGCTTTGGTGAGTGAGTGAGTGAGTTTGGTTTCACGCCGCTTCTAGCAATATTCCAACAATATCACGGCGGGGGGACACCAGAAATGGGCTTCACACATTGTACCCATGTCGGCATTCGAACCCGGGTCTTCGGCGTGACGAGCGAACGCTTTAACCACTAGGCTACCCGATCGCCCCTCCCTCGCTTGGGGCAGTCGTCCACTAACTGCTTTACTACGGGCAGACACATGATAAAATTGAACTTTTTCAAAGGGCGTTAAGACCCAAATCAATCACTCGAAATCGGAATATTGTTTTGATCGCCTTTCATTCGTCAACACTCGCCTCTTTCCGTAACATGCATTCGGCTTGTCCCGGAATGACACAAGTCTTGTCAAGAATGGTATCGAAAACGATTTGCTTGTTTGACGATTAACGCCACACTCAGACATATTCCAGATATATGAAATAATCGAGTCTGGACCAGACAGTCCACTGATTGTCATCATGAGCATCGACCTACGCATTTGGAATACGATGACATGCAACAACCAAGTCTAGCGAGCCTGACCACCGAATCCCTTTAGTCATACCTAACGACAAGCATAGTCGCCCCTTGTGACAATTCTAACCCGGATCTTCAAAGGTTGCAGAGCGTCAGGCCACAATGAATACATTCTTAGATATTCACCCACATTTATAAACAATGTCATGCGAGATGCATTTCATTTTTGAAATGTTATTTTTAAACGGCGACTTTGTCCATGCACTGGCGACTGACGTGATTCCAAATCTCGATAAATTTGTTATAGCTCCCTGCTTGTTGATACACCCGCCCGCATTTGAATAATTTCATTAAGTGACACGTCTGCATGTGCCTGGCGTCAATACAATATTATAAAGCAGGATGTTTGATAGTGAAATGGGCGGGGTTTAACATCTAATAATTAATATATTGTGACCTAACAACAAATGTATTCAACAAATATATACTGGAATGTTTACTAGCAAATGCCAGTTTTTGATCTTCCAGGTTCGACAACCGAGACCCGATCACTCACTTGCACAGCCCTTCTTGTGCGAAACTGTTTTGTCTACGATCCTGGCTATCAATCGACACAACCAGAACGCAAGAACAGTCAACGAAAGTGTCAGTAAAGACCTACATGCATACATAACTGAAACATTCGTGATTACTCGCATAATTCCAAAACAAGTTGAATGGCGTTTGATGGGTTACGGAAAGGTGCGAGCGGTGACGAATTCACTTAAGAGAACTTCGGGACAAAGCGCAGTCCAAAAAAGTAATTAAATATATCTTTACTTTACTTCTAAATCAAATGTTCTGATGTATTGAGATCGGCCAACGATTACTCTAGTTCCAAAGATACCATGTGTCAATTTGAAAAGACAACGTGTTGAAGTTTGGGTCTAATGGGAATTAGACTACAGTCTCCCTTTAAAAAGAACCTAGATTAATCCCTACTTTGTTTTCACGTGACTTAGTACACTGCTGGGCAAAAGAAGGTTTACACATGAAAATCTGATTTGACCAAAACATAACACGCGTTTTAAAAACATCACTAGGTTGAAAACAGTCGCAGAAACACTGCAAACTTAAGGTCCAAAACAAAACTATAATCCCCGTGTCCTATACATCACCATAGAATAACCGTTTCAGGTTAGCTAAGCATCAAACATGGGTGTATACTTTCTTTTGCCCGTCGGTGTATGTGTATCTTTGATAGATCGACAGCAAAAGTACTGGCAACATAAACTGATGACGCCCTTAACTTCGGTTGGACTGCGCGACTGTGGCGACAGAGGAAAGAGTTATACGACACGCGGAGGAAGATCAGGTGAGCTTTAAGTCACGCCACAATAATACAAACAAAGCCCTTATTACACTTCGTGGTCTAAATACAGGAACTTATGATTGAAACATGTTCTCAAGAGTTGGGCGATACATGAACTGGCCGATTTGATCAACAGACCTGCGACTCTTGTATTGAAATAATACTATAATATTGAATCAATACCCGGATGTAACCTGGGTAGTCAGTCAAGACCCAGATGTAACCCGGATAGTCAATCAACACCCGGATGTAACCTGGATAGTTAGTCAACACCCAGATGTAACCTGGATAGTCAGACAACACCCAGATGTAACCCGGATAGTCAGTCAACACCCAGATGTAACCCGGATAGTCAGTCAACACCCAGATGTAACCCGGATAGTCAGTCAACACCCAGATGTAACCTGGATAGTCAGTCAACACCCAGATGTAACCCGGATAGTCAGACAACACCCAGATGTAACCCGGATAGTCAGTCAACACCCAGATGTAACCCGGATAGTCAGACAACACCTAGATGTAACCCGGATAGTTAGTCAACACCCAGATGTAACCCGGATAGTCAGTCAACATCCAGATGTAACCCAGATAGTTAGTCAACACCCAGATGTAACCCGGATAGTCAGACAACACCCAGATGTAACCCGGATAGTCAGTCAACACCCATATGTAACCCGGATAGTCAGTCAACGCCCAGATGTAACCCGGATAGTCTGTCAACACCCAGATGTAACCCGGATAGTCAATCAACACCCAGAAGTAACCTGGATAGTTAGTCAACACCCAGATGTAACCCGGATAGTCTGTCAACACCCAGATGTAACCCGGATAGTCAATCAACACCAGGATGTAACCTGGATAGTTAGCCAACATCCAGATGTAACCCGGATAGTAAGTCAACACCCAGATGTAACCCGGATAGTCAATCAACACCCGGATGTAACCTGGATAGTTAGTCAACACCCAGATGTAACCTGGATAGTTAGCCAACATCCAGATGTAACCCGGATAGTTAGTCAACACCCAGATGTAACCTGGATAGTTAGTCAACATCCAGATGTAACCCGGATAGTCAGTCAACACGCACATGACAACTCAAGTACCCAGGTATTAACTCAACCTGCGATGACGGATTTCAAGAAATATTGAATAAAGCTGGTATCAAGGCTAATTTTCGGGCATATGCGCCAAAAACATAAAACCAAGTCCATACTATAACGGGACTTTTTTGGATTTTCAAAAAGCTGGGCACCAAAGGACAGCGCCATGGGTATGTCAAGTCCCCATTTTAGTATTTTTGTATAAAAGTAGTAAGATATGTAACACTAGTATCGGCATACTCAGATTACACTAAGTCCTAACTTTGGCCTGATGTCGTCTAGGTGTAGGGGAGACAACCTCCTTGCCCACGATGGTCATGCTGTTCCTGCCGTTGAAGGCTGAGGTGCGGTGCCGGTTGTGGAGAGACTTGAGATCACCTACCACATTCCCCATCTGGTTTTTCGACCGGTTCTCCAAACGAACAGGCCCAGCTATCAACCCGTCAGAGAGACTGATCGGCTCACGGTGGAAAGTCCGAGACACGGAGGAGGGATGTTTCCTAACCGAGCCACCATGTTTCGGGACAGGCGAGTGGCTTGGAGGCTGATACTGAGACAATCGAATCGGCGGCAGCATCTTTGACTTTCTCCCTTCCAGACTCTCAAGGCTAGCCGAAAGATGGCTGTTAAGAGTCTGTCTCGTCTCGCTCATATCCTCGGTGTCAGTCGCGCGTTCCTTAAACCGTTCAATCAGTTTCTCTTGAGCTGTAAGTTTGGTTTTCATCTTTGTCATCTCCTCCTCCTGCATAGTGAGTTGAGTCCCCTTCTTCCTCACATCAATTTTCAGGTCATTTAGCTGTTTCCTCATCACCGTCATAATGGCCGCCTGCCAAACAGCTGCTCCCGATGCCATTTTGGATTTCTTCAACTCCCGTTCAATATCTTCTTGAGATCTGCTATCTTTTTCTTTCGTTAAGTCTTCGACTTTAGCGGTTTCTCGCTGCAACAAATCTCCATATCTAGAAATCTCCCGTCTCAACTGGTGTATATTTTCATCATTCGTTACTGCAAAGTCTTTGAAAGCCAATAACAAAGATGGCGCACCTTGATCTTCCGGTGCATATCCAAGATGGAGAAGCATCAGATTTCTCTCTTCTAACAACGTTTCATATGCCTGCTGCACCTCTAATAACTCTTTATATTTCGACACAAACGCTTCAAAGTCTTGAACCAAAAATGCAAACTCATTTTCACTTAATACCATCAAATCTCGTTCACTCTCACGTGGTTTCAAAGTCACGAGACCGTTGATCGTATTGTGAATTGTCTTCATCGTCGCCTTCAGTTGTCCAACCTGCTCCCCCGATCTCTGGATAGCAGAGTCATTCGCGGTGTTATATTTAATCTGTATGTTCATGCTGTCCCGGTGCTTTTCCTGCATCTCGTGCAGCTGGCGCTCGAGCACGCGCTTCTCTGTCCTGGCCTTCACGTGCGCATCCTGGGCTTCCTGCACGCATTGCTCGAGGTGTTTGATCTTATCGAAGGCAGACTTGCGAGCCTGCTCGAACTCTTGAGCTTCATTAAGCTGAAGTTGTTTTGTTTCTAACCATTTTTCTTTTTCTTTCGTGTCTCTTTTCCATACATATTTCATGGTCTCACTTTGAATCTGAAACGAGTTGGAAACCGATGTAAGTGTTTTATAGGTAGAAAAGTCATTTGTTTCAGATAAATGCTTGAAAATCTAATTTTGCCTCAGGTTTTACAACAACAATTTGTTGGCATACATGCTGGTTCTGCTGACTAATTATGTTGTAACATACACTTCAATCTCATTACAATCAGATCTTAGTGCACGCTACTGCTACACCCAATCCGAGGACACCTTTTTGCAGCTCGAGTAAGAAACCTTGGACGCGACGTTAAACTCAATTTCACCTCAGCTCACCTCACGTGAGAACGACCTTTCACGAACTTTGACCGCTAATGAAATGACAGATAAGTAATCGACATTGACCAATCAGAATGCAGCTTTCACGAGCCTAATGCCTCAGTTACGTTTTGCCCGGACCGTCTATATACACGATATCGTGCAAATAGTGGACCAATGCCGTGCAATAAACACGACTGGAAAACTCCCTTCTCCGCCGTGAGACGCGAACGCTGATTGGTCTATTAATTTCCTCCACACAAATTAAACCTGGTTCCCGGTCTCAGTTGCGCTACGCTACATTGTACATTACTCCCTAAAATGTTAACTCTACACCATAGTGCGGGTATCGTTTCTAAAAAGATGTATCAAAGATATATAAAAAATCTTTACTTGTTGATAAAATTGTAATTTCTTCTCTAAACATCTGTGAAGATATAAAGGTTTGATATAAAGGTGGGATCTAAAACATCTACGGCTAATAGCAATTATAGGGCCGCCGCAGCATTCCCACGGTCACATACCGTAGCAGTCACACATGTTAGGGTAGCCGCACGGCGTATTTTGAATTTGTTGAGACAGAAAACCTGCGGCTGCCGTACGGCCTTTGAAGTGATGACGCACGGTCGCATTAAAGTTTTGACATATACCAAGGCAAACGCAAGGTAGCCCAGCCTCAGCCGTTGAGGAACAACCAGCGCCATCTATAAACTGTGTCTACAATCTATATGACAGATATGAGAGATAATACACATATGAATAGAATTGGTATATATACCCGCACCACGCACGGCGCAGACTGCCACGTGGACCTTGCGTTGCCTGCAGGGTGTGCCGGATACCGCAAGGCCACCGTACTTCAGGCTGACTCAGGCACCCGTGGAATTCCTGCGGCCGCCGCAATTTTTGGAGGTCCGCAAAGGTCAATTGTAATTCATTAGACACTAGGGCAGCTGTAAGGCAAACGGAAGGCCACCGTACGCCTGACGTATGGTCGCCGTTGAACCGCTCTACGGCATGGCTGCAGGTATCTCTCGATTTCAGGGGGCTACAGCCGCCGTATCGCAGCCCAAGAGCAAATGTGACTGAGGCATAAAGGCAGATGTTTCCAACTGACAACTTTCATTCCAGACTGCGCTTTGAAAAATATCACTTCTAAATTTGAGGGGCGGTCGGGTAGCCTAGTGGTTAAAGCGTTCGCTCGTTACGCCGAAGACCCGGGTTCGATTCCCGACATGGGTACAATCTGTGAAGCCCATTTCTGGTGTCCCCGCCGTGATATTGCTAAAAGCGGCGTAAAACCATACTCACTCACTCACTCTAAATTTGAAAACCGAACAAAAGAACATTCTTGAATGTCTAATAGATGGCTTAGATTGCATGGCGTACGTCACACGGGCTTAAAACGTTTAAAATGTTAAATATATATATATCCCATTGAACCGAGAGATAGACGACTGATGGAATTAGTCGTACATCCACCGTAAGTGTTGTTCTCATTACCCCGTGTTAACATTTTCGAGATTGCGTGATTCGAAAACACATTTCGATTGTCTAGACCCCGATCTAGTAAGCGACGCTCTGATTGGTCACATGAAGTCTTTCGGTCGGGATATGGGATATGCTCAAATCTTTGTTTAGCTGTACCGAGAACTAAGATCTGATTTCAATGAGATCGAACATAATTGTACTTTTTAAGCATATTAAATGGTCGTTTGGTCTGCCTCCAAGCACTGGATTTTTAACTGAGTACTTGACAATCGAATTTATTCTCTTTGAGGCGAATTTGCTTACGGTGATGAAAATGAAGATATTCTAAGTTTATTTACTTCTTCGAAATGAAAGATATACTTGTTAAACAGACAGGGTACCTTTTCTAGAATGTAGGCTTCGAGTTGCTTCTTCTCAATGTCCTTGAGACCACGAGACACGACCGGAAGTCGTTTGCTGAGGTCACTGGTGTCAAGGCCATCCTTCCGAGACTCTGGAAGAAGAGATAGGTAAATCCATGTGTATTTCATGTATGTGAACTTTGTCCTGTACTTATGCCTACTCAACAATATGATATACTTTAACGTGTCTTCCGTTATTATAGTCCCGTGAAGTCTTCAGCAACCCATGCTTGCCGTAAGAGACGACAAACGGGATCGGGTGGTCAGGCTCGCAGACTTGGTTGATGCATGTCCTCGTTTCCCAACTGCGTGGATTGTTGATAATGTTGTCAATCACTGGATTGTCTGGTCCAGACTATTTACAAACCGCTTTCTTCCAGGGGTAAGACTGGCCACAATCCACTATCCGCCGTATTCATCAAGTATACCCAACCTTCATCAACACCTATATCCACTCTATTCATCAAGTTTACCAACCTATATCCACCCTATTAATCAGGTATACCCACCTATATCCACCCTATTCATCACGTTTACCCACCTATATCCACCCTATTCATCACGTTGACCCACCTATATCCACCCTATTCATCACGTTTACCCACCTATATCCACCCTATTCATCAAGTGTACCCACCTATATCCACCCTATTCATCACGTTTACCCACCTATATCCACCCTATTCATCACGTTGACCCACCTATATCCACCCTATTCATCACGTTTACCCACCTATATCCACCCTATTCATCAAGTGTACCCACCTATATCCACCCTATTCATCACGTTTACCCACCTATATCCACCCTATTCATCACGTTTACCCACCTATATCCACCCTATTCATCAAGTGTACCCTTTATATCCACCCTATTCATCAAGTGTACCCACCTATATCCACCCTATTCATCACGTTTACCCACCTATATCCACCCTATTCATCAAGTGTACCCACCTATATCAACCCTATTCATCACGTTTACCCACCTATATCCACCCTATTCATCACGTTTACTCACCTATATCCACCCTATTCATCACGTTTACCAGCCTATATCCACGCTATTCATCAAGTGTACCCACCTATATCCACCCTATTCATCAAGTGTAACCACCTATATCCACCCTATTCATCACGTTTACCCACCTATATCCACCCTATTCATCACGTTTACCCACCTATATCCACCCTATTCATCACGTTTACCCACCTATATCCACCCAATTACGTTTACCCACCTATATCCACCCTATTCATCAAGTGTACCCACCTATATCCACCCTATTCATCACGTTTACCCACATATATCCACCCTATTGATCAAGTTTACCCACCTTTATCCACCTTATTCATCAAGTGTACCCACCTATATCCACCCTATTCATCAAGTGTACCCACCTATATCCACCCTATTCATCACGTTTACCTACCTATATCCACCCTATTCATCACGTTTACCCACCTATATCCACCCTATTCTTCACGTTTACCCACCTATATCCACCCTATTCATCACGTTTACCCACCTATATCCACCCTATTCATCAAGTGTACCCACCTATATCCACCCTATTCATCAAGTGTACCCACCTATATCCACCCTATTCATCACGTTTACCCACCTATATCCACCCTATTCATCACGTTTACCCACCTATATCCACCCTATTCATCACGTTTACCCACCTATATCCACCCTATTCATCACGTTTACCCACCTATATCCACCCTATTCATCACGTTTACCAACCTATATCCACCCTATTCATCACGTTTACCCACCTATATCCACCCTATTCATCACGTTTACCCACCTATATCCACCCTATTCATCACGTTTACCCACCTTATTCGTCAGGTATACCCAACTTTATCCACCCTATTCATCAAGTGTACCCACCTATATCCACCCTATTCATCAAGTGTACCCACCTATATCCACCCTATTCATCAAGTTTACCCACCTATATCCACCCAATTATCAAGTGTACCCACCTATATCCACCCTATTCATCACGTTTACCCACCTATATCCACCCTATTCATCACGTGTACCCACCTATATCCACCCTATTCATCAAGTATACCCACCTATATCCACCCTATTCATCAAGTGTACCCACCTATATCCACCCTATTCATCATGTATACCCACCCTATTCATCATGTATACCCACATATATCCACCCTATTGATAAAGTTTACCCACATTTGTCCACCCTATTCATCATGTATACCCACATATATCAACCCTATTGATAAAGTTTACCCACATTCGTCCACCCGTATTCATCATATATACCCACCTTCCTCTCTGAGGAAATCAGAAAGAAACAGGTGCCCCGTCAGGTGAAGGATATCGCAGAATTTCTCGTAGGCTTGAGCTCCTCTCAGCGGCAGTATGTCCAGTAGGAGTCGCACCTTATCCTGGCGTTCAGGCGCTGCCTGCCAAGTGAAATAAAACCATGCAATAATTGTGTGACAGCACTACATGCATTAACACGCACTGATTTAACCTTGACGAGTGTATCCACTTTATGCTCATTTAAAGCACGGACAATACGAGTGAGGAGTGTACTGATCCTTGGGTGACAATGTCGTGACAGCGTAAGCCAAACTCGGCCCTGGAACCAGGGGCGTGACGCCTTGTACGCGGTGATGTCACGTACACTTTGAAGTAACATTTATTTGAAGCATAAATTAGAATACATAACACACCTTATAAGTGTCTGTTTGTTGTTTTACACTGCACTCACCAATATTCCAGCTATATGACGGTGGTCTGTAAATAATCGTGTCTGGACCAGACAATCCAGTGATCGACATCATGAGCATCGATCCACGCAATTGGAATACGATAACATGCATCAACCAAGTCAGCGAGCCTGACCACCCGATCCCGTTGGTCGCCTCTTAGACAAGCATAGTCGCCTTTTACGGCAAGCATGGGTTGCTGATGGCCACATTTGAACCGGATCTTCACGGGTCACCTTATTAGAGAATTAGAATTCGACAATCAGAGGAAGTTATGAAATAATTATTGTTCATCTAATAATACGAAATTATCAAAAGTAAAGCCAAACAAACATGTTTTGTTCTTACAAAGGAAATATTTAAATAATATATTTATCAATAAGGCATACCACCTAACAGTATTTCAGTCCATCACAAGCATTAGCTTATAATCGAGTATGGTCCAGACAATACAGTGATTGATATCATGAGCAACGCTCCACGCCGTTGGGGTACTAGGACACGCAAGTCACATCACAAACATTAGCTCATAATCGAGTATGGTCCAGACAATTCAGTGATTGATATTATGAGCAACGCTCCACGCCGTTGGGGTACTAGGACACGCAAGTCACATCACAAACATTAGCTCATAATCGAGTATGGTCCAGACAATTCAGTGATTGATATTACGAGCAACGCTCCACGCCGTTGGGGTACTAGGACACGCAAGTCACATCACAAACATTAGCTCATAATCGAGTATGGTCCAGACAATTCAGTGATTGATATTACGAGCAACGCTCCACGCCGTTGGGGTACTAGGACACGCAAGTCACATCACAAACATTAGCTCATAATCGAGTATGGTCCAGTCAATTCAGTGATTGATATTATGAGCAACGCTCCACGCCGTTGGGGTACTAGGACACGCAAGTCACATCACAAACATTAGCTCATAATCGAGTATGGTCCAGACAATTCAGTGATTGATATTACGAGCAACGCTCCACGCCGTTGGGGTACTAGGACACGCAAGTCACTGAGTCTAACCACCCGATCCATTATGTCGCCTCGCACCACCAGCAAAGGTTGCTAGGGATCATCTCTAATGCTCACTACCCACGTGTTCAGTTGTCCGGGCTATCATGCTATGGTTTTATTTGGGACGCGTTTTCTATTTGTGGACTAGGTTCTGTCTGAGCAGGTTTCAAATGAGTCATTCAAAGCCCCTTTGTTTCCCTGCTAACTCACATTTCATGATGAATATCTATCTGGCAATCAGGGGTTATCTTGCATACACAACATGACAATGTCTAAGTTTTACACATGACAATAATTAGACAACCAGCCAGCCAGCCAGCCAGCCAGTCAGCCAGCCACATTTATTCAGTAACAAAGGCCATCGGCCCACAGTACAACACAATACAATAATATGTATAAGGTATTATCCTGCATACAAGGGTATTTATATTACATCAGTGTTTTCTCATTCATCATAACATTATTTCTCATCAGCTAAAACTAGTCCAGTATAATAGATAGAGTCAGTGAGTATCGTTTTACGGCGCTTTTATCAATATTCCAGCAATATCACAACGGGGACACCAGATATTGGCTTCACACATTGTACCCATGTCAGTACCGAACCCGAGTCTTCGGCGTGACGAGCGAACGCTTTAACCACTAGGCTACCCGACCGTCCCTATTATATATAGAACGTCTATCAGTTGTTCAGTTGTTAAATAGTCTGTTTAATATAGTGTATTTTGCTTTCTAAGATAAGATAACTGTCCACATATCATCATCATATGGTATTCAACTCCCACAAACTTCTTATTAGTCTTCAGACAAACTTCACAGTATCTCTCTTCATAAGTAATGTTTGTGTCTTCCAATCTCAACATATAGTCTAAAATTATTACACCATTTTTTAATGAATGCCGCTTATGATATTGAGGTATGTTTGTTGTTATATGATTCACTATTGAGCAGTGAATTTTATGTTTGATAATAGTTACACTTTGATGAATGAGTGAGTGAGTTGGGTTTAACGCCGCTTTTAACAGTATTCAAGTTATATCGCGGCGTGTCAGCTTAATGTGGGAGGAAAGCCCGAAGTGATGCAGGTCTCAGACGTTTACCACTTCGGTGAAACCCACAAGCACGGGTATGGTGCTGACACACCTAGAAACATAATCGGGGCGAACCGGGATTCGAAACCACAATCATAGGTTTCTGGTGTGCCAAAGGGACGCAACTCTGCACAGCGAATCGCGGCGCCTTAGACGACTGGGCCAATCGTGCACTATGATGATGGCGGATGAAGGCTAGTCTTGATATAAACTGCCTGAAAGCTTTTGCTGAAACTCACACAAATTACAAGCCCAAGAGCAAGACTGGAAACGGACACCCATGCATCATTGACAATCCAGTGAATACATCCATTCTATTTGGATACATGCCCTGGATCCATTCGCTACACTAGTTCGTTTGGAGCCTGATATACATTACATGACGCTACGAACAGCCGTCCAATCACATTACGATTATGAGCGAGAGAAATGTTGAGCAAGGTGATAAGAGAGATGGTGACGTCACCGAAACGAATCTTTAGTTGCGAATGGGTCGTGGTATTTATTATAACAGAATGGTGATATACCACAATGGATAATCGAGGGTGTTTTAAAAATTTTGGTTATGCCACGTGGTCTTGTTGTCCTGAACAAGGGTATCATATCAGGTGTACAGCACCGTCATCGTTGAAGGTAGAACAATATACTTGTAGACCCATCATATAAATCAGTAAACGCCGGTCAAAGTATGGAGACAAATAAAGAACCTTTTAACCCCACCACTCCTATTGTGAACAGACATTGTCGGGAGCTTCCAAGTACACCGTACGCCGACGAGTGAGATCAAGAGGCAGCGGAAACACGGCGCTGTCGGGAGATTATGTCCTGATTGCCAACAACTCACGCTAGCGTGATTTACTTGACTTAATATCAATATCCCCAACACAACCGGTCGATCCAATCGATCGGACCACGTTGTCAACGGAAGACTTTAGTCAATTACGGAGAAGATAAATATGCTGGTGTGAATTCAACAATAGTAAGACGGCATGAGCTTGTAGCACTTCCAACACACCTGAAGGTGGTATTAAAGGGGCTTTCATTGACGACTTGAATTTGTGAAGATATTTTGAAGACACCATCTGTTAACAGCACTTTGACATTTCCCCGGAAAAGCAAAAGATTACAAAGATAAAATCCAACCCGTGAGATGTCCTTATCCTATTGGGACCACGTACCAAGCGATCCCGGATCCCCAGTTTCAGAACTCACTCGTCCGGGGCTCGAATCCCAGATTTGTCCCCATCATAATCTTTGTAAATCTCTATAAAATCAGACCTTACACTCAGATGATCGGAAAGATCTGAGAACACCCCGGAGAAGGTAGCGTCTGTTTAACCCTGAGAGAACTTTGACCTCCCAGTCAAAATTGAAGGATGGGTGGATTATTAAGCTAATCAGACGTCACCTTTCTGAAACAATTCGTCACCATTTCTATACCACCTCGATTCAGAAATTTCGATTCCATAAACCCACACAGAACACATTTGCGATATTACACCATTTTGGTGGGATGTTAATGCATTCAGAAAAGACAGGATTTATTTTTTTGCATTCGGAATTCCTCTATCATAATTGAAGAAATTAGTAATTCGTGTCTGCATGCTTCGTTCAATCGTTCAGAGGATTCAGAAGCCTTCACGTTGATTGGCTAATTAGAGAGTTCACCTCAAGTGTCCTCCGATCTGTACTCAAAATTTCTGATTTGTGATACTGGGGTTTCACCAAAGTGGTAAACATCTGAGATCGCTGTCACTTCGGGCTTTCCTCCCACGTCAAACTGACACGCCGTGATATAACTGTAATACTACCCAACCCTCTCACTCACTGATCCCGTTATGAGTGAGTAGAGAGTTAAACTCAATTGTCATAACAATAACAGCAACATAATACACGGATCTGGGGCGAAGAATCGCTCTAACAGCTACCCGCTCTGCTGCTGGGCAAGTAGTTTTAAAAGCATGCACTGACTGGCATTACTATGTCCGAAATATCCATTAATTTTGCCTGATCATTATAATGCATTTGTATAAATCAAGAATAACTGCATCGAGGTGTAATTTACAAGTATTTCATACGACAACAAGCAGTGGCGGATATGGTCGCCATTTGCAGTGCCACATTATTTTCTGTGATCAATAAATTACGAAGCCATTTTTTCTCGAAATACTTCCTTATTGCTTGTTTCACTGCCACAAGTTTTCCTTCCCCGACCCATGACTCGGCGAGATCTGTACGAGATTCACATCTTTTGCACGGATCTCAGTTTATGACAGCAACGACTGGATTTATCTCTGCATAGCTCTCCGCTGGCTTGGGGCGGTGGGACGATGTGATCGGCGAACATATGGCACAGACGTATCGGCGAGCTCACTGATCAGTCTATTCATATTGTGCTCCCATAAATGGGCATCTAGTTCTTCTGTAAATTTTTAAAGATGCATATTTACATTCCTACAGTATATAACAGAAATACAAGAACGTATTCATATTAACGTTGCTCTCCAACATTTTTGTTTTTCTTGCATGTTTATGTACACTGTCAAAGATGTTTTCAATGTCACCATCAGGGTAAGA